AATAAACAAATCAGGGGGGGGTCGTCAGCGGACTGTTTTTTACTTGATCGTATTTACCCAACCATAAAATCAAATACGAACAGCATAAAAATAAAACAACAAGCCGGTCCCATCTAGGCGTAATCGGAGACAATGACACACGAAGTATGCTCCTGGTGTCCAGTCTGGGCCGTAGTTTTGTTTTGGTCCCTGTAACCGCAGAAAATCCCCCTTCACAAAGATAGGATGTTATAGATAGAGTGAGTCTTGAACTGAATTAACCTGTGTCAAGAGGCACAGAAGCAGCGACTGATGTAATTGGAAGAGAATACCGCAATTTTTTTATATTTTTCAAAATAAAACATCACTCAGACTCTGATCGTCGATAAATTATATATATATATATATATATATATATATATATATATATATATATATATATATATATATATATATATATATATATATATATATATATATATATATATATAAATAGCCTATATATATAATTTTTTTGTGTGGCCCGGTACCAAATGACCCACGGACCGGTACCGGTCCGCGGCCCGGTGGTTGGGGACTGCTGCTTTAGACTGAACTGTCGCGCTTCTCGTTGCGTCACACCTCAACCCGCCTCAAAGCCAACGCTGATTGGACGTTCGTTTGGTGAACGGCTCCAAATTTTCTTCGATGGAGAGTCTCCAGACTGATAAGCGAGTGAAATCTTGAAAGCTCGCGAGATCAGGATGGTTTCACGAGGGTAGGGTCACAAGGGTGCCTATCTCCAGCTGTCTATGGGCGAGAGGCGGGGTAAACCCTGGACAGGTTGCCAGTCCATCGCAGGGCAACACAAGTACAACCAACCATTCATGCACACACTCACAGCTAAGTAGAATTTAGAGAAGCCAATTAACCTAACAGTCATGTTTTTGGACTGTGGGAGGATGCAGAGTACCAAGAGAGAACGCAGACATGCAAACTCCATGCAGAAAGACCACAGGCTGGGTATCAAACCCTTCTTGCTGCAAGGCAGCAGTGCTACCCCCTGCGCCACTGAGCAAGCCACCTCGGGTCTTATTTATCTTTCTTGGGGCCATGTTGCCAGGCAGAGTTGTCATTCTGGCACAATTTAACCAAAGTGCTTTTAACCTAAAAAAAATAAAAAATAAGGGGGGTTCTGGTCCATCAGGACTCCTACGGTAATTTCCATGAACAGCGGATGTTATGCACAAAATTGCCAAATAATAACAATGTCAAAATAAGAAAATGAGTAAAGGCGTATTGGAAAGGAACAACTCTTTGGTTTCCAAGAATACCAGCCATGGGAGGCATATCAAAGACATATCTGTGACCTCATTTTCTTTTCTTCGGAAGGGTCCGCCATGTTTGATAGACCTTCAAATGCAGAGGTGTCAAGTAACAAACTACAAATACTTTGTTACTTAAGTAGACTTTTTAGGTATTTATACTTTAATCCATTATTTATTTCTTCCTACTTCTGCCTTCTACTCATTACATTTTCACACAACTATCTGTACTTTCTATTCCTTATATTTTAAAAAACAAACGTTACTCATTACTCTTGGCTTCTGTTTTATGTTCATAAATATTTATTTCACATCATGTACGCCATCCAATGCAGATCATTGGCTCCATCCACATCTAGTGAAAACTAGTGTCATTGGATGAGTCATAGAACGCAAACACTCATTGGTTAGCTAAAGGAAATCATCAGAAGCAAGCAGGTGTTCTTCAAACTGCAAACGTGAATTGTCTATGCCATGCTACAATGTAGGATTCAGAAAAAGATGCTGAAATGTCTGAAAGGTTGGACACAACCTTTCAGACATCTCAGCATCTTTTACTTTTATACTTTAAGTAGTTTTTGGAGCACATACTTTTTCACTTTTACTTGAGTAAAGAGGTCAAGTTCATACTTCAACTTTTACCAGAGTGTTTTAAACTGCAGTATCTATACTTCTACTTAAGTAACAAATGTGTGTACTTTTGACACCACTGCTCAAATGACATCCTATGTGTTTGAAGTGCTTTTAATTTGATAGTATTTATGAAAAAACAATTTCTACGATATTACAGCCTCAACATTAGAAATGAAATATGAGAGCATTTGGGCAGCCACCGCCGGTTTGGTAACGCGCAAAAATCAGGCTTAAAGATGAAAGCTACAGGTTTAACTCCTCCCCTCTAATAGTGGCACACTGACCCTTGCCCTGTTTTGTAACAGTTTACCAGCTGGTTAGCAGGCCTGTTAATGGTTAGCAATAACAACTACCTGTGCATATGGAAATAGGCTCTGTGTAGCTGCTAGACCACTTTAAGTCTGAACCAAAGCTCAAAGGCTGGACAGATGTCCACCTGTATTTACTTATTTGTTTATTTTGCTGGAATAAGAGGAATGTAGCCAAAGCAGAGAACAATCAATTTCTAATCTCTACCATATCTTTATCTATCAATGTCTGGGCTCTGTCTTCATGACTTTCAAATGGTGCAGAATTGTTTCATGTGGACATTGGCTTCATAACCAGAAGTAAATATTTAAATATTTTGGACCCATCAAAAATAATTATTTACATGCAGTAAAAAAAATTGTCTGTAAAATCAAGACTTTTATTTTGATCCACTCTAGATTTTCTGTGGATGTATTCATTTTTCTTTATTATTAATTGTTTTTGGTGTGAAAGTTTTAGTTATGGTTAAAAATTAAAAAAGTTGAAAGGAAGTGAACTCAGAACCTGCCAAGTCCCAGACAAAAGATACAGTTACACCAAGCCTAATTGATAGATATTGAACACCTAAAATAATCTGATATGAATAGTTTGCGGAAACAAATTATGCCATAAAAACTCCTGATTCTTTCCAACATAGTTTTTATAGACAGGTGGTATGTTGCTATTCCAATAAAGGTTTGGATACATTTTAGGGAGCTCTATATTTGTATTCATAAAATATATTTTCTGCTAATTATTTTCTAACTAGTTTAAAAATAATCATGCTGGATAATAAAAGTTACTATATGCAAAAGGTTGATCAGTGCTAGAAAGGGAACAGGGGCTGAAACAAGAGCAAGGATTGTGCATTGTCCTTCAATGACACTGGATAAATAAATGCAAATATATCAACTTTATTGGCCGAATTTACAAAGACAAACAAGACATTTGAGTTTCAAGTTTAGTTTCATGGTAAAGTAATTTGTTTAGATCGGGTGGGTAACTTTGGATTGCAAATATGTTTATAATACAGTGTTATTACAAAAGAAGACAATGTTGAATTAGTGCAACTTTCGCTTTTCATTCAATGATTGCTTTCATGAGGCATTGCTGATTTTAAAATTGCAAACATAAATGTTTCTATATAATTATTTATTGTGATACAATGTTATGGATGCCTTATTATTTATAGCAAGCCCAAGGCATAGGAAATGTAAGGTGCTGTCCCCTGGACCATGAAAGGGCTCTCAACATTTAAATACTGCAATTAAATTCGCTTCAAGAGTTTTGTAACACTTAGGTTTTAAGAATTACCTTTTCTTTATATATATATATATATATATATATATATTTTTTTTTTTTTACAATTCTGTTTTAGTTATTTCCAAAGGCGAATGCTTCAGTCGTATTGAGATTTAATCATAGTTTTCATCCGCTTAATGTTATTCTTAAAGCAAAAAGGACTGCTGTTAAAGTTGAATTAATCAGTTTTACTTAATTTCTAATTCTGATTTGTTTACAACTGGTGAGTTTAATATAGAATAAGTCAAAAAGATGTATTTTTTCTGAGTTATAAATGCACAGTAAACTAATATTCCAAATAATAGCTTTTTTCTATGGTTCAGTCAATATTTATTTAGCAACTAGTTTTTTTCGTTACTTTTTTCCATAGTAAGGGACTGTTTAAACTTTGGAAAAAATTAAATGAGCTGTTTCAATCCAAAAATAAAAATGTTCAATTGAAATAAAATCCAAAATTCTATTCAACTAAAGTAGGTGTAAATTTCACTTCTTTCATTGCAGAATCACAAGTGGCCACTGGCTCTCTCAATATATTTTAAATGATAAACTATTCCCATGTTTTTTTTTTTTGTTTTTTTTTTGGTTTTTTTTTTTTTTTTTGGTTTATGCTCTTCTTATCCTCCATAAAAACAAACTTCCCCTATTTGGTCTAGAACCGCCACTGGTCTGGAATTGGGCCCAAATATCAAATTCCGCTCGTGTCTGCATACAGTCTTTGATTGGCTATGTTTATGAATTTACAGCAGATTTTAATGAGGTGCATTTTGAGTAGAAGACTATGGAAGAGGATTAGGGCCACTGAAAAAATATAAAAAGTTACCTGATTTTTTAATATTATTTCAGTTTAATATGGGAAAAAACTAAGAATTCTGACTTTAATCTCAGAATCCTGACAGAATTCTGAAAGTTAACAAACGTGTCACCATCAAGTCGTTGCCATGTCTGTTTTAGAGACTAGCTCTCTTGTTTTAATGACCTTTTGCATTTCCATTAATGAAATAGCATCACAGGGGACCCCTCGGGCATGTAGAAAGTTGCCTAATTTCGTCATTTTTCACCATTGTGTCACTGGCGCTCCCAAACAACTCACATCTTTGCCAGTGAATCTGAGTGCTCCCACTTCTCTTCCTTCATGGTTCCCATCTACATTAAGATCCAAAATTCTGAGATTAAAGTCAGAATTCTGAGAAAAAAAAGTCAGAATTCTAAGATTAAGGACAGACTTCTGAGATTAAAGTCAGATTTCTGAGATTAAAGTCAGATTTCTGAGATTAAAGTGAGAATTCTGAGAAAAAAGTCAGAATTCTGAGATTAAAGTCAGAATTTTTAGATTAAATTCAGAATTCTTAATTTTTTTTCAGATTTTACTGAAATAAAATTTTAAAATCAGTGAAGTTTTATTGTTTTTTCAGTGGCCCTAATTCTGTAGAAGACCCATTAGATGCAAACAAATGATTCCCTTCAGTCATAGGTTGAATGTCGCCCACTAGTGGCTGATCTTCAGCACTGCACGGACTGATTGGAGAGTCCGCATTCCTAACAGTACACACTCCGTGAGAAGAGTTTTCGCCTGCGAAAACGGATGCTAATCTGAAGGAGCTTGATGGATTAATTAAAATTAAACGAATTAGTGACGCGGGAATTGTTGAAGTCTCGAACAAGCGACAACAAAGGGCAACAACACAGCAAACCACAGAACTCCAGACTGAGTGGAGCCAGCAACTTCTGCGAGAGAGACGTCCCAGAGCCTCAGCACGACCACCGTAAGACTGTACATACAACACGGAAACATGCAAAAATAACTGACACTACAGTGACATCCCTAATACTTCCCCATATAATTGTTTCTTGAGATCGTGTTTTAAACCATTTTCACCAAACTTCCTTTTTAAATGTAACTGGGGGGGGGAACGTTTGTTGAGTTAGAGCACTCTGGATCATGCGCAAGATGAAACATGTAAATGTTATCAAAAACGCCCATAAATATCATATTATGGGTAGATAATATAAAATTGATCAATTTAATGGTATATGTCAGTGTTGTTCGGAATTTAGATATTTTTTAGGAGCGTTACGCCACATTAAGATACGAACTATTTTTTTTTTTCTTTCGCTGCGGCGGAATGATACGTGTGGTGTTACGCCTGGATCTGGAGGATAGGACTCGGCGCGAGGAGAAGCAGAGGAGGTTCAGGTTAACCGAAGCGAAATTATAAGTAGCAAAGTTGGGTTTGTGGGTTAAATATTCACAACAAAAAACGACAATAGGTATGGATTATGACCTCAACGTAAAGGTATGTTGCTAATTCACGCTTCTACCATTGACTTAGAAGGTTGAAAGTGAAACGTATAGAGCTCCATCAGTCTTGTGCGGAACGCTCAGTCGGTCCCACCAGGGAGGGCTAGGCTAACGGCTAGCACAGATTAGCCTTGCGTCACTTATTAGAAGTTTGAAAAGTTTCTCGTTTGGAGTAAAACAGGACAGGAAGAAGTATCTTAGGCTGCATAGACACGGTTAAAAAACTTATTTTTAGCAGGGGTTGTTTTTAAGACAATGTATATAAATATTGTACGTTATTAAGTAGTCATGGTTACTTTTTGTTGAGCGTCTGACATTACCTTTACGCTAAACAGTTTCTGTTCCGTCTTAAAAAAGAACAGAAAAAGCTAGGCTAGTTATCTTTTTCCTAGTGGTGGGATTCCCAATGGTACTCTCTACGCAGAATTTGGAGTATTTTATGGAATAGTAGTTGTGTAAAGCCCCGGTAGCGCTGTAGGCTAACCTTACTACAGTTTGGGGGTTTGTGTAACGTTACACGGCGCTTTCCGAGGTCTCCTGCTCCCTGTGTCTGGGTGGGAAAGCGCTTCACCGATCCGTTGTTCCAAGTTGTCATTTCCCTAAAGGTTAATCTTCACCAGAACTTCAAACTCTCTTGATCATAAGGTGGAATGAATGGGCCTTTAAGGTTTAAGCTTGCCATCTTTTTTTTTTCTTGTCCGTTCTGTAAGGAAGCTGCATTGCGGCCTTATAGATCTGGGATGATTTGCTTTCTATAGGATCTGCTTGGCCACTTAACTCGCGCTTTGGTTTGATCTCTTGCAATGTTTGAGTTTATATATGTTTCTAGAACTGTCGATCATGTGACTAAACACAAACACACTGATATGTAACTTGTAACTTTCGAGTTGCTCAAAAATCCTGATAAATTCCATGATTCATCTTGCGTGGTGGTGACAAAGAATTAGGTGATGAGTAGGAAAGTATTTTCCCAACCATGTGTTTCATAATCCGTCCATGCAAATGTGTTTAAGGCTGATTTGATCTCTTGCCTTTGATGGTTAAAATATGATAAGCTATCATGGTTAACTGTAAACTTGCCAACACTGATTTCATTTTCAAGTCTCACCTACCAATTCCACTTTTAATATGTTCTGCTTGTTCTCAGGGCTATAATACATCAGGGGGAATCATGTGCTCCAGGTTATTTGATAAGATGTACAATTTTACATCTGGAAAAATAAAGAAACAAGTACTTATTTTACCATATGCTGCGACCTTAACATGTAGGATTTATGTCATTTTTTGAATAAGAAAATGAGCAATGCCCAAGTCAGGTTGCAGCCACTCCAGGCTGAGTGACAAATACAGAAATCTTGAATCTTTTTCTAGCTTTCATACATTGCGATTTTGACCAATTTATGAAGATATTTTTACCTTAACTTTTGTGGCTTCAGAAAAGTTAATGCAAAGTTTGTAGAGAAAGTTACCAAAGCAATCACATCTTTGGAAAAGGTTAAATTTTCAGACAGGAAATGGAGAATTTGCAAATTACTCACCTTCATTTACCAAAGTGTTTGCGTTTAACTTTTTTTGACTCAAAGCCTCTGTTTTTATCTGAATCGAACAAGGCAAACGTTTTTAACTTTTATCTGACTCAAACAAAAGTACCTACTGTGTTGGTGATCTCATAGGCAGAAAATGTTGGGAGTTTGGATGTTTTCATGAAAATTTTTTCACTAGTCAAACTACCAGTCAGCAGTTAAGGCTCACCTGCGAACCTATTGACTTGTGCATTTGAAAATTTTCTAATTATCCATATTGATTTCTAATTGACATGTTAATTTGTAAAGGGTTGTAGGGAATCATCTTATTAAATGGTTATTGAAATAGTCGTAAACTAATCAAGTGATTGGAGTAAATCGTTACCTACAGTAATGGGTCCATATCATGCTGTTTGTTGAAAGAATAACCTAGGTATTTAATACAAAATTCTCAAAATATAAACATTTAGAAATATAAAATAGATATACATAGCTGACGCCTCATATAAATATGGTTCTCTTCAGTCGGAGCAAATTGATCTTTCACTTTAGAAACAGCTGACCTATAAATCCTGCATTGCCGCGACCTTGTGAATGCAAAAATAAATTCACAACATTTGCAGGCTGATGATGTATTTGTTTCCAGCTCGTGTCCTCCCTCCTTTAGTTTCCTTTTGCTTTCATGTACGCACAGAACAATGAGCGGTGGCAGCGGGTGCACCGCTGTCGGACAGCTGTGGTCTGGAAGGGAGAGATGGAGGGGGAAACGGCCCTTGTGGTCACATCCTTTCAGACCAACCTAGTTTCACAGGCCCCCAACAGCTGCCTTCGCTGCCGTAGGCGACATGTGTTTGACCCCTGTTTGATGGATGTGCATCATATTGAGTGAAGGGCGAAATATATAATCGCAGAGTTTGACAAGGCATTTAGAGTCCAAGCATCTCTGCTGAAGCTGTAGTTTAAGTATGGAATGTTGAGGGATTCAGTAGCGCATGAAAAAACAAGTTTGCAAAGGAATCGAAATCTAAATAATGTCAGGCTTCTCTCGTTTTTTATATATTATAAAAGGCATTCATGATTAATTTTGTAGTTTCATTAAAATAAATGTTCTTGATCTTTGTTTCTTTTCTTTTTTTTCTGTCTTCTCCTGTATCTGCAGAAGCGTGGAGGATCAGAAGACTAACGCTACATTTTGTGGGAAGGCAGCCTCCAGAAGAGCAATGTTGGCTTCCTTTTAAATCGTGTGTCAGACGTTTGCTGGTGAGACCTGCTGCTACGTTCTGATCTCAGCTCCCTCCATTTGCACCCCCACCTCTTCCCATCATCGGTGTTGACCCTTCTCCGGACAGCTTGCTGGAGGGCCCTTCCTGACCAGGAGCAGCTGCGTCCTGCTTGCTGACTCCCGTTCCTCCCTTGCTTCCTGTCCTTGGTCAGACAAGGCTAAAGCCTCCTCTCCGTTTGCCCCACCCATCATCTCTGCTGGCCTCCTGTTCTCTGGTACACTTGTATTCATGCCCTCAAGCCGTTGTTCATCGCTCATCCAGACTTTTTAAGAGTATTTTTGCTGTTAAGAGATCAAAGGCGAGGAGCTTTTTAATCGCCTAGGACAAACCGGGACTGACCAAAAAATCCCAAAGAACCTCCTTTCCAACTATTTCATAGCTGGCAGCATGACTTCAATGTCAAGTCTGTTCTCTTTTACCAGTCCTGCAGTCAAACGGCTGCTCGGCTGGAAGCAAGGGGATGAGGAGGAGAAATGGGCAGAGAAGGCAGTGGATGCGCTTGTGAAGAAACTGAAGAAGAAGAAGGGCGCCATGGAGGACCTGGAGAAAGCCCTGAGCTGTCCGGGACAACCCAGCAAATGTGTTACCATTCCAAGATCGCTGGACGGTCGGCTCCAGGTTTCCCACAGGAAAGGCCTCCCTCATGTCATCTACTGCAGAGTGTGGCGCTGGCCGGACCTGCAGTCCCACCATGAGCTAAAACCTCTGGAGGTGTGCGAGTACCCATTTGGCTCCAAACAGAAGGAGGTCTGCATCAACCCTTATCACTACAAGCGAGTGGAGAGTCCTGGTAGGTTATTTTAGTCCAAATGATTTTATTTTTCAACTACCAAGTGTACTGTGTGAAAGTCTCTCACAAAATAGCAACAAAGTGAAGCAACTATTCCTTTTTAGACCTGAAAGAAGCGAATCTTCAGAATTGTATGGCCCGCTTTTGTGTCTGGTCTTTGAAACGCATCAGTCTACCCATTAAAATATCCAATTCAGATTTGGGTTTAAAAAAATACAATATAGGAAACTACAAGATCACAATTTTGCTTCTGTTTGCCAGCCTTTCTTCCGTTAGTCGATCTCCAGTTGTTTATATTTGGATCAGAGGCAGCTTCACAGTTTGAGTGAGAGAGCAGATGCTGTAAACAGGGTTTTACTCTTTTAAAGGAAAGCCAAAATTGTCATTATACCATGATTTCAATCTTCCCCCATTGTCTTGGCTCGGTTGGCTAAGCTAATGTTACTCGTATTTCCAGGCGATGCTAAAATCCATTTCCAAAAATCTGCCAACTAGCCTCCTATAACTGCCAATATGAGAATGGGCAATTACAATACTGTAGGTAAAAAAACTGTAGGAAAGAAATCCAGTTAATCTAGAAGTATTACTGACTCTTCAATGTTACTTAATCTTCCCAACGTGAATTTTAGTGTCTCACTCAAAATACACTCCGGGGTGGCCATTAGGGGTAGTTTTTTTTTTTTTTTTTTTTTTTTATATATATCTTTCACACTCTTTTGCATGCAGTATTGCACTAATGTTCATATTTGGGTTGTAAGTGGACACTTTGTGCAGCTCTACTTCCAAATTATAAAAACCCATTAGAACCAACTGCTACTGAAAGCCCTGATATATTAAATCTCTGCTTTACTCTTGTTACCTTTTATCAGCTAAGTGTCACTCTCTCTCTCTCTTTCTCTCTTGCTGTCTGATTTAACCACAGGCATGCCTAAACATGTCGTAAAAAGTATTCTTCCTTTTAATTTAATGTTGTTGGTTTTTTTTTACCTCTCTGTATTCCTCTGGCTTCATCCTTTAACGTCTCTCTGATCAAAAAAATGTTTAACTATTTTCAATCGTGTGAATCTGAGCTAGATGGGATTTTTTACTCGAGGTTATCAGGGAAGGGGTCCTGAAAGGCAAAGGCGATTTTAGACGTCCCATTCAGCTTGGTTAAGAAGTCACAGATTTAAAATAACACTGAATTGTAAGGATCAGCTCAGCAGAGTCAGATTCATATTGAGGATACTGAAGAAGAACACGTCTGCTATTTAAAATTCTAAATGTGTTCCGGCCGCTTGGATGAGGAAGGGAAAACCAAGTTTCTGTGGAGGAAATCTAAAACTAGAGACTCATTCATTGGTATTTGTAGTCCATCCTTTTTATGTCTAATTCTGCCACAACAATCCCGCCCCCTTGATAAACGACCAATCGCATTTACTTTATTCACTCGTGTAAAGTCGTGCACCACTCGGGAGAATTCAGAAATGCAATGGTTGGAACAGTGGCTTCCCTACGACTTTAAGGATTAATTTTTTATTATTTACCATTGCAATACATCAGTATATACAATATCAATCATTTGGGTCTTTTTGTGTCTCTTAAACTACTTGAACCAACTTAATAAATTGCCCCCTCCCTCCTCAGCATTAAAGCAAACATGTATGTACCTATGAATATACTACATACATGCATAAGTCCCCCTGGCCCCCATGGTAAACTAGACCTCACATTAACAGTCTAATCGGACCTACCTTTTTTTGTGTTGTGATAAAAAAAATATGGAATAAAAAATTTGGAAAAAAAAAAAAAAAAACCCCGAAACAAAATCATAATGGAAGTGCAGAAGCGTCTTAAAAGCTTTAAAAGTGAAATAATATAATTTAATTTTGTACCTTTGCGATACAGTCCTGTTTTGGTCACAAACTGTCAGTTCTCTTGAAATAAGACCAATAAAGAACTGAATTCCTTCCTGTAAATAAAAGCTAATGTTAAGAGGAGAAAGTCCAGCACATCAACTGGACCATCTCTTCTGTTTATAATAAAAAAAAAAAAAAGTTTTTTTGGAATGCGGTCATTAATTCCTTAACGCGCTATAGTGTTGTTAGTTTTTTCTTTTTTCTTCTTTCATTTTAAATAATGATTTGTTAAATTTGGGATAAGGGTGTCAGGTTTATCATGTGAATGGAGGAAGAAAAAGCAACATACTGGGGGTCAGTTAAACTGATCAGTATCAGAATTGGTCATAAACACCTATACTGGTTAACCTCATGCTTTTAAGAATATTATTAAATCTGTTAAGTTGGGATGCATGTCATCGAGTAAGTGAATTGATCCCATCAATCATCTAACGATTATAAATAATGGTTACTTTTTTTAATATATATGTAATTTGATGAAAGAAGAAGCAGAATCCCTCATGACCATAGCCAGTGTGTCTGTTTTTTTTCCTCCCTAAAGAACACAACCATTTTTAATGTTTGGGATACTCCAAGCTCGTATCAGTTAATTTAATTCCCAAGTTAGAATTGTCTTTATTTTAAAGCTGCGGAACAATCCAGAATGTAAAATTTTTTTTCAACCAGTCTGGAATTTGGTGCTTTTTCTTTTCCTTAGAGCCTTTTTTTTAACAGAAACAAAGTAGGGATATCTGTGATTTGTGGTGCTTGTTTAACACTAAGGAGAGGAGGTGATTGTGCCAAATCAAATAAAAAGTGGTGTTCTATTAAGGGCTGAACCACTTAATCGGATTGTGATTAATCAATTATTGAAATACATATCAACTAATTTAGTAATCGATGACTCGTTAACTCCCGTTATTCATTAACTCTATTTTGCATTTCATATAATTTCATATATTCAATATGCTCTACCCAGTATTCAAGTGGAAAAGTTTTACTTTCACCTGGTTTAATTCTGTAAAACATCGTCTTTAAGGAACCTTTTGGTATCCGATTATTAACCGATTGCGTTTTGTAAATGGAAGCACAAACACCAATATCAGTCCCCTTAAAAAAACGTAAGCACATATGAGGGATCGGTTAAACTGGTGTAAAAAAGAAAAAAGAAAAAAAAGAAAACACACTCTGCCTTAAAAAAGCATACATTGTGATAACGTCTAATATTAAGGCATGTAAATGCAAATTAGATTAATTGAAGATGCTTTTAGAACATTATGGACTACTAGGTTAGGTAGGAATCAGGAAAATGTTTTTAATGGCTTTAGGAGGAAGGAGTATGATTAAATAGCCTCTTCAGTCATAAGCACTGAAATATACATATTATCTAGTATTTAATTTTATATATAATTTAACATGATACATAATGTTAAATTAGTAGTTTTACTGGATTATCTGAATTAAAGATATTCATTCATATGTTTGGAAAAGAAGCTTGAGGTGGAGAAAAGGCTAGAGAATTGGGAAATGGCAAATTTCAACAAAAGTGGCTGGAAAATGAGGAATTCGGGACCTGGCTTCAGGCTGGCAACAGTAAAGATAATTAAGGATTTTGCCGTGTAAAATATATATATAATTTAATATGATACAGATGGTTAAATTAGTAGTTTTACTGGATTATCTGAATTAAAGTTATTCATTCCAAGTCCCTTATTCCTGCACATCTGTTTGGCAATCGAAATAGACTATCAGTAGTAAGGAGTTTTGTATTTTTATTTCATTTATTTAGTTCTTACTTAAAAATCAGGGTTTAGTTGTTTTTGTTATTGTATTTGGAATAAAATCCTTGATAAATTGCTTTCTAAGCTGTGCAGATGCTTTAAAGCTGGAAGAGCCTGTAAACAAATCCACAAAGGTCAGCAGGCAGTGATCATGCAGGCCTGTCCAACCCGCCTCTTCCATTTCACAGAAAATCAATATCACTAGCTCTAGGAGTCTTATTAGATTATATAGCCCAGGCACTCCAGTTTGGGTGTGGCATCAGAAAGCGGCTCTCTAAATGCATAAACCACTCAGGCTTAACTCCCAGCACTCTCTCTGCTCAAACCTCCCTGCTTGCCTCCTAATGTCATTCACACAGCCAATAAATATAGTAAAGAGTGACCCTGACAGGACAGCCTTTCCGACACCAGGCTTGTTTCAGAATGCCAGCCCTTTATTGACTTGTTCACGGATGTGGATCGCGTGTCGGTCAGGAGAGGCTGCACACTGACAGCATTTCAGCAAGAGCTTCCTGAAGGGCTTATATGGGGATGGGTCTTCAATGGAAAGGAGACAAATCATATTTCAATTTATAATCACTATTTAACTGCTTTCTTTACATTTTGGAATAGAAGCTGTGTGCATAATAGTCTTGATCTGGTCTTGAACACTGACTAGTTCATTATCCCACTATGGCATTTATACACTGTCATCACTTCCAATATTCCTATTAAACTGAATGTTATAGGGCATACAGGTAGTAGGTTTCTAACATGTTGAAGCAAGTTTCTGGCCAAGCTGGGAGGATTTATGCTAAGTTTTAACCAGTCAAACATACTTGAGCTGATTTTGATTTCTTTTAAAGACCATTTTTTTAAGATTTTCTCGCCTTCTTTGAGCGAACGGTAATAAATCTGGGTGATATCACACCGAGACTAGTTGTAATTAAGCAGCATTTTACTGTCTTAAACAGAAACATAACAAACAAAAAATTGTTTCTTTAAAAAACTATGCTTTACTTGTATTGCCTAAACAGATGTTGATCCTTACCCTTGCTTTGAGATGTTCCTATGTTTCTAAATCCAGACCAGACAGCTCAAACCTTAGAAAAGCGGAACAACTTAACATTTCTCCATCCATGCTTTCATCTGCCTTATGTCTCTCTGACTCAGTGATGGGCAGAATGACAGCAACTTTTCCTGTAGCTTTTAAAATGGCTTCAGTCTTCTGAAGCCTTTGTTTTAAACACTTCTGATGCTAAAAAACAAATAGCTTTTAACTCTTCTTCGTTTTTCAAGTTACTTCAACACACTGCTAGCATTCCAGCGTGGCAGCAATCGGTTTGATGTGTTTATGTTTGAAGAAGATTTAGGGCTTAAAACGATTCTTCGGGTATTCTATTACCTCTATTTATAAAACTCTACAAGGCAAGTAGTTGGCCTAAAGGCTACTTTGAATGATTTTTATATATATCGTCATGAATTTAATGTCGGATTATTAATTTTGAGTTATCTTCTAAAAAATGAATTAAAAGAAAGAAGTCCTCAAAAAATTTAATAGTTAGATTGATTGATTGATAGAAAATGGAATTTCTTTAAAAACTTTCAATAGGCTTTGTGTGTGAAGGACCAGCTCTACCATATTTAAAAATATATACAGAAATAAATAAATACGCATACAAATAATTGCCCCCAAAAATACAATAAACAAATAAATGTGGGTAGACATTGAATTATGCAGTGACACATAAATGTATCTCTTTTAATTGGCTTCTTTATTTATTCGCCTTTGTAATGATTACATTATTTATTTATTTATTGTACGTTATAATCTTCAACTTCATTTATTACTAATTACTTATTTTTTAAGTATACTTATATTTTATTTATTTGCTATAATATTTTTGTCTGTTTTATTTTTCCTTTGTAATTTTTTTACCCTATTTATTTCTTAATGCTATTTATTTCTGCCCGTCGTTTTTTTACATTTTGTGTGCATTTCTGCCTCATAATGCAAATGAGTAAGGGGTGTGCCTTAGAGGGTCAATTTTATTTATTTCTGTATTTATTTTTAAATATGGTAGAGCTGTTCCTCCTCATTTATGTCCTAGAGGCGTTTTTCGGTTTTGTTTATAACTCAGTGAAAATAAACATTTTGCAAACAATGTTCCAGAATAATAAATTTAGTCTTTATAAAGATATGTATAAGCTTTTGTTTTGCTATTGAGAAATAATTCAACAAAACTGTAGCTAAATGTAAACTCTAACCTATTTACTAACATTGCAAATGGGGAAAAAAGTTATTGCCTAATTAATCAATCTAAAGTTGATTGAATTTATTGGCCAACTAATGATTAATGGATAAGTGTATCTTCTCAGAGACTGAGTCATCTCATCTCATTATGTTTTAATAATTTATTGTTCTGGCTGTGTTGGTTTTAGGGCTGGGCGATATGGCTAATCTGTCATGATTTCTTTTTTTAGTCATATTTGACGATTTTAATTGAAGCATTAAAAACATGAATGTATTTTAAAATGGGTACTTTTAAGTAACAAATATTTAGCCAACAATAAACGTATTGTAAAAAAATTTAAACTTGAATATTAAAGTCGTAGATGAGTCATATTTAAATGTCAAATAATTCTGGCTTAAACAGAACAGAACAACTGGTTGTGAGGCAAGGGCTCACACATGTACGGCTGTAAGCCTTCTACACCAAACCAAGCTTCTGCCGCCCTGGCGTCCTCTTCCTCAACAACTTCGTCCCTACTTTCCTCCTCTAAATAAAAGATGTATGTCGAAGGAAACTCATCCACGACCTCCGACACTAAACTCTCCTCCTCTTGCATGTTTCCACGGTCCATAGCGTTTTTTGACAGTGTTGTTTCTAAGTCACCAATTTAGTGCTACTTGGTCCCAATGGAATTTCCCATTGGGAACCTACTAGCACTAAGTTGCTAACTGGTTAGCAAGATGCTTCCGACAAACCGGCCACAACCAAACATGCTTGCGAACCTTCGGCCACAACAATCCCGCCCCCTTGATAATCGACAGAGCACATTCACTTTATTCTAGGGCTGCAACTAATGATTATTTTAAAAATCGATGAATCGGCCGATTATTTTTTCGATTAATCGATGAATCGGACAAAAAATATTTTTTATATTTTATACTCTTTATTCCAAAATAAACATTTTAGACAGAACAAACAAGCACACAAGTACAGGTTGCTCATTAACTGTACTGGTGCAATATGAAAAATAAATGCTTGTGTTAAAACTACGCAAACTTACATGAGAAATGTAGCTGTACATCCACAAAATATAGGCTACTTTGTTTCATAAAGCGCAAAAAAGAATTTTTTGTTTTTAAAAGCCCCTAAGGGGCTCAAACAATAGGCCCCCCCATTTCAACAAATGAGGTTTTTTTAGACTAGAAGAGTTCTGCCTTTTAAGACAGGAAAGCTTAGCAGTTAAAGTTGCTACTTGAGAAAATACTGAACCATAGAGATAAAAATAGCCCTGTGATTCAAATTATAAATTGTATTTGGAATAAAAATGAGAGAACTAGCGGTGCTAAAAAACACATCCTCCAAAGACAGATATTTACATGGGAATGTGGCATATAATTAATTGACATATTACTGATCTTGCTGGATTTTATTCTGCTTTACTTCCATAAATTGCAGGATCTTCTTTACTTTATTTTTGCCAGAAGATTTAAACTTTAAAAGCCTTGCCCTCATAATTTGCAAGTTAATTTATTTATAAAGAAAATATAAACGCTGCTTAAGCTAATTCAAATGAAATTAAAAGTAAAATAAGTAGCTAACCTTATCACTGTCTGTAACCTACTAACACGGTAAGGAAAGCATCAGATGAGCTACCTGAGAAACTAACGTTACGTTTCCCCACTTTAAAACCAAACAAACATGGTGGTTCCGTGCCATGTTAATTTGTTTTGACAAAAGTTGCATGTTATCACTTTTTTCGCTTTACAAAGCGCAGGCTATTTTAATTGTGATCAATTTGCGCCGTCAATCCCGGCGCATGCACGCTTCATTTGCAGTCTGGACGCTGAAACATCCTGCGGCTCTAACTGCAGCGCTGAGAGGGACTCCTGCGGGAGCGGGGGGAGGCGCCCCACGGCAGAGTAGGAACGATACATGCTTTCACGTAAGAGTCTCCAGAAGCCGCCAGTGACACCGTAAAAAGTCGACAGATTTGTCGCTAGTCGCTTTTTTGAAAAAAAGTCGCTGGAGGGGTCTGAAAACCCGCTGAGTTGGCAACACTGCACCTGCAGCGCTGACTCGCTCTGCCGTATTTTTTTCTTCTTCCCCCGTTTCAGTCAAGATTTTATCGATTCTTTGTTGCAGCCCTACTTTATTCACTCGTGTGAAGTCGGCCACCACTCAGGAGAATTCAGAAATGCAACGGTTGGAACAGTCATTTCCCTACAACTTTAATAACGTAAATCTTGTCCAAGTAACACAAATGTTCAGCCAGCAATAATTGTACTGATATTTTATCAGTAAAAGATGTACACCTATATATTCAGTACAAGTGCAAGAGCTGTTGAGAGCCCAGTTCATGTCCATATAAAGCACAGTTAAACCCATGTACAATGAACCCTCGCTATAATGCGGTCCACTTTTCACGGTCTTGCATCATGCATTGTTAAACTTTATTGTCAAACATATTAATGGTGGCATGTCGGTTTATAAGGATCTTTTGGCCCAGAAGAAAAAAGAGCGACAACAACTACCGATATCTGTGTTCTTCTCTCCAAAAAACACACCTGCACCGCAGGCTTTAGAAAAAAACGCCACAGAGCAGAGTCAGGATGCATCGGCTCCGTCAGAACAGCAGTGAAATACTGTACTGTACATGTCAGTCACTATTTGTCCTACTGTACTTTGTATTTAAAAGGTTTCTACTTCACGGATTTCACCTATCGCGGGTTCTTTTTGGAACGTAACCCCCGCGATAAACGAGGGTTCACTGTATGGCAAAAAACAGGAACCTATTGGGTCACTGAATGTATAAAAGATTAATTAAAATATGTTAAACTCTTATCATTTCTAATGGAAAAAGATATAAAACTATTATTAGCACACAGGGTATGCCGCTCTCATACTGTCACACTATTTACCGCTTTGTTTCAATGAAATTGAGGCTAACTGTGATGTAGCTCTGTTTTCTTGTAATCTAACATTGAGAGCTGGGAGAGACTTGGTGCTGCTGTCATAGCTTTTAGATGTATGGTTCTGTTTGCTAGGAGGAATATTTAAACTGGCCTGTGTGTAGTGCATTAACTTACAAAAGCCTTCTCCATCTACCGTGCTAATTGCTAGCATGGCTTTTTCTATTATATTACAAACATTTTATCTAATTTCCTCCACTTTTCCATCACCTCACCTTCTGATCTCAGGGTTGAAGCTCACAGTTTTGTTGGTATTAGAAACGCTGTCATGGTATTAAGAAGGTTTTAAATTCAGTGTAAGATTACCTTTATATACCCTGCAACAATTTTTTTTTTTTTTTTTTGTGCTTTAAGAGGTTGGCTGAATAAACAAGCTGCCTTTGTTTCTGTTCTCCCAAATTTGATTTGGTGGATAATGACTTGTATTTTCTGCATTTGTGTTTGTTCACCATTGATAAAAATGTGTTTAAACCTAAAGCAATGTTTAGTTGTGACTTTCTATTCGATGCAAATCGTTGCTTTCTAATTGGAGATTGAAAAGGGGAAAGTGTGCGTATATCTTTAAACTTTTTATTAATGTTTACTTGGAGAAATATGCATTCAGCTTAATATTTTGCATGTATGTTTTTCTGTTTTCAACACATTTCCCTGTTTTCTCCCACCCAGTCCTGCCACCTGTCCTGGTACCGAGGCACAGCGAATTCAACCCACAGCACAGCTTGCTTGTACAGTTTCGTAACCTCACCCATAACGAGCCACACATGCCCGGGAACGCCACCTTTCCAGACTCCTTCCCGCAACCACACAGCGGCAACAGCAACGGAGGAGGAGGAGGATCTTTCCCCATTTCTCCAAATTCTCCATATCCTTCTTCTCCAGCCAGCAGCGGTACCTATCCAAACTCTCCAGCCAGCTCGGGGCCTTCCAGTCCATTCCAACTCCCAGGTACTCCAAGCACACTCCTGTACTCGACCCTGGGAAGTCTGCCAAACCATTGTTTTCCTGGGCTGTCACTCTTCTCTTATGCAACCAGAAAAGATTCACAAATGTATCTCAGGAGTTCCAATTGTTTATATACAGGAAAAAAAATCTATTTGTTTTTAATCATAACATCAGAACAGGTAGATGAATTTGAACCAAACTACTAGATTTTGCCCAAAAAAAACAAAGGTTTTAAAGTTCTCTTAATGTGGTGTCTGACATATCTGAAAGAGTAAATTTGTTAAAGAGGAGAGTGAAACATATTTATGAAGAAGCTCCATTAGCAAACATTTCTCTCACATGACTGATCAGCTGTTTCTCTGTCCGGCCTTCTTAATGTCAGCATTAGAATCGCATTTCCTTCTCCATGTTGGCATGAAGCATCACTAATACTAGCTGAAATTATGGAGTAAAAAAAACTCCTGATCGCACCAAATTTATTAAAACCTTCTCTTCTTGATTAATCCTAACGTGTGACATTACCGTCTGCATCGCCTGGTTAATTCGCTCCAGTGGATGGAAACTCACCTGATTTGCATTTTCTTTTTTGTGTGAAAAGTTTGCTTTGAATGTAAACACAGCTACTGGTTTTAATATAAATAAAATGTTCTCATCCTCTCATTATATAATTTTTTAAACCTATATCCTTCAAACCAAATGTAATGTAATGATATTCTTTGTCAACCTGAGCTATAATTAGATTTTAACCTCAAACACAGGGGTTTGGAAGCAACTAGTCCAACCAGATGAAGAGTTTTATCCAAATCAAACCACCTCGCTTTGTGAGAACAAAGGAAGTGCCAGCTAAGCACTGCCCATCAGAGCCAAGGCATCTGTCTGCAGTAAAAGCATCAGCTATGTCCGTCAGGAAGCCCTTTTTTTCATCATGAATGTATAAGATCAGAGGATGTAGAGCTAACCTGCTTAAACATTGTATAATTTAAGATGTATGTTTAGCTAAACACACTGGATGCCTGCTGTCTTAAGAAGGTTCACAAAGAACTCCTGTAACAACTTGTTTGGTGCTGCAGTGATTTAGCATCCATGTTTGCATGAACAATGATAGTTTCTCCTGTTGGCTTCAGAAAGACTCGGATGCCTCGCTGCATCTCTGTCGGGAATGGGTTAGCATGTGGTTTAGAAGTGAGGCGTATGTGTAATCTAACACCATTTCCGGGGTACAGCTCCTGTGATGATTGTCTAGGGACATCTCTGTGTGTATGCGTGTGTGTTGGTGTGTGTGGGTGTGTGTGTTAGAGAGACCATTTGCCAGAAGCAGCAACAACTGGTCTCATCCATTGCTAACTGCTTTTCATGTCTCAGCTGACACCCCGCCCCCGGCCTACATGCCCCCCGAGGAGAAGCTGGGTCAGGACAGCCAGTCCATGGAAACGAGCAGCGGCATACCTAGAGGTGGGAAGTAACGGCACCGCCGTGCAGTTTTCTCTTTAGTTCACTTCTGTTCTTAGTTAAAAAAATTTTGTTGTTGTTGTTTAAACACAATATTAAGTTTTGTTTTTTCTAACAGTGTCCTACGGAAGAGGATTAGGGCCACTGAAAAAAAAAAAATTGTTAACTGATTTTTCAATTTTGTTTCCGTTTAATATGGGAAAAAGTCAGAATTCTGACTTTTTTTTTCTCAGAATTCTGACTCTTTTTTTTCTCAGAATTCAGACTTTTTTTTCCTCAGAATTCTGACTTTTTTTTCTCTCAGAATAGATAGATAAGACACTTTTTCAATATGATAAAACCATCAAAAAAGCTCCGTCATTTAATTTCAAAGGCACGGGAAATACTCTTTCCATTGGTAGATCATATTATATTCCTGCTGAAGTTAATGTCTTGAGTTGTTTAGGTCTGTTTTTGCAGGGCCTTGCATTTAGTGTCTCGGCATGGTTTTGGGGAAACCCGGGTTCTTTTAATCGAAGACAAATGCTTGTCTGGATTGTTCAGTTTTGTTGTCTCTCATCTTCATCCAGTTTCCATTTAACAAAATTAAGTTCTGTTTAGGATTCAGGTTGGGCCTATAATATTCAGGCCAGCGATGACATATCCATCAAATCCTTCAATTAAACTAAAAATATACTTATGGATATACTTAATAGACTACTATATACTTAATAGCATTATAGTGATTCCTTCAACCAGTTATGTTAATAGCTGAAGTTAAGAAGGATCTCCTCTATCGGTTTACAGCTAATATTAAGAGGTGTCTGACTGAAGACGCTCTGTTGGTTCTTAGGGTGATGTTCTTCATTTTATACAACATTATTGTAATGTTATTATTATTAGACTCATTTTCTTTTTTTTAAATATATCGTATCGGGTACAGGAGTGCCAAAGCTCATGAAGTGCAGCAGCTGTAGGCCACGTCCTGTTTATGTCAGTCTGGATTAAACCAGATAAAACCTTGAATTTTACTCTTACAGAGACTTGCATGGGATTTACTGCACAGTCCTTTTATTCCTTGTACATGTTGCTTCAGCACTTTTTCCTTCCACTCAACTTTCCTTTGAAACAACTAACTTCTGCAGCATCCATCTCTTCGCTTTGTCTTTCCTGTGGTAGTGTAGTAGACCCCAACATTTCTATGTTCAGGTTCTTCCTGTTGCCCAGATGGATAATTTATGTTATTTAAGATTATGTTTTTTGTTGTTTTTTTTTCTAAACTTTAAGCCATAATTATTAACATAGATTTCGGCCAGTATTTCTTAAGCATGTAAAGATTTTAGTGTGGTGTTTTGCTAAAAGCTAATCTGGTCCCCTTTGTTTCAAGATGTTCAACCAGTGGAATATGAGGAGCCGAGCCACTGGTGCTCTATTGTCTACTATGAACTAAACAACCGCGTCGGAGAGGCCTACCACGCCTCGTCCACCAGCGTGCTAGTGGACGGCTTCACCGACCCCTCCAACAACAAGAACCGCTTCTGCCTCGGACTGCTGTCCAACGTCAACCGTAATTCCACCATCGAGAACACCCGCAGGCACATCGGCAAAGGTGCGAGCGTTCGTTCGAATCGGCCACGTCCCTTTTTCTACCCGCGGTCATTAAGCCCATGTTTCCATCTCACCAGGTGTGCACCTGTACTACGTGGGAGGAGAGGTGTACGCAGAGTGTCTGAGCGACACCAGCATCTTTGTCCAGAGCCGTAACTGTAATTACCACCACGGCTTCCATCCCACCACCGTGTGTAAGATCCCAAGTGGATGCAGCCTGAAGATTTTTAACAACCAGGAGTTTGCTCAGCTCCTGACTCACTCGGTGAATCACGGCTTTGAGGCCGTGTACGAGCTCACCAAGATGTGCACTATAAGGATGAGCTTTGTCAAGGTGGGGATGCCTTCACCTGCTATCATTATGGAACATTTAACACTTCTGAGTTATCATTCCTAATGATTTGTTTGTTTTGTTTTGTTTTTTTCCTCAGGGCTGGGGAGCAGAGTATCACCGACAGGATGTGACCAGCACCCCCTGCTGGATCGAGGTGCACCTGCACGGGCCTCTCCAGTGGCTGGATAAAGTGCTGACACAGATGGGTTCACCTCTGAACCCCATCTCCTCTGTGTCCTAATAACAGACTTCTGGGAGCTTAGAAGACCTTCTACCTTTCTGTTTTCTATTATCGTTTTTATCTTTTTAACCTCCCCTCCTTTACCATCATTTGTAATTTAAAGCTGTCTTACAGGCTGAACTGTTTACACTTACCTTTGGAAGGGATGTAAAACTCTCACAGGAAACGATCAACAGTCTCAGCTAGAATCCAGTTCATATATGTAATTAAAAAAAAACAAATGTTGCAAGAAAATATCTTGAGGAAAACCCAAGTTACATCACCACCATGGACACACTACTGCTCGACAATGCTGCAATGTAGAAGAATTTAGGTCTGAATCCTTCAGAGGATGATTAGACATTGGTTACATTCATTCTTTTTTTTTTTTTTTTTTATTTTTTTTTTTCTTTTTGTCTTTTGTTTTTTTTTTTTCTTTATTTGTAGTTTATAATTGAGCAGAACAGTTTCCCCACTCTGCTTTTTCTACCAGAGAATTTGAAATTTTTTGAAACACTTTTCTTGTTTCTTACATTGTCGTTTCTGTGTCAGTTAAGATATAGAAACAAACATGTTTACCGTTAGACTCTGATATAACAAATGCTTTTTTTAGTCTCTACTGCTAGAAATGAACACTGAGCTACTGCTTTTAAAAAAGTTCTGTATGCCAATGTGATAGTTTTTTTTTCTTTTGATATGGGAGATCACTGAACAAGATTAACATGCCATAAGCTAACATTGCTAATGTTACATCTGTTGCCATAGAGGTAGGTATGGTGAAACCACAGAGTGAGCACCACCATTATTGAGGCTTGTTTGTACTTGCAAGTTTAAGTAAGAGTGGCTGTTTTTTTTTCCAGACTCACTGTATTAACAATATTGTGCACTCATAGGTTTTGTGGAGGCATATTAAATTTTGGCTTGGGTACCAAGGCATTATGTTAATTTACTTTGTTAGCTCAATAAAATAAAATGGTATTTCTTAATAGTTGTTTTGCTTCTGTGCTCCAGTGAAGTTTAATTCCCTTTTTGATGTAACACTATTAATTGTTTTACTCATTAGAAACTGTTTTTTTTTATATACCACGTCATCCTCAAGTTCTTAATTCTAATTCAATTAATGTGACTGATTAAAATACTAAAAGCTTTTGAGACAATCTAATCCACAAATACAGCTTCCAAGCAAGTAAATAAAAATGTGATTCCATTGTATTTTAGTTTTTGCTGTTCAATCAACCAATTATTTATACTGATATAACATCCATAAAGTTACTTAATAAAATATTGATCTTGTATATAAAAATCAGGGAAGAAAATACAAGTATTTGGAGTTGAATATTTCTGAATTACATATAAGTTAACAAGGAACCTTTTAAAGTGGAATAACATCTAAAAGTGGAGAAGGATCATTGTAAACATAGAAAAGACTATTTTACATACAATAAAGGAATGAATAAAGGCCAGAGACCTTCAAGTGCCGTGAAAATGAAGCTGAGCCGTAAACAGCTGCAAGTGAAACTTCTGTTCTAGAAAAGGAAGAAAAATGTATATATATAGTATACACATGTTTCATTAGGAAGACGATTCAAAGTCCTGTACATGATAGGCAAACAGAGGGAAAGCTTCATTGCAACATAATAAAGAACATAACGGAAGAAGGCAGGACTTTAAAATGCTAAGTTGGGACAGTCGAACAGCGATAAACTTTATGTGGATTCAAAGGAACTTTGTTTCAGCGCTTTTATAGTTTCCTGTTTTTAATGCTAATGAATAAAAGGCTAAAAGCACTTTATCTTTGCATTTAAAAAAACACAATTGTTTCCACTTTTCCCACAAATTTCAGAGAAGATCTTGCTTCTGTATTTCTGTATCAATTTAAACATGACAAACGCATCAGATTTTAGCAGTTTCACCCAATACTGCCCATGGGTGTCATATTGCTTTTGAAAGTACCCCAGCGATACATTTTTTTTTTTCTTTTTTTAACCTAGTAACTTTTTTTTTTTTATGCTTAAAAGGAAAATAGATATTTGTTTATATATTTGTTTCTTTGGAACGTATTAAATCGCATCAAGTAAAGATGCTGTAGCCTGCATCACTGTATGTCAGTAGCTTCCTGCAGCTAATTTTAAATTCAGATTATGGTAAAAAAAAAAAAAAGAACGATTGTTTTTGGATGTCTTGAAAAAGAAAAAGATTTAGAAGTTCAGACAGTGGAGCTAACAGACAGCTAAAGCTTCACCAGCTAAAGCTATGCTAGCCTGTTTTAGTAAGAGACATTTCAATATAGTTTCTTATATCTCTAAATCAACATATGAATTTGATTGTTTAAAAGAAACAATGCACAAAAGTTTAAATAACCAATAACATTAAAATTAAGAGCATTATAATGTGTTAAATAGGTTAAAATAAACACAAATCCAACTACATTGATGACCTGAGGCTTCAGCTCTCCAGATTTAGAGCCCCTCCTTGAATTGCCATTTCATTGTAGAGGGGTTTTAATTTCTGGGATGATCCGAGGTCTGGGCTGGACTGGGACTAAAAAATGGCTTTTTTTTTTACCTCTGTGGCGCACCATGATTAGTTATACTAGAAAGCAGGGGCGTGCACACATAGACACTAGGTGGTGCTAAAGCACTAGGAAGTTTGCCCTCTATCAAAGAAAATGCCCTTTTGAAACTCGTTTTTTTAATTACTATTATTAATATTATTAAGATTTTACTGAGGTCGGTTTTGAAATGATCTTTTGAAAACCTGAGCCATTAAAAACGACTGAAACAATGCCCCGAAATGACCGACCTACTTGCGCACACCCGACCAGCCTCTCTCTCTTCCTTTGTCACGTGAATCGCTCGGCCGCCCGCAGGGCATGCCAGATGCGCAGCATCATAGCAGTTTTCAGATAGCAGGAACGGTCGCTGACAGGCTGCTTCTCCCGTGCCCCATTAGCCAGGTAATATACAGATCAAGCAGAATCATTTTGTTGGGCATTAAAATGTCTCATTCAGCAGCACCAAACACGCATTTTGCCGACTGGTCACCAGATAAACTAGTCGTCTCCTTGTAAGATGCTATTTTACTTTTTATGTTTTGTATCCATATTTTTTTATCTTAAGTGTATACATTAGTCTATTTTATTGCATGACGTATACCCACAGTTTTTAGATATTTTTATAATTTTATTTACCTATTCCATATTATATGTTTCATGTTGCACGATTGTACCATAAAAAATTCCTAGTTTGTGAACTCCTTCACTAACAATGGCAATAAACCTGATTCTGATTCTGAAAGTTTTACACTGTAGCCCAAGTCAATGACAGATAACGTGAGGACGACCACATAGGCTACAAATAATTTTGGTAGAGTTTGCAATTGCAAATATGGAAGAGGATTAGGGCCACTGAAAAAAAAAAAAATTAACTGATTTTTAAATTTTATTTCAGTTTAGTATGGGAAAAAAGTCAGAATGCTGACTTTAATCTCATAATTCTAACTTTTTTCTCATCATTCTGACTTTTTGCTGAGAATTCTGACTTTTTGCTCAGTATTCTGACTTTAATCTCAGAATTCTGACAATAAAAAAGTCAGAATTCTGACTTTTTTCCCATGTTAAACTGAAATAAAATTTAATAATCAGTTAACTTTTTTTTTTTTCAGTGGCCCTAATCCTCTTCTGTACAAATCTATGTGTTAAGACAAACGTTTTCTGTTGTATAGGTTTTGTTAGGCAACATAAATTAACACATTTTGGTCTCTTTATTGTCTTAATTGTATATTGATTTAGTAATTGCAGCACAATACCAAGAAAGGAGGGTTAATCATATTGAAAAATCTTAAAAGCTGTTCACATTTTATTTTTAAGTGGTTTGTGCAGCAGGTATTAAAATAGCTATTATTTTGTAGGCTACCATAAGTCATATCCACGTGACAAGACTTCCAGTCATGTTGCCCTAATAGCCCATTATTTAAACTAATGTGGCATATTTGTTAAAGCTATTATTATTATTATTATTATTATTATCATTATTATTATTATTGTCATGATGGTTATTATTAATATATTGTAGCCAGTCACAGCAGGGAAGCTCTATACCATCAACATATAACAGGACAGGAGATGAGGAAGAGTTCAGGGAAGACACAGAGACAGAAAAAGACCAGGATGAGGGAGAGCAGATCGATGAGGGAAAACAGGGAGATGAGCCAGATGAAAGAAGTATGCTTTAGTCTGTTCTGTTGGTGATGTGACTTTTTTCCATTGAAAACTCACGTTTAGAGAATGTTACAAATAAAAGTCAAATTTCATTCAACATGCGTTTATTTATTTTTTATAATTAAGTGTTACACGTGCGCTAAAAAGTGCCCCCCCCCCCCCCCCCCCCCCTCCTGAGCAACTGCCCCCCAAAATGTCTGTGCAGCTCCCCCATTTCCCCCCAGTTACCCCTGACCAGGGCTGCACCACCAAATTCTGGACCTGGACCCTGTACTCTCAGTCAGTGAGACTCTATCCATGCCTGTGCAAAAGATCTTTGAGTAAAAAATTAATTAATACAGAGTCAAGACCAACCCCACCGCCTCACTTCATGTCGCCATAAAATATGAAATATAATCAAATGTCCCTTTCAAATAATCTGCATTCATATAGGAACTAGAAGAAGTGAAACCAATGTAATTCTCTAATAGTCATGTATAAAGTTTTCACTTCACTTTTTATTTTATTTTTTTGTATAAATGTACATCTTTAAGTTATCTGTGAAAACTCTCAGTCATCCAGGTCATGGTCAAGCTTGAAACCCACTAGAACACAAACAAAGCGTCATCAGAACCGAGCGGAAACCGGGTTTTTTTTCCAAGTGGGGAATACGAAAAACCGTAAGGCACCATCTGCTGTTTTCTGTTTAGAATTACTATTGCATCCTTTGAAGCAGCACCAGTGTCCCATTATTTCTAAAGGAAGCAACTAGAACGCTTCTTCTCTGTTAGTTTTCTTTCGTTTGTTGCTGCTGGCTCTGTTCGAAAACCTAGGACGGGTCCTCCAAGGACGCGGTCTACCTAGACTGGATCCTTCGAAGTCCTTGAAAATAAGGAGACCGGAAGAGTTTAGGCTGTGAATTCGACCAGGTCTACCCTTCGGCGGGTTTTACCGCCGTATGCTCTGTTGCTTAGCAACCGTGAACGTTGACACACAAAGCAGGAAAAGAATGAATACAGAAGTTTTCAAAACTGTTTATTTATTTCTTTTTTATTGTGAAGTGAACAAAGACTACACTCACAAGAATCCAGAGTGGAATAAAGGTTCCAACCACCGGTAGCAGGAACAAATAAAATCAAATGTAATGATAGAAACCTTAGCCAGTTAAATAAAATGCTGCTGTCATTCTGCACATCTCTGATGTTGCTGCTATTTTCAAATATCCATTACTGTAAAAATGTCCATAGCTGCATATTGGTTAGTTATTCCCCAGTTTTATATTGTTAAAACACTTTACAGTATTGTATTGTTTATATTTTAACTCTTCCCTGTTATGTTATTCTTATACATTTTTCTAAGGTCATCATTTGTGTGAGCATTTTCAATAATCTTTCTGCTGCTGTAAATTTTCCCATTGTGGGACAATAGAGGGATTTTCTATTCTATTCTATAAAAGGGGTAGAAAGGTATAAGTAAATCTAAACAATATATTTATAAAAAATATATCTGCAAAATCTCTAATATTCAACAACAAAAAATACGAAGTTAAGCATATTGTGCAAAATAGCAATAAAAAGAAAAAAATCCTATCAGATTTATAGTCCCCACTCTGCAGATATATTAGAATCTGTCCTTAAATTCCAGCCAAACCCATTTACACAGTAACAGATAAAAACCTTTAGATAAACCAAATATTACCGCCACATATCTGACTCAGTAACCATTAAAACAACTATTTTCATTCATTCCAGACGGAACTATTCACAGAGTTGTATTATATTAAACTGAACTTCCAATTTTCACCACTGTTCGGCGCCAAGTAACCTTTCCTCTGATCACAGCTTGCTTGGTCTCGCAATGAATCCTGGGATATCCAAGAATACCGAGGATACATCAGACCCGTCCTTCAAATCGGGCAAAAAGAAGGACGCATTTTAAGGCCGCATAACGAGGACTCTTGGAATCCGACCAGACCTCGGCGCCGCGCAATGACGTAATCGTCCTTCGAATCCGGTCTTCTAAGGATGCGTCCTAGGTTTTCGAACAGAGCCGCTGTCTCTTCACCACAGAAATGGCGCTAACTACCCTAAATGCATTGCAGGGATGATGAGAGAACAGGGACATATGAGGACAGCCCTGAAGAACTGTGGTTATCCCAGATGAGCTTGTTTTTTTTTTTATACCAACCTGAAGAGGCCTGCTGGGAGGGAAAAAACAGTAGAAGGAACATCATCATTCCATATGTTGCTGGAGTCTCTGAAAAACATCCATCACCGGATCCCTGAGCAAATCAAACCAGGGAACACCCTGAGACAAAAACTGGTTCACCCCAAAGACAAGACACCCAGACACAAGGCCGACAACATGCTTCACGCCATCCAGGGTAGTGAATAGTGCACAGACCTTTACATTGGAGATACCAAGCATCCAATACACAGCCGCATGGCTCAACACAGGAGGGCCAAGTCCTCAGGACAGGACTCAGCTGTTCACCTACACCTGGAAGCTAAAGGACACTCATCTGAGGACAGCAACGTCTATATTCTGGCCAAGGAAGACAGATGGTTTGATAGAGGAGTTAAGGAAGCCATCTTTGTTGTTGGGATAATTATCATTGAAGATGTGTCAGATTATTACACCTTGGTATTGGCTGCCTATTGCGAGTCAGAACTGATGTTTTAATCTAATTAGGACAGTTCCTCTGTCCGGATATACAGTTATAATCTTCATTCTGCACGTGGCAATGATTTGGAAATGGAATGAGAGCAGTGTCCTTCAGCAAAGAACAAACTTTAATATTTTGATAAGGCTGGAACCATGGATGTCTAATCATCTGCCAACCTGTATCATGTAAAATAAGATGATGCAGCAGACTGGAGATGTATAAAATGCCTTTTTAACTGTTTATCTGGGCCACTTCCTGAGAGAAGAGCCCAGAGGTGAGCAGCTGCCTTCTGTACACTCTAAGCAACTTCACTGATCTGAGTCTTACGGAAGAGGATTAGGGCCACTGAAAAAATAAAAAAAGTTAACTGATTTTTAACTTTATTTCAGCTTAATATGGGGAAAAAAAGTCAGAATTCTGACCTTTTTTTCAGATTTCAGACTTTTTTTCTCAGAATTCTGATTTTAATCTTGGAATTCTGACTTTTTTCCCATATTAAACTGAAATAAAATTTTAACATTTGTTAACTTTTTAAATTTTTTCAGTGGCCCTAATCCTCTTCTGTATGGTCTGTTGTCATGTCTCCTGGTTATTTAATACATATAAGTTATGAATTGTTATTTAAAGAGTCTGTCTGGAGTGACCTCTTTTCAGGGAAAAGAACCGGAGAGAGAGCATCAGGGTGCATAAACAGAGTCTATCTTGAACAGTGTTAACCTGGGAAACCCATCTCTCAAGAGAGGAGGTGGTCTTAGACATAACCTGTCACATACTTACATGTCCTTTGTGGATCTTAGGAGGCCAATTTACTTTGTCCCTCATGGTGCCCTGTAGGGCAGCAGGAAGTCGATGGCCCTTTCTGGCTCTGTAACAACAGGACAGGGGTCTGGTCTGCGTCCAACATAGACCAGTATATTTTTTGCAGATGAGATGGTTTTGCTGGCTCCCTCCTGCCAAGACCTGCAGCTACTAAAATATTTAATAACAATAAAACTTTTAGATCTCAAATTGGAGAAATTTACCTCTGAATTTAACCATCCCCTTGGAGAGCAATGGGCTGCCATCATGGGGCACCTGGGGAGCAGTGTGGGGTTAAGGGTCTTATGCAGAGACCCAGAGTTCGAACTCAGAACCTCAGGATTCCAAGCTCTATGCCCTAACCACTAGGCGGCCACTCCCCAACATTTTCACAACATATTCCAGATTAGTAACAGATAATTGCAAAATTTTCCTTTAGAGATTTTGATTGTTCAGATTTGTTCATCAAGCAGACACTCCCTTAGTAAGTTTTCAAAGACACATCCAGATGTAGATGATGGACAATCTTGAGGTGGCAGGAGAAAAACAGCCTATTTCGAAGTGATGATAACGGAAATTATTATTATTATATTACTTTATTCTTTGACAAGTATAAAACTATATGAAGGTTGTAGCAGGCCTATGTTTTATTTTTTGATTAGAAAATCCTGAGTGAGGTTATCAGAGGATGCAGCTGGAATCAGAATGTTTTCAACTTTCCCATTTAACCCTTTATTGGGCAAGTTACCATTTTTGATCACTGGCATACCCCTTACAAATGGAAACGCACCCCCTCCCTCAGTGAGGTCTAGAAGCGCAAGATCTATATCCAGGCATTCAGCAAAGATGCTGCTACATGGCTGTACATCTTGTATTTGACCAATTAGATGAGCCCTTAATTGATATATTACCTACTGTAAATTAAATTGAAAAAAAAAAGTTAAAAAGTCAAGAAAAAAAGGTAAGTCGCTAATTGAAAAGATAAAAAGTTAATAAGCCTAGTTAACAATTATATTTAGGTTTATAAACTATAAAATGTAAGTGCTAGTATCAGCATTAACGCCTCTAAGGTTATGTTGTACCAAAGAAAATGTGTTTCTTTCACTTTTCATGAATTTCTTATAGACGCTCTTTTGTTATTTCTCTTTATATATTCAGGCAACTTCTTGTTATTATATTGAGATTAATTTTTACCATCCAAATATCCATATTTTTGAATGTTACAAAGGTAATAAGGTCTTGTCCTGGATTCCAATAACACTATTGGCTTGAAATTTAGATTTTCAAAGAATTCCACTGAGTGCCCTATAAAGTGAAAAAAATAAAAATCAGTTTCTAATTCCTATACAAAATATATTCATTTGCTAAGGCACTGTGCTTGAATGCGCCTCATTTGGCTGTGAGATCCTGATCACTTCCTATTGGTCCACGTTTATATTTACCGTAAAACCCAGAAAACAAAGGTGCGCAATACGTCACCCCAAGTAAAAGTACAAAAAATAGGAAAGCGAATGCTAATTTGAAGTAAAAGATATTCAACGTGCCCTTTACCCACATATTTGGAACTTAGCTGCTGGATGTTAAACATTCTGCATGCTTGTTGCGTGAAAAACAAAAAGCCGTTGCGTTAAATCACCGTAACAACCGGATGTGAGGTGGCTCCTAAGGAGCAAGCCAAAGATAAACACGTAGACAGACAAATACGGGCGAGGGGAATTAACGGGTTATAATTGAGAGGGTACGGTAGCATGTTGGAAATGGATTAGCTGGAGACAACGAAGAGGGTTTAATAGACGAGGAGGTGCAGCTGAATCAGCCGAGGAGCGAGTTTTCCTTCGGGTATCGCGAGTCGGTGAGTCCTGACAGCTGGAGCCGACGGAAGCTAACGCTAGCTAACAGGCTAACTAAGCCACATAGCTGGTTGCCATCTCATCTGCACAAGAATTTGGACCTAAAACGCAAACAGAAGCATGTATAAAGTTTCGGTTTATTAATAAACTCTCCATAACTCTAAAGGGCGCATTACATGAATAAATGTGCGGATCTAAATCTTTAAACGTTAGCTTTGTTTGACATGTTTCCTTAAAAACAGTTAAAAAAATAGTTGATTTGGCTGAAGATGTTTACTTCATGCTTAATTAACTGCTGCCAAACAAATTAGTTTTTACATATTAAGTACGTCAACCGGCTTTTAAATAGGATATATTTATTAAATAACTGCTAAATTAGAGTAACGTACGTTGTGTTTATCCCCACAGCAGATGTTATGTCAAATAAGGTGGCTAGGTTTCTGTTTTAATGTGTTTCACATAAAGTGAAACTATTTCCTTCAGGCGGTTTTAGGTAACTTATTTTTAAAAGCATGGTGTTAGTCAAGTCTTTTAATTCAAGTTCTTTTTTTTGGCCGCTTTGGTCAAGTGTTTTGATCAGTAGTTTTATGAAAATAACCCAGGATCTCAATCCTGCTTGGTGCTTTAAGTTTCACCATGTTGTAGTTGAGGCTTAGATTTTTTACTCAGTTATCAGAAATGAATGCATTAATATGGAGGCCAGACACCAGGATCATTTAGTTTTCCCCCTGATCAGGTGTGACTGGTGATGGGCAGCTCATCTTTCTTTTTCTAAAAAAAAATAAATCAATGCTTTAAACTGAAATTAATTAAGATCATAGACAAATTTTTGTGGCTGATACAGCTATCTTGTTTTTGTTTTTTGTTCAGCTTTTTCTGATCTGATTAACAATATTTCTATGTTTTTGAAGAGACAATGAAAGAGCAAAATTTACATGCTTTGGACTCTTTGATAGAGCAGTAGTGTTAAAATTAACATAAATTAGACGTTTTTAGATTATCTCATTTATCCTCAAAACATACGTATCTAACATTTATGTGACAGAAAAAAGAAGGTTGTTAAATGATGTGTTTACAGGGATTTCTTTTATTATGAAAATATGAGTTGATCAAACTCTTAGACCTCAAAGAAATCCTGAAATGGTGACAAATACTGGCTAGGATTTAAAACATGTCCTTAATGACTTTTGGCAAATTAAAGTAAAAATGCTATAAACACATTTTGAAAAAGCAGAACTTAACAAGATGATTAGTTCTTTGAAAAGTTGTGATGTATCAAATTATATTGGGCTATAAATCAGGCTGGCTTCCTTTATTTTCTTGCATCCGTTTCCTCCTCCTCTCCAGCATCTGCAGCTCTGTCCATGATGGTGCGGGCAGCCTTGGTGACGGCCACCAGTCTGGCGCTGACTGGGGCTGTGGTGGCCCATGCGTACCTGCTCAAACATCAGTTCTACCCGACTGTTGTGTACCTAACCAAAAGCAGCCCAAGTATGGCGGTAAGGGCGGCGCAATAAGGGACTTTCTACCAGCCTGCTTTCTATTCAACCTGTTTTACTTTTTGTTCACATAAGCAGCTTTGACAGTTTTTCTTTCTGTTTTGCTCCCATCAGGTTTTGTACATCCAAGCGTTTGTGTTGGTGTTTCTGCTGGGAAAGTTCATGAGAAAGGTGTTTTTTGGCCAGCTAAGGGCTGCCGAAATGGAGGTGGGATCATCAAAAATCCTTTCTGGTAAAGCTGATGTGGTGCTGTATTACAAAAACAAAAGCATGCTGATCTCGTTCCCTCTGGCAGCACCTCATCGAGCGCTCCTGGTACGCGGTGACGGAAACGTGCCTGGCCTTTACCGTGTTCAGGGACGATTTCTCCCCTCGCTTCGTCGCACTCTTCACCCTGCTGCTCTTCCTGAAGTGCTTCCACTGGCTGGCGGAGGATAGAGTGGACTTTGTGAGTTAAAAATCCCCTTCGACATCTTACTGCTCGTATGAAAGTGTATTCTTTAGAGTGCAAAAGATGCTCAGCATGGTTATATAGTTATAATTCCAGTAGTAAAGTAAACATTTCATCCTGAGGTAATAAAGCTTCAGTGTCATTTAGTCTCTTCCGGTTTCACTAAGATGGTTCTGTTTGACATTCACAATATAATGCTTCCTTGGCAGCAGCGATAAAAGAAATGTTTGTGAAAATCAGTTTTCTGAGTTGCCTTTATGTCTTCTGTTTCGGTTCAGATGGAGAGGAGTCCAAACATATCGTGGGTTTTCCACTTGAGAGTATTGTGTAAGTAAAGAGTCCAACATTAACTCTTCTTTTTTGCGTTGTTTCAGTTTTTCGCCATGAAGCTCTAGGCAGGAAACATTTTATGAAACTATGCAAATCTTTGGCTTCACGCTCTGTGAGCTGCTCCTAAATAGACCCCAGGGCAGCTTTCTAAACGCTCTAATGAAATCGATCCAGTTCCTGGTAACGTTTACCGCCAAAAACTGTCCTTATATCAGAGAAACAGGTTGAAGTTCTGACATTAGCTGCTGCCCGGGGTTCAGTCAGTCCCATTTCTTTCCTGCTCTGGTTACCATCTACTGGATTCTATCTAGGGCTGGGCAATTAGTTGCATTTTATTATAATTGCAATTTAGATAAATGCTATGTTGTATTAGTGTTGCAGTTGGACACTAAATTTCTCCCTTCAGTCCTTTAAGTGGCGGTTATATGCTTGAAGTTGGTAGATATTTGCATTATAGTAGAAGCAAGATTTTTTTCACAGAAAGGTTACAGTAAAGTCCAGGAAAGACTAGAAACGTCTGCATCGGGTTTTTAGCTACGAATATTTCATAGGGTGTACAGCTTGGTGTATCACATCCTGTGTATCCTCCCCTGGAAAATTTTTAAATTTAGACTCTCTGAAAAGCCATTTCCTGCATTTTGAGGTGGAATGCAGCTAACTTTTTGTCTTTGTTCCAACACTACTTTTGTCCTAATTATGGGAAGCATGTGTGCTTGACTAGAATTGGAAATATTAAAAAGACATGGGATCATTTTTAGATTAAATATTATGTTTCATGGGTTTATTCAAAGAATCAGAAAGTGTAGTGCTACGTTCACACCGCGATTTGAGCAGCAAAAAATGTACCTGCTGCTTCATTTTTGATGCTTTTACATTTAAAGGTCAGATGTCCAGTTATGTGTTTCCAGATGCGTCTGATGCTGCTGCTGCTCCTGTATTCAGTGGCAGAGTGGTTTGGTATATTTGCTATGATTAGTGGGTATCAAGTAGTTTTAATATGTTTTTAAGTGTGAAAGTTCACCTCAAAACATCGTTTGTGCATTCAGTTCATCAAGATTACGATCATGCCTTAAAGACGTAGGGAAATCATATTTAAATGTCAAATAAACATGTATTTATTAGATGATATTGTGCCAAAATTTTGAAAATGTATATTTATAAAAAAAAAATCCTGTCTTAAATCTGTGTTGTTTTTTTTGTTATTTTATGCAGGCCAGTTAGTTATACGTCAGCCTGAACACCTAAATTCGGCCGATCATATATCAACGGTCATCTGTCGGTCATAGCATCTTGATTCTTCTGTCGGAGCTAATATACGCAACGTTTGAAATAAGAAATAGTAATAATTTCCTTTCCCATTGAGTTCCGTCCCAGTGTTCACGGGGATGGCCGTCTGTGTCTTCAGCAGGCGTAGAGCTAACGGAACTGGCAGCGTTACGAGGCAAGGGCTCAAACATGTACAACTGGAAGCCTTCTACACCAAACCAAGCTTCTGCCGCCCTGGCATCCTCTTCCACAACATCTTCATCCCTCTAAATAAAAAATGTATGATGGAGGAGACTCATCCACGACCTCTGACACAAAACTCTCCTCCTCTTGTATGTTTCCGCTGTCCATAGCGTTCCTTGACAGTGTCGTTTGAGCAACATTATCTGGGTGGGCCCCATATGAAGTGCATATGGGGCGCTACTGTACTACTGTTGGGTTCGGCTGGAAGTAGATGTTAGCTTTCTTCAGGTATTTGGTACAAACTGCAGGCACCAGAATATTTAAAGCAAGCATATATTGACGGCAGGTTTCGACATTTTAAGTTAATGTAGGCCTTAAACAATTTAGAGCAGTGATCATTATGCTCTACGTCAGCAGTGCTGTGTCTGTCTCCCTGCCAGCTCCCAGATCAGCTTCTCTGATAGGTTGATGTGGCGCATCGAGCAGCAAAAGTTACATTTTTCCAACTCCAGCATCGGCTGCTTGTGACATTTTGAATATTTGGGTGAAGTTTCCACAGGAAAATTAGGGCGTACCAAAGTTGTACATCCCAAAAACAGGGCGTACGCTTTGTCGTTTTTTGAGTGTAAAAGGAAAATCACACTAGAATTCCAATAATTTGATTAACTAATGATTTTTGTAAAATAGCTAATCCCTAATTCTACCCCCCTGTATTCCTTTCTTTCTGCAGCTCTGCTCGGGCTCCTGGCTGTCATGGACTTCATGTTCGTTAACCACGCCTGTCACAGCATCATCACCAGAGGGGCTTCGGTCCAGCTCGTCTTTGGGTTTGAGGTTTGCCATCCTTCCTTTTTGAAACACTAGACTGCTTGAACCCATCCTGGTTCATTTGAATAAAAAAAATTATCTTTTTTATTACTGAAAGTATTGTTTTCCATTTTAACAATAAAGAATAACTGCTGCCCACGTCTCATCTTAGACTTAGACAGATTTTATTTAGTATACACAAGTGTAAACAAAAAGAAATTCGTTAAGAACAGCTCTCTGACTATTTCATTTTTTATATTGATATTTATATTTGATATTTAAATTTTTACAGCTAGTTCCCAAACATTCCAGCCTGTTAGCCCAAAAATTAAAATGCAACACACTTTAGACTACATAAAAACATAGAATTACATAACTCTGTTTTTATTTATAGATGGAAAATGAAATAATTATTTTATTTGAATAAAACAATGTATTTAATCATTTCAATGTATTTTAACTATTTAGCAGGAAATGTCATTATTCATTCTATATTTCATGATTTAATGTCATATTGAATATAAAACTATAACGGTATGTGTGTTTGTGTTGAACTGAACTGAGTCCACTGCTCTCAGTTTGATGCAACCCAGTAATGAATTGTCTGACAAAGGATTTGTTTATTTAGCTGTTTATAGTTTCAGTAGGTCTTTGGCACTGGGTGGCAAACAAAAGTCTTTTTGCCTTAGAAAAAAATCTAAATTCATTGGCTGGCAATTTTGCATCATTTAAAAGATGTGAGCAGTTCTTCAAAATAAAAGCCCCTCCTGCTTTATTATATCTGACAACCTAATAGTATTTAAAGTCGCAGGGAAATCATATCTAAATGTCAAATCATTCTGGCTTAAAAATGTATATAAATGTACTCTATCAGATGATATTGTCCCAAAAGTTAGAAAAATTATATATTTTTTAAAATCCTCTTAAAATCTGTGGGGTTTTTTCCATTATTTTATACAGGCCAGTTAGTTATACATCAGCCTGAACACCTGAATTCAGCCAATAATATACCAAGGGTCATCTGTCAATCACCTTTTTTTGGGCCATAGCATTTTGATTCATATGTCGCAGCCAATATATGCAACGGTTGAAATAAGAATAATTTCCTTTACCATTGAGTTCCGTCTCAGTGTTCACGGGGATGGACGTCTGTGTCTTCAGCAGGCGTAGAGCTAACAGAACTGGCAGCGTTGCGAGGCGAGGGCTCAAACATGTACGGCTGTAAGCCTCCTACACCAAACCAAGCTTCTGCCGCCCTGGCGTCCTCTTCCACAACATCTTCACTTTATTCACTCGTGTAAAGTCGGGCACCACTCGGGAGAATTCAGAAATGCAACGGTTGGAACAGCCATTTCCCTACGACTTTATCTCCTTTCATTGCACTTTTCTAACCTTTTTAGAAAATTCCTGACTCAGAGAAGTTTGGAATACCTCCAAACTCCGTACCTCGCCGCGTAGATCCGTGCTCAACGGACCGATAGTTTTAGATAAAATAATCAGAAGCTGGAACGTAAAGAGATGCAAGCAGAACTGATGGCAGGAAGCTGAGCTGAGGCTCAGATTTGTTTGATGCCAGAGATCAACTGATACCGATTATGATGACCTCTGTTTCACCGATCCATCATATGGGCTGCCGATTCTGAAAGCCAATTTTTTTTCTTTCTCCATTTACATGATTAAAATGACATCATGAGAAGTTTAGCTTCAATCTTAGTTAAAGTTCAAAGGAATGGAGGGAGCAGCAGCTCAGGCTGTCTGTGACTTCAAGCTGCTGAATGCACTAATGCATCAGCTAAAGCAATCACATGCCAGCCGATATCAGTTCGAGAGAAAAAAAAGCCAAATCAAGTATTTCATATGCCTCGATTTCTGAAAGCTAAAAAGTTGGCCTCTGCTTGTTCTCCTCAGTACGCCATCTTGATGACCATGGTCCTGACCACCTTCATCAAGTACATCCTGCATACTGTGGACCTTCAGAGTGAGAACCCCTGGGACAACAAGGCCGTCTACATGCTCTACACTGAGCTCTTCACAGGTGCTGCTCCCACCCTCAGGATCTTCATATACACACCGTCTGTCTACGTGGCGACTGATTCAAAGCTGGTCTTATTAACAGGTTTCATCAAGGTTCTCCTGTACATCGCTTTCATGACGATTATGATAAAGGTGCACACCTTCCCTCTGTTCGCCATCCGACCCATGTACCTGGCCATGAGGTGAGCGTCCAAAGTGATTACCTGGACTGACAGGCGGTAGATTGGCCCGTTGCACTGATTGATTGTTTGATTGATTGAAAGAGCCAACATAGCTGGTTCCTTCACTTTAGCCTGATTCATGGATGATGATGAGTCGTCGAACTAATGTGTCCTTTTGTTTGCTTGTCTTCTCAGGCAGTTTAAGAAAGCTGTAACGGATGCTATCATGTCGAGGAGAGCGATCCGCAACATGAACACGCTGTGAGTATTTTAGTATATTGATTTTCTATCGTTTTAACAGCATTCTGATGATTAACCATCCAACTAGGGCTGGAAAAAAAGAATCGGATCGATCGAAATAATTGATTATTGAAATAACCGTCAACTAATTTAGCAAACGATTAAACGTTAACTGGAGTATAGGGAAGGTAAAACTGGCATTTAGCTGATAGCGTGACCCACTTAGAGCAGTAACTATACCAAAATTAAAAAAAATAAAAAATAAAATCTGTAAACATTTTGCATTTCAGATAAAAAATTTTGTCTCTCAATATGCTCTACCCAGAACTCAAGTGGAAAGTTTTAGTTTTACTTGGTTTCATTTGGCAAAAATTCTATTTTATGGAACCTTTGGCTATCCGATTTTTTTATCAATTAATAGAAGAAATAATCGACAGATTAGTCGATTTGCAAAATAACAGTCAGTTGCAGCCAATATTTTTTATTTTTATTTTTATGTTATTGAATAATTTATTAATCTCACACTGGAGAAATTCACTCTCTGCATTTAACCCATCCCCTTGGGGAGCAGTGGGCTGCCATTGTGCGGCACCCGGGGAGCAGTGTGGGGTTAAGGGGCTCAGGGACCCAGAGTGGAGGCTGTGGGAGTGGGGGAGCTCTAACCAGTAGGCCACCACTCCCCAAAGTTTTTATGTTTTCACCTGATTGATTTTTCTTCGACTTCTAAATGACTGGATGAGCTTTATACATGAAGTTATTGATGCACTGAATGGAATGGATATTATCTCCTAAAGATGGATTCATATAGCCAAAGATCACTTTTTTCCTTTCTCCTCACAGCCGCCATTACCTAACATCAGTTTATTCCTTTGGTGCTGGATATTCTTTTAATTCTCAGGGTTCCCACTGTCTTTAAAATTCTTCTGTATTTGAATTTAAACAATATGTTAAAGGCTTTTCCATTTAAGACAAAAAAAATCGATGTCTTTAAATATACTTTATATAGAACTAGTGGCCTAGTGTTAGCTTCACCTGGCTCCAAAAATCTCCCATTCAGCAATTTTTGCTTTTGTTAATAAAAAAAACAAAACAAAAAAACAATAGTCAACAAATGAATAAATTAGAGAAACAGTATTTCTTTTATATAAACATTAAATTGAATTGCAATGTTGTTGTTTTTTTTTTTTTTTAGTTTTTCAAAAAACGTTTTGTTTATTAAGGAATAATTGATCTTGTTTCAGATAAATTCATTACCAAATTAATCAAAAGCTGCAGTGCTTCAGCTTTTAGATCACTTATACTGTATACTATATAGTCTAGTTGGATTCCACTTAGGACCGCTTATCTAGATGATCCAGCTGGAAGTTCAGCAGTCTGTTGGTCCTTCATTTGGGGAGGGGGGATCTCCCTCTGATCAGGCTACTCTATTTATTATTTTCACTATGGTCTTGTGTTGTGATGTTAAGCCAATGTTTGGCTGATATGTTATCATATACCGTCCTTCTCTGCTGTTACTTGTGCCCATATTCAGATATCCTGATGCTACCCCTGAGGATCTGCAGGCCTCTGACAATGTTTGCATCATCTGCAGAGAGGAAATGGTCACCGGAGCCAAGAAGCTACCCTGTAATCACATATTCCACTCAAGGTGAGTCCACAAAGAAAAAGACATGTTGGATGTTGGACTGGGAAACAGTGTGGTCAAAGCACGCTCCAAGCCTTAACCATCTGATTAGAATTAGCATATTTTACTTTGTCATCTTTTCACAACTACAAGGAGCTGCTGATTGATTTGACACTTGCTGTCATTTTCCTGTTGATTCGTCGTTAATATTAGATCTGTAACCTAATGTAGATGCAGTGTAACGTATACGCGTTGAACGTTTGAACCCAAATATTTTGTGTTTTCTCTGTAACGCTTTTATTATACTTAAACCGAGAATGAGTAATTCTGGAGAAATGGACATGGCTTTAGCTCAAAGGCACAAACACGTTTTGTGATCCTGTTGGAGTCTATGTTGTGGAGTCCCTCAGAGCCCCTTCTTGGCCCCCTCGTCTTCTCTTTACCAACTTTCATTGGAGGCAGTTCTCAGGAAACATGTTTTAACGTTTTACTTTTATGCAGATGATAGTTAGATTTTTATGCCCCTTAAGAAAGAAAATGGCAAAGAAAACCTGTCATGGAAGTCAACAGACTTCTAACACCTGAGCAGTAAAGGCTGGTTTATATTCAGAAAACCGCAGACAGGAGGCCTCTGATTGGTCAAATCTATATCTGCTCTACTATGTGTATTTCCTGTTTGGTACCTTACCGGCTTGTTTTGTTTATATGACCGCCATTGTGGAAAGCGACTCGTGAAGATGGACCAGCTAGAAGAGCGAGGTGTATGAGAACGCTGGAACCCTTACTCACGTGGATCCCCGCTCTTTTTCTCCCTCATGTCCCTCCGTTATCACACAAACTTGCCCCCACTTCCTCACCGCCTCGGCCGTATCTAGACTCACAGATAGTTCGTTATTGTCCCTCTTGCGTTGTGGCGTGGAATAACATAGCGCAGACCACCCTTCAAAACTGGGCATAAATCAAAAATATCTGCGACAATCTCACTGCGACACACTGCTGCAGGAGGATAACCAGCCCTTAAGAAGATGGAGGTAAACTTTACACCTTTTGATGCCTGACATCCTTGCTGACCTTGGTCCTTTGCGCCCCGTGATCATGTTTAGATTTGAATCCATGCTTTAAAGCTTTTTTAGATTACTGCTTTGCATTTTCATAGCGTTAAAGAAATATTTACTGGCCCGACCGCAGCTGCTTCTCATCTTTTAATTGGTACCAGAAAAAACACAAGCACATTCCTCCGGTTTAAGCAGCAGTTCTCTGCTACAGGTTCAGGTTTGGATTTGAAATATCCTGTTACGGCCTCGCTCTCCAGTACCTTTCAGACCTGCCTCATATGCACGCTCTCTTTAGCTTATTTAATTATTGCAAAAGCAGAGTTTGAATCGGTGACAATGCTTCCCCTATTATTGCTCCTAACTTCCGTAACGAACCTGGTTTGATTATTGGTCAGTTAAGATTCATATAACTGCCTCCTGGATTAAAGGTCACTGCTCGTTTACCCACTGAAATCAGTATTGTCCATTTGCTCCACAGCTGCCTGCGCTCCTGGTTCCAGAGGCAGCAGACCTGCCCCACCTGCCGCATGGACGTCCTCAGAGCATCCAGTAACAACCAGACTCAGGCTGCGGCCCCGGCTCCAGCCCCGGCCCCTGCAGCACCTGCCAACGCTCCTGCTGCTCCGGCCGCAAATGGTGAGATTCGCTTATCAAAGTTGCCTCATGGCAGAAGGAGGAGTGGCGGCCTAGGCGTTAGGCCTAGAATGCAAGCTAAATGCTGCGTTCACAACAAAACAATCAGGGAATTCCTTTCTCCACCTTTATTTTGGCACTTGACAAAATCTGATCTCACTGGAATTAAAAATTGCACCCAGATTCTAATCCAAGGGAAAAACGTTAGCCTTTCCATCATATAAATATTAGGCATTTCTTCAGCCCAATCTTTCATTGTTGGGGTCTCTCTGTTTTCAGCGAATTCCTAGTTATAGTTTTCTAACCAGCCACCAACATGAGCCTGAAAATATTTTTATCCTCCGAGGATGTCAACCTTTCCATGACGGAGTATTAGGGCCAGGCTAGGGATTATTTTTCTTCTATTTCGAGAATAAAGTCGTGAAATTACAAGAATAATGTCGTGAAATTACGAGAATAACACCGTAACATTATGAGATTAAAGTCGTTAAATTACGAGAATAACGTCGGAACATAATGAGAATTAAGTCATTAAATTACCAGAATAAAGTCGTAATATAATGAGAATAAAGTCATAACATTATAAGAAAAAAGTAATTGAATTACAAGAATAACGCCGTAACATTCTGAGAATTAAGTCGTTAAATTACGAGAATAACGCTGTAACATTATGAGAATAAAATCGTTAAATTACGAGAATTAAGTCGTTAAATTACGAGAATAACGCCGTAACATTATGAGAATAAAATCGTTAAATTACGAGAATAACGTCGTAACATTATGAGAATAAAATCGTTAAATTACGAGAATAACGTCGTTAAATTACCAGAATAACGTCGGAACATTATGAGAATAAAGTCGTTAAATTACGAGAATAAAGTCATAATATAATTGAGAATAAAGTTGTAACATTACGAGAAACAAGCACGTTCTTCCCTTAAATGAGGAATGTCGAGCATTATGTGAAGTTATACTTTGGCTCTGGTTTGACAAATAATAAAATCTTTTAGCACATCAGGATTACAAAGTGGACTCAGGTTGCTGATTGGTGGAGCTGGTGGACCGTCGTCTGCTGGTCAAAGCTCAAAGCTTTCTTTCTGAAATGGGTTCTTATATGATGACTTTATTCTAGTAATGTTACGACCTTATTCTCATAATCTTACAACTTTATTCTCATAATTTTACAACTTTTTTCGACATAAAAAATAAAAAAATAAGTCTGTAGCCTGGCCCTAATACTCCGTCGTGCCTTTCAAACCCTCTTCCCATGTGTAGAGTTTTAAATATTAGGAGGTTGCTGATGAAGATTCTCAGTCATCCATGTCATAGTCATTCCAAAAAAAGTAAAAAAAAAAAAAAAACAACAATACACTGGACTTCGTTTCCAAGTTTGAAGACGTTTCGCTTCCCATCCAGGAAGCTTTCTCAATTCAAAATGTCTCCATTAGCGTTGAGTTCCAAGCTTATAGAGTAGCCCAACTGTCACAACCCGATCTGTCCCGGAAGCACGATCCGTCCTGAGCATGTGCGAACAGAATAATAAGATCCGGATCACCAAAAAAATACGTAATAACGGAACTGAAAATACTTATTTATATACGTAAAACATTAAAGAATGCTAAAGTACGTCATATAGAAAGTATTAAAGACTTTTCTGGAAGAAACTGATACGATTTACATTCTTTCCATTTGCATTGCATGATGTCATCATCGGACATGCTCAGAGCAGTCCAAGTAACGTTCGAAAGGCTATTTAACTGTATTGCTTTTTTTGTTTTTAGAATATGCAATATTTACGCAAATACAATAATAATCAAAAGGAACAGCCCGCCGGAAAAAAGACAAAATAATAATAAAGTAAGAAAAACAAAGTATTGCCTACCAGGAAGTTGTTCTGTTTGTGCATACGCAGGAAGAATCGTGCTTACGGAACGGATCGGGTAGTGAGATTTGGACTGCACTATGAAGTATATACTATTAATTGTATATCTTTATCTAATGCTCTTACAATCAAATTCTCTTCACGAGGGACAACAAGATGTTGCCTAAATATCTCCTTCCATGCCGCTGCCGTCTGCATCCCTCCTGCCTCTTTTTTGCATTTCTTTTTTAACAATTAAATACATCTGGAGGATTTTTGCTGCCGTCTGGTTGAGAAGCACAGCTGAGCCAAATATGGAGATGGTTTAGTTTCCTTATGTTCTGTTTTTCATTAATATAATGGCTGCTTTTTTTAGCTCTCTGGGAGTCTGGTTAAAAATTAGGAAGGTTATGAAAGAAACGAGCTAAAGAAGGAGACATATCCAGCTGGGAACGCTCCACGCTGATTTGTCAACATAAAGGCGCAGGACTGAAGCACAGATGATTTCCTGTTGGTTTATTGTATTTAGATTTTTTTTTTATTATTCTAACTCTGTGGAAATGGCTCTGGCTTTTCATCCATAGTTTATATTTTAAGCAGAGGTAAAATCCACCTTTGCTGGTCACTGCTTCCCTTCCTGACATTTCAACCATCAGAGTTTAGCTGTCGGCACTGATGCTTCTCTCAACACATAAACTAGAATGAATTGAGACTCCGTCCATTTTTTAGCTCTCTCTGTGTTTATTAAACATGGTTTCCTCTCTTCCTGTAGCTCCTGGCATGCTTCCAGCCTTCCCTCCAGGAATCTTCCCTTTCTGGGGTCCTTTTCCTGCCGTCCCTCCTCCTGCAGCCGCGGCTCCGCCTCCAGCTCCTGGTGCAACTGACCCTCCACAGAGCAACGCAGAGGCGGCTCAGGCAGCTGGTAAAGGACGCCCCCATCTATCTCAGCCGCTGGACACAGTCAAACTGAGAGGATTTTGTTTTTCCCCAGCTGATGTTTTCAACATCTAATGCATCTGTTTTTACAAGGCACCAGTGAGCCTGCGTCAGCTGCTGCGGACGGCGCTACGTCATCAACAGCTGCTCCAGGGTCTGCAATCCCAGGATTCCCTTTCTCCTTCCCGCCTCCGCCCTTCCCTGCCGCTCCATGGCTGCCGATGCCACCGCCTCCACCCTTTGGTAGGCTCCAGTTTCTGGAGATGTTTGACAGTTTAAGTTAAAGCAGCAGTTTAAGTCTTTTATTGGAGGATTAGATCCAACTTAAAGTAGGTCCATTCCTATGCATTCAGTGCCTAAATGTGGCATGGCATACAGAGACGATCAGGCTTTCTGGAGGCATCATGGAAGCTCAGGTAGCTTGAATACCAGCCCTCAGATCATCTGCCTTGTTGGGCCTGGTTTTTCTCATCTGACAACGGCTCATAGATTCTCCATGGAGTTCAGTTTGATGGCAGTAAAATCAGCTCATCAGCAGAAAGAAGCATGATTTGTCTGAAATGTTCTGGCCTTTAGAAAATAAATCGGACCAACACCAGTAGAGTAGATGGTTCCCCAAACCATCTCAGACTGGAAACGCCTCACCAAACGGAGAGTAATTTCGATTCTGGAGCTCTCCACTCCTCCTCCAGATTCTGGGACCTTACTGCTTAAACGTGATGCTGAGAAATGGTCGTGTGTAGACTTCATCAGAGCGTAGCGGCTTTTGGTGCACCGACTCCGGCCTCAATCCGTTCTTTTTGAGGCTCTTCCAAATTCCTCAATGGCGTTTGTTTGAAAATCCTCTCTTTGCTTTTGTACTTTTCACGTCCCACATGTTTCTAGTAATCTACCTGAATACAGCATCTCCTCTAGCTGGGATTTCCTTTAGCTTCTCCTCATGGAGGATGTCAACCACTCACATGCAGACGTACCCACAGACCTGCAGAACACCTGCTGAGACTTTCCATTTACTTCTGACTCATTTATAAACTCTTACTGTGACCTTTGACCTAAACATTATGGATTCTTGGCTAACCCCAACTTATGGTCATAGGGAAATCATATTTAAATGTCAAATCATTCTGGCTTAAACATGTATATAAATGTACTCTTTATCAGACTATGTTGTCCCAAAATCTAAAAAATGTCCATTTAAAAAAAAAAAAAAACTTTCTTAAAATCTGTCTTGTTTTTTGTATTTTCCATTATCTTATTCAGGCCAGTTAGTTCGGCCAATCATATATCAACGTTCATCTGTCAATCACATTTTTTCAGTCATAGCATCTTGATTCATATGTCGCAGCTAATATATGCAACGGTTGAAATAAGCAATAAGAATAATTTACTTTCCCATTAAGTTCCGTCCCGGTGTTCACGGGGATGGACGTCTGTAGGATTGGGAATTGATTATATTTTCACGATACCGATTCCTTTATTGATTCTGTGAAATTATTTGATTCCTTATCGATTCCGTTTAATGAAAAAGCATTGCTGTACAATTTCAGGAAATAAACTCATCTCCCCCTGATTTAAATAAACAGCGTCACTTTTCTCTCGCTGCCTGAACTGCGGAGCAACTTCGCAGCAGGTTTTCTTACATCCATCTCAATAGCCAGAATCATGTAAGAATTCCAGCTACCAGTAGTTCTAATTAAACATGCTAGCAATGAAGGGCTGGATTAACGAGAAAGGCTCCCTTAATAAACCCAAAGAGAGGTAGGAAATTGGTTTATTTGCAGAAATGGCATATGATTTACCAGGAACCACATTAAGCACAGCCAGTGATATAAAACTAGCTACTTACCACCAGAGTTGCCTTCCATGCTGGTCGTAACTTTAGCTTCTGTCTGGAAGCATCAAAAACACAGCATTAGTTAAAATGTATGCCATGTTGTGTCAGCAGGGGTTTCTGCATGTTGGATGTATTTCCTCCCGCGGATGTTATTGCCACTTTTTCAATAATTGCAAAGCACCTTGTTGCCATCTTTCTCTTCCTTAAAATGAAGCCAAACTTTCTATCGCTTTACCCGATGGGACGCCATTTTTTTTATTTTTTGCTTTTCTAGACTTACGCCTGGTCACGTTGTACTTGCTTACTGAATGCCATGTGAGTAACTTGCGTAAAAAATGTGACGCAAGTCGTGCTGCCCAGCGCTAGGCTCTGGTGCTGCCTGGAACCGTTAAGAGAGTTGTTAAGCGAGCTGCTAAATGGTGCCGTGGAATTGGAACACACGGAACCGGTTCTGAACAGGAACCGGTTTTCGATTCCCATCCCTAGACGTCTGTGTCTTCAGCAGGCGTAGAGCTTCCACAACATCTTTGTCCCGCTTTCCATCCTCTAAATAAAAAATGGATGACTGAGGAGACTCATTTACGACCTCCGACACAAAACTCTCCTCTTGCATGTTTCCGCTGTCCATCCACAACAATCCCGTCCCCTCAATAAACATTCGCTTTATTCACTCGTGTAAAGTCGTGCACCATTCGGGAGAATTCGGAAATGCAATGCTTCGAACAGCTGTTTCCCTACTACCATAAATTAAGTTCACACCTTTAGTCTTAGACATGACACCTTCCGTAAGAAAAGCAATTCCCCTCATGGGCTCCAGGCTTTGGGCCCACATACTGTAGAGCAGCCAGTCCTCACAACGTGTTCTTTTTCCAGAAAATGAGCCCCACAGTGTTTTAAATACAATACTGCACAGCCACACACCCACATGCTGCTTATTCGCTCAACTGATTATTGGATTTTTGTTAATCCATAATTATGAAAATGACCCAAAAAAAAGTAAAAGCTTCAAATATGCCTACATAATCTGTGTAAGTTTAACTTTCTAAAAGTTGTGACAAGTATCCAAGAATATTTCCTGATCCTCAGCTGTTCTAAGATGTACCTGTATGTGATGATCTGTCCGTTCTGCTGAGGTGAAGTTTCCTCCTCTCTTCTGATCGTCTCCAGTGTCGTCGATGCCGCCCCCGCCTCCGTCGCTGTCTCGCCTGACGGAAGAGGAGCTGAGGGAGCTGGAAGCTGAGGGGCGGCGGGGCCTGGAGGCCCGACTGCAGTGTCTCCAGAACATTCACACTCTGCTGGACGCCGCTATGCTCAACATCCACCACTACCTTAGCACAGTCACCACGCTAACGTAAGTTATACCAGCAGACGTAGAGAGGTGCCGATCTGGTGACCTGCTGACGTGTTTGTTCTGCTGCTTTCATCGCAGCCCTCCGGGGCCTGAGGGCGACGGCGCTGCAGGAGCCGGAGGATCCAGTCAGGAGGCAGCTGCCAGCAGCACTCAGAGCTCGACCACAGAGAAGGAATCCTCCACCTGTGCGTAACTGATACAAGTCTCCATTACATTTGCTTTTGGTTTAAAAACGAGAGAGGAGGTGTTTGAAGTGGGGCGGAGGAATGGAAGCTCTTTCTTAACCGCTGCTCTTCTTTTATCCTGCAGCGGATCCAGCGAGTGGAGCCGCGGTCTCCTCCCAGCCCGCCGACTCCACCTCCTCCACTTCAGAGTCGGAAAGAAAGGAAAACTGGGACGAAGAACTGATGGAGGACGAGAACGGGGAGCCGAGCGCCGCTGAGCTGAGGCGCCGCCGCCTCCGCAAGCTAGAGACAGCGTCACCGTCATCCTCATCGCCCCCCCCTCCTCCAGATAGCTAGTTTTTCATTATGCGGCGGGGGGCAACATGTCGCTCTGAACCATCAGGAACTCAAAGATAACTCATGGCTGCTTCGGTGCCTCTCGCCTTCCACAGGCTCAGGTTTCTCACGCTGTCGAGTTGGACTCAAGCTGTCGGAAGGCGCTTCTTCTTCTTCTTTTTTTTTTTCTTTTTGATTTCATCAACTCCAGAGCGGACTTCTGCAGGCGTTTGGACGTTGAGGCATGAAAAGCTCTCATGTCGAGGCTGTGATTGGTCGGTGTGAGAGTCTGCGTTTAGCTCTAGTTTTGCTCTTGTTTAACTCTTTGGTTCAATCCAGTCGTCCTCAGTGGGGAGGTGGCCCCCACTCGCCGTAAAGAACACGTCCCACAGCAGGGGAGTCATCAGCTAACCCACTATGTTCAGTTCAAGTGAAGCCGAGCGGCTCCTCGTTTCCCTGGGTTCTGACCCTGATTCCACTGCTGACACTGTAACATAGTGATTTATTGGAGACTGTATATACTGTATAAAAGGTTTTAATAGGAGAATGTGTTCATGCTGCGGAATAAAGCGACTGAAGCAGCCGTGGAGCATGTGGGTATGAATGCTCCCAGCATTGAGACCGCGGATGTTGGCCTTTTTCTACAGGCTTTCTGCTGCAGCGATGTGACGTGTGGCTGTTTAAATTAAAACTTCTGAATTATTTCTGAATCACTTCTTTGTGGTTGAAACCATTATTTTATGTAGACTTTCTGGGGAGCGTACATTCAGGCAGTTCTGTGTTTTGGTTTGAGACCAAAAATGGAAAAAAACAAAACAGTATTTTCTTTTTTCTTTTTTTGAACCAAAGCGATAAAACAAAGAACCGTTATCTGCTTTCCCAATTTTTGCACTAAAGAAAGATCTTCTCTATGCACTGCATACACCCTGCAGAGAATCTTGTTTAAAGCCGGGCATACACTGTACAATTTTTTTGCCCTTTACGGGCCCATTCTCCAGTTGTGCAAGTATTTTTTGATCGAGCTGACCTTCAGCCAGCACAAGCATCGTGTAGTGTACAGGGTGTAACGAGTAGTGATGCACCTCTCGCTACCACCTCCCAATTAGGAATCGTAAGGTCGGAGGAAAGTCAGACAAAATTGAAAATTCAAGTTTGAAATTAATCTTGTTTTGCTCAGCCATGTCTTTGTCCAAATATGTCGTTGCCTTTTCTTTTTAGGGCTTTCAGCACAATATTGCACAAACTGCCCAGGCAGCGCTTTTCACTCTAGTGAGCTTCACATTCCTCCTCTTCTCGTTTGGCTTCCAGATAGACGAGTCCGAGTAGCTCCATCTCACTGCGTAGCTGAGTCCGACGTGGTTTTTAGACGTATAGTGTTAGCAGTTAGATCGCATCAGTTGCGCAGTGTGAGAACATGCATCGTGAGCTGTGAACTCGCACTGTACGATTAAACCCTGTGGTTTTGTCGTACAGTGTGAGCTGTAGCTGCGTGCAAAGATTGGGAAAATAATTGCACAGTGTAAGAGTGGCTTATAACTTTAGGCATATAGAGGGTTTCTCAGCAATCAAAGGTGTGAGTTCATAACTGCTTTAATCTTTTGACCATACCATAGGAGTATTCTATATAATTCCTTTTTCAGGTTCATTAAATGGAAAAACTGATGTTTTTTGTTCCTTTCATGTTTGTTTTAAAGCAGGAAAGCAATTGTATATTAATCCTTTAATTTAATAGGGTTTCAAAAAAACCCTCCCAGATAAAGACAGTACTTTCCATTAAAATACCGGACCAATATTATTAGGATGCACTTTAATCTTTAAGATTTCAAAAGGTTACAGAGAAAAGGAGCCCCAGAAAAAAAAGAAGAAAAAAATGTCTTTAGTATTTTGTGAATCTTCGTTGCTCTTCAACATCAAACGGTCTGTAGATCCAGAGGTGGATAACGCAGAGAGGAAAAACCCCTTATCTGTTTTCCTTCCTCCTGTTTACCAGGTGATCTGTGTGTTAGAGCTGGAAATGCACACGGTTGGAACTGACCTCTATACAGGCTTTTTACCCTTTGGCCCTGGATTATCTACCTGTCTGTAGATCTAAAAAAAAAAAATTGAGTAAAAACACATGGTTGTTCCATGCATTCATGAAAAACACAATACTCTGGACTGCTGTTTTTTTGTTTTGTTGTTACAGCACTAGTGGCTCGTTTTTTAAATGGTAGGTTGACAGGAAAGGGGTATGAGAGAGAGGGAAAGGTCGGATTCGAACCCGGGTCGCCCTCATGGAGAACTAAGGCCTCTGTACATGGGTCCTGCGCGCTAACCACTGCATCACCTGCACACCCGACTGCTGGATTTTTAAAATTGAAAAACATGATGAATGAAGAAAGGGGAACGAATAAGCTGAGAAAAAGCAACGATGAGTCATCATGTAAAATAAACACTAAGATGGGTAAAAAATGAATCTTAAAACTCCAGCAGCATAAAAAAGTGTTTATGATTCAGATTTTAGGAAATCTGTTAAAAAAAAAAAAAACTTTCTGTCCAACAGAGCAGATATTTGACTTTAGCAAAGCTTCTTTTTGCCTCAAATCATCTTCAAGCTTTATTTGGTGAAGCTCAGACAGCGATGATGGTGCCAGGCACTGATTTAGAAAATGTTTTCTATGAACCCAATTAAGCTTCAAAGATGCTTTCAGCTGAGAACCTAGCTTAACATTTCACAGAGTGCACATCTTTTCCTTCGACCATGCAGACCGTTAGAAACATGTTCCCCTTCAGTGCAGCACAGAGCCCTGATGCTTGAATGATTCTAAGTGGCAGAGGAATCAGTCTTCAGGTGAGTTTGCTGCAGATCTGGTTTATTAAATGAATCCTATATATAAATAGAGGGATTTAACTTACGATAACACTGAAAGGAAAAGACAAAACAAGTAGTGCCTCCATATAATCTGAGTTTAGCTAGCCAGATGTGCTGCTCCAGACATTTTTTTATTTTTTTTTCTAAGAAAACTTCCGATCATCTAGATATCTGGGTTCTTTCTGATGTTTTCCTTTAAGTCATCCTGCAGGTTTTCTGTAGGATTTAGATCCTGAGCTTGAGATGGCCATGAAACCAGCAAACTGTTCATTTCTTTAAAACTCTCTCATTAATCTAGTTAAAGGAAAGAACCAAACACGACTCACTTTCACTTTAATTCACAGCTTTTATTTTCTGCTCCCCCCAGAATCCATTTAGCAGTGGACACAAAGTTTTTCCTCCACATCAAAATTAAGTTTATTGCCAAAAAAGCTTAATAGGTCTCATCTGACCAATAAACACAGGCCTGCATGTTGACGTTTGTGATGGTAGGATAGAAGAAGCTTTGTAAGACAGCTACAGAGAGCTTTAGAAAAGTCTAAAATATAAATGTCAGTTACATTTATTGTAAATTACTGTCAGTGCCACCGTTGTTTCACTTAAAACATTTCAATTAATGTGCATTCATTGCACCATGAGGTATAATCAAGAGTGCAGGAATGTCAGATGAAGCAGCGCTACCAGATTGGAACTAAAAACAAGATTTAATCCCAGATTTATTGCCACAGACTAAATTAAACCCAATAAGCCTGCTTACATAGAAAGATCTGCCTAGCAACAGGAAGACGAGGTTTACATCAATGTGTTTATTGGTCGACTGCAGGCTGTGTAAGTTATCAGGGCATAAAATCATCCAGTCAAACAAATGGATTCACAGAAGGAGAAACAAAATCCACTGCTTTAAAAAAAAAATAAAAATGCTTCCCCAGAAACAGAAACTACACATTGGTAGCTGCAGGATGGAGACGCATAAAAAGCAAAACAAACCTTGACTAAAACCTCTGTATTGTAGTCCACTTCCTGTTTCGCCTTTAGGGGATTGGACTAAAAAGCAGTTAAGAATTGAGTTGCTTTAAGTCCACTGAAGCTAAAAAAAACATCGTATGAACTATAAGAGTCAGCTTCACAGTGAGTAATACTAATAAATAAACAAACATTAGGTTGACCTTCATGGAGCTCTGTGCTTTAGGGTCATCCTCCCAATAAGAGTGTTCCCTTTAAGTCTGAGAAACAGTCATTTCTGTTCTCTTTTATAAAAAATATACTACAAGGTGCATCTTTTTTAGCTTTCCTGAGGTTTTCAGTGCAAATTCAACCACGGAGCAGGAGGAACAACTTGCCGCCAGCTGCGCGCGCGGTCCTGGTGCCCCTGAGATGGCGGCTTGGTTGGTGAGGTTCGGCCTCAGTTCTGAGGGGTGGAGTAGAAAGAGTGGTGCTGGTGGCTCTGGTCTGCAGGGTTGTTGGCGAACAGGAGGGGCGCCGTCTCTGGTCCGCACCAGCTGCAGAGGCAAAAGGAGCACTAAAAGTTAAATAGAAAGACCCTAAAGCAGAGATGTTTGCTGGTTATTTGTTCTAACTCTATTTATTCATTTAAAGTTAACAATATATTCCCATTCCTTACTTAATTAAAAGGAAAGTAAAGATTCTACAATGTAAAGTGCCTTAAGATGAGATGTGTTGTTAATATGCTCTATATAAATGGGGGAGTGGTGGCATAGAGCTTGGGATCCTGAGGTCGTGAGTTCGAAACCCACTCCCCCAGACTGCCACACTGGGTCTCTGAGCAAGACACTTGTGACAATGTAATGACAATAAAACACTGGAGTAATATTTCAGTGAAATACTCTGAAAATCAACATTTCAAGCCAATAGTGTTTTTGGAATCCAGGACAATAAATGGATAAGCTCATAAATATGGATATTTTGAAGGAACAAAAATGAATGTTGATGTAATAAAAGGGAACGCCAACTTGCCCGAATATATTAAGAAAAATAACAAAAGTGCTTCTATGTGAAATTCTTGAAAAACAGAGTAAAAGAAACTTTTTTTTTTTTTTTGGTAAACAATAACCTTAGAGGCATTAATGCTGAAACTGGCACTTACTTTTTTTTAGTTCATAAACCTAAATGTAATTGTTAAACAGGCTTATTGAAACTAGTCCTAAAAATAAACATTTTTGTGTTCAAAAAATTTTGTTTTTTTTTTACGGTTTTGTTCTCTGTGTTTTTAAAAAGAACAACAATATAAATACCGTTTAGTTTTGTTCTAAATTAATAATTGAGACAGGATAAAAGATACTGAAATGAACAGGCATAGTGCATAGTGAGCAGAACACTTCTTAGAGCTCTGGCTCACAGCATTAAAGTAGCAAATTTCATTAAAACTCAAACAGAACTAAAACCTAAAAGAGGTGGACGGATGGAGAATGACTCTCAGACTCTGATCCCTGGTCTGCAGTGTTTCTCAGTGTCTTCATCTGTACCACTATCTGTGTTTTTCTATAAACAAACTTTGCTCCAACTGGACAGATTCTACTCACGCTCTAGATTTTCCCAGTTTTCTCGCTGCTTTTATGACATATTGATGCCAAAACATAAAGATTGTGACCGTTTGGAGAATAAGGTGTAGAAATTTGGAGATCTGTGTTCAAATGTAGAGAGTAAATGTCCTTCAGAAAAACAATTACTCAAGTAGAGATACCAAAAAGAGCTACTGAAGTACAGCATTTACAGTTACTTGACACCTCTGCATATTTGCACAAACACTAAAAACAGGACTCTAGCTCAGGCACATTTCTTTATCTGTTGGCTTTTTACAGTCAAGCCTCAGATTTTTCACCCAAACTTTGAATCAAGTCTCAAACAAACAAACTAGAATCAGTGTTTTCTCATTAAACCCAGGTCGGCTAGCTCACCGCTCACCGCGCATGGCTGCAGCTTTGCACAGGTTGCTCCTCCTCCCTCACAGTCAGCCAGGCAACTTTTATTATTACTGGTAGTAAACCTTTTTCTGAATGCACATCTGAAAACCTCTGTTCTCAATTTTAAGCATTGAAAATGTTCACATTTAAAGTATTAACTGCAACATAAAAAACATCTAGTGAGTAAATAATTTAATAGAACAGGAAGTGCTTTTATTTTGCTAATTCCAGTGGTAAAAGTGCTAGCACTGGCTTTGAAGGAATAATGTCAGAGATAAGCAAAGTTGATTTAGTTTCATTAAAGCAATACAGCAACAGCAACAATTCAGCTCTTAGTGCATGTTGATGCTCCATGCAGGCTGCTTTACTCAGAAGCCTCAGAGTCAAGGCACCACTTCACAGCAGATCTAAGCTCCCCTTAAAATCATAGGGAAGTCATATTTAAATGTCGAATCATTCTGGCCTAAACATGTATATAAATGTACTCTTTATCAGACTATATTATCCCAAAAGTTAGAAAATTTCTATTTCTTAAAATCTTTAAGTCTATGTTTTATTTTTTAATTGTTATCTTATGTAGGCCAGTTAGTTATACGTCAGCCTGAACAACTGAATTCGGCCAATCCAGACCACTCAGGTCTTCTGGCTCAAGCCTGCTCTGCATACCTAGAACCAGAACTAAACATGGAGAAGCAGCATTTAGTTCCTTTGCTCCACTTATCTGGAACAAACTTCCAAAAAACTGTAAAAGTGCAGAAAGCCTGAGTTCCTTTAAATCAAGACTAAAAACACATTTGTTTAGGATTGCCTTCGACTGTTCTAGTTAAACAGTTGAACTAAAACATCATTAGTTCAACTTTTTTATTGTCTTTAGTCTAGCTGTTTTTAATGTTCTTTTTTGTTTCTGCATTTTTAATTTTATCTATTTATTTATTTCCTACTTGCTTTGATTCCATTTTATTTTCCTGTATTTTAATCGTGTAAAGCACTTTGCATTGTCTTTGTACTGAATTGTGCTATACAAATAAATTTGCCTCATCTTGCCTTGCCTTGGTTATCATATATCAACGGTCATCTGTCAATCTAATTTTTTCAGTCATAGCATCTTGATTTCATATGTGGCAGTTAATATACGCAACCGTTGAAACGGCTGAGTTGCGCTATTTTATTTTTTACACTACGACTTGGAATTGTGGGTAATCCAGAGCATAGATTAAAATAAATAAAATAAATAAATAAAAATATAGCTAACACGAACCCATGGTTATGACCCAGTAACTTCCAATAGTATCTAAGATTATCAGCCATTGGTCTTGGTGTGAAGTTCTCTGTGTTTGTACTGGTTCTACCTTTGGTTCTGCTCTGAGCTGCGAGCCCAGGGAGCCGGAATTTCATCATCGCTGCCTTCAGGGTCATCGAAGAAATATGGACGAGGCAGAACCCTGTTGTTGATTTCTAAGCTGCTGGTCTGCGAAGGACAGAGCTGCAGTTTAACGCTGATAAATGTTAGTGTGATGAAAAAAGGCGAAGCAGCTGAGAGACTCCGAGCTCACCTCCTGAGCTGGCCGGCGGACTCTGAAGAACAGGATGAGGAGGCTGGTGGGGAGCAGCTCCCAGATGAAGAGAATGGCACCAAAGGCAAGGTATTCTCTGTCACCAAGTTCGCTTTGCAAATCCGCCTAAAACTCAAAACACACAATCAACACACCTGGCATTCAGCATGAAAACGATCCATCCAGTGGATCCAGGGTTCTGTCAGACCAGCATACACATAGTCAATACCCGTTTATCCCTTTAGTTTTGTACCAAAAATAGACTTAAAATTACCTCAACGGGCGTGTATCCCTTTAGTCATGTAAAAAATAACAATTTAATAACTTACTTTTTGGTGTTTTTTGAAGCGTAAATAATTTTTTTTTTTTTTTTTTACAGGACTAAAGGGATACACGCCCATTGAGGTAGTTTTAAGTCTATTTTTCATACAAAACTAAAGGGATAAATGCAAATCTGAGGTCTTGCGCGTGCCTCATGACTATAGGTATGCTGGTCTGATGAGGTATGCTGATCTGACAGAAGGCCGGCTGGAAACTCACCTGGTCAGAGACGTTGTACCAGTCATAGTCAAAGGATTCCACCTTGTAGATCTGAGACAGGAACAGGACCGTAAGGTTGTAGCAGGCGCGGCTGAAGAACAGGAAGATCACCGCGGCTCCCAGAGTGGCTGTGCGGCATACTGTGGTCCCCTGGTGGAAGAAAACGCATCGCTAACTCGTTTCTATTATGACCCCCATGAAACGACATGTCATAGATAAACGCTGAAGTGTTCAGGATCCATTTCCGACAAACAAACACTGCGCCGCTGGTTTAACTGGGCTAACTGAAACCCAGTAGAAAAGCTGGGAACAAAAATACACTTCTGGGTTCCTCCCTTTTTATGTCAGAGGTCCAGGGTTGGAATCCCACCTTGAGGGCTTTCATCAAGCAGTTTGCATGTTCTCCCCATAAATGTCTGCGCTCTTTCTAGGTACTTCAGCTTCCTCCCACAGGGCAAAAAATGACGCTTTGCTTGAATTCATTATGTGACGTTTGTTTTCTTGGAATTGTTGTTTTTCCTCCATGTTGTGATGGGAATCTCTGGAAAGGACTGACTACAAATTATGGTGCGTTCACACCAAACGCCTGAAGAACGGATTGTTATGTAGTAAAAGGAAAAAAGAGCGAGCGCTGATTGTTATTGCTGAACTAAAATACTTTTTATGAACTATAGAGAACCAGTTTATAAATCTCCCAGCATGGATTTGTCTGGCCCTCCGAATAGAGAACTGCATAGTTTAGTAGGATCATAATCCTGATGAACGGGCTGCATAGATGACATTTTGAAATTGACTTTTTTTTCGCTTAAAAACGTGTTAAAACAATTTTTTAAACTCATAAAGTAAATAAATTGGTCTTCGACCACCGTCGTGTTACATTGAGGTGTTGCATGACAATCGGCCACAATCAAACAATCAAGTTTGATTGTGGCCGGTTTCTCAGAAGCATCTTGCTAACCAGTTAGCAACTTAGTGCTAGTAGGTTCCCAATGGGAAATTCCATTGGGACCAAGTAGCACTAAATTGGTGACTTAGAAACGACACTGTCAAGGAACGCTATGGACAGAGGAAACATGCAAGAGGAGGAGAGTTTAGTGTCGGAGGTTGTAGATGAGTCTCCTCCATCATACATTTTTTATTTAGAGGAGGAAAGCGGGGATGAAGTTGTTGTGGAAGAGGACGCCAGGGCGGCAGAAGCTTGGTTTGGTGTAGAAGGCTTACAGCCGTACATGTTGGAGCCCTTGCCCCGCAACGCTGCCAGCTCTGTTAGCTCTACGCCTGCTGAAGACACAGACGTCCATCCCCGTGAACACTGGGGGACGGAACTCAATGGGAAAGGAAATGACAGAATTTAAAAAAAAAAATAGAAATGTTCTAAACTTTGGGACAATATCATCTGATAAAGAGTACATTTATATACAAGTTTAAGCCAGAATGATTTGACATTTAAATATAATTTCCCTACGAATTTAATTGCTTTACTCAAAATCGACTTTAGGGGCCGCCGGCCTCCCAGCGACTGAATGACAAGCAGATTCAGACAATGAATGGAAAATATGAAACCTGGACGAAAGAGGCAGATACTGAGAAGGATAGATGTAAAGGAAGGCGGATGGGGTTTCCGTACCTTGCTCATCAGATAGGGGCTGAAGGAGCGTGAGTGACGGGTCAGCAGCAGCAGCACGCTGGCCAGCAGCACCGCCTCCAGGATAAAGAGCAGGTCGTTGACAATAACTCGGACCAAGACCAGCTTCCAAGTCCGCTTCCCCTTCTCTCCGCTGCTGCCTCGCTCTCCCAGAGCAGCGGATGTCACGTTGATGGAGAGGAAGATGAAGCTTATGGCCCCGTAAGCAAAGCGGGCCACCCATCTGTAAAACAAAGGGATTAACCCAGCTGCAGAGTCTCATTTAAATGTGTCTGAAAGGGGAAGGCTTACAGTTTGCTGTCGCTGGCTGAGCTGTAATTATCCCTGATCTTCAGCAGAACCTGAGCAACAACAGAAACATCAGAGATGAAGCAGAAAACTGGAGGCAAAAGGAAGTACTTTATCTCCTATCGGTTCTAACAGATCCTCCCCGCCTCACCTGAGTGAAGTAAAGGTTGATGAGGCTGAAGGTGAAGAACTGCAGGCAGACAGGGAAGCAGTAGAGCAGCCAGAAGGCTGCAGCAGGGAGGTGATTGGCTTCCACCGTGTTACGGAAGTAAAAGGAGAAGAGCGTGGTGCGCAGGCCCGCCCAGAGCAGGCAGAGGAACAGAAAGACGCTCTGGTAGCTCCATCTCTTGTGTTTGTAGATGAAAAGCAGCCATAGCTGCGTGTAGACCACCAGGAAAAGGCCCCCGTACAAGGTGGTGTAGAGGATGGTGAAACCCAGCTGGACGGACGGAGCCACGGCCGGTCGGAGGGTGGTCGGAGAGGAGCTGGGAGTAGGAGGAGCGGTGACTGGAGCCTCCATTAGAGCAGCGGGAGGGGATCACTGACCAGCAGCCATGGTTGCACAGAACCTCTGGACGGTTTGCAGAGATCTGCGGGGAGGGGCAGCGTACATAGAGGGTCAGCAGAGACACAGAGAAGGGGAAACCGCTGGAAGGAAGTCTGAGCTTTTTAAACATATTTCCTTTGGCAGAATGGGTGCAGCTATTTGTCAGAATAACATTTTCAATGTGTCTAGACTTCACATGGTCCAGTTCAGTAGGAGCAGGTTAAAGCTCATCAAACACTAATGGTTAAAGCGTAATGAATCACTTAAATTTTACCTTCTCAAAGAAAAAACCTTTAAAGTGTGGCATATGTTTATACTGGACCTGGTTTACGCATGACCCCTTCTTCTTAGCAATAGATCTAATAATAATCATCAGGATTCGCAAACCTTGGATAAAGTCAACTTCAACAACTTTCCAGGATGGATTTCCCTTAATTCATTAATTTACCTCCTCTTACCACTAAATATGTCCTCTAGAAGGGATTTTACTTCAATGCATTATTTAATAAGAACATTTACACTAAAACTTTCATATCTGCAATACATGAATATTAGTGATGGTGAGGCTCAGCTTTGTTTGGGCCTTTAAGCCCTTTAGCAGTATTGTTGTTAAGACCGCATAACCGGAGTCCAAGACAAGAGCAAGTAAAGATGCCAACCAGAAACAGGATCAAAGGTTCCTCTTAAATGAACTCAAAGAAAATCCACATTACCACAGAGACTACAAGATAAATGTAATTTTCTCTATTTAATACTCATTAATAAACTCTTTACTTCACCTTTATAATTAAATTAGCTGCAACATATGAATCAAGATGCTATGACCGACACAATCACACGGAACCAGTTATATCTGATATAATATATCTGGTGGAGATGTTTTTATACGTTTTTTTTTTTTATTAAAGCATTTTAAATGCCAAGATAATCACATTTATTTAATTTTAATGCCAATTAAGGCCTTCATTTAAAAAAATAACAATTTCATGACTTTTAATGATCTTTAATGACCCGCGGAAACCCTGCAAGAAATTCAAATATATTAAGCGGCATGAAGTCAAATTTATATGCAATTAGACTTATAATTCTATGTCTTAATAGGTAAATATACATTCATAATTTAGGAATTTTACATATTTTTGACTTAATTTAAGTTAGAATGACAGTTTTCTATAAAATCTGAATTAGAGCTCAAGAAAAACTGATAAATTCTGCTGTAAAAATTAGAGTATTATTTTTTGTTTTTTACATTTGTTTTAAAAAAAACATTTAGCAAATGAAAACTGGGATCCTATCTCAATTTCACTGAAGCTATCACCTTAGTTTTTTAATAATTACCTAAACAGAATTTGTAAAATAAATAAAAAATGAAATAGATCCAGAGGATCTATCAGTAACCATGTCTGTTCCAGCACATATCATCATTAGAATTTATTTTTGTATTAGGTCTTTAGAACAGCGGCCATAACAGGGGGCAGGACATGATCTACAGGGGCACTGGCCCCCGTTGGCCCCCGTCTAGAACCGCTCATGATCCCCTACTTGTCTGTTTGTAGCTGAAATGGGACAAAAGGTGTAAAACTGAACTATTTTGCAAGGCAGGTTATCAACTGACCAATATGCTGAATCTAGTTGGAATTTGACCTGAAAGGAAACGAAAAGCAGAGTCATGCAGCTAAAACAAATCAGTTGCCCTCTGCTTTTAACAACTAGGACGAAAAAAAGGGGACAAAACAACCTTGCTGAAATATTAGCCTCCTGTACATAACCTAGATCAGATAGTATATGAGGCCCAGAAGGGCAACTATAGGGCTGTCTGATAAAAACAACACCATGAGGAACAGTCTGGGTTTGGGATGAGCGGAAAATAACAACACACCATAGATGATTGAAGAAGAAGCAAAAACAACATGAAGCTGGATGAGCTTGTTATTGGAAAAAACTGTTTGAAAACATTGTGACACAGATGGAATGAAGAGCATGCAGAAGCAAGTCAGCCACTTTACAACTGATCTGAAATCATATTTGTTCCCTTGTTTACACTCTGCCTGCTTCCCATTCGCATTTAAATGTTACAAGTTTACAGAGTGCTATAAAATATGAAAAACCTGTTTGACATAAACAAACCATTTCCTCAATCACTGATGAGGATCAAAGCAGAAAAGGATTAATGCATCACAGTAAATACAGTCATTTTCCAGCAGGTGTAATTCTGCTGCCGTAAAATGACATTTTCTACATAACATTTGAGTTTATGAGCATTATAATCTTTAGGTTCACTGTGTGACTAACAGTCACTGTTTACTCGCACTAATCGGACAATAATATCAATGTAGCCAAAGAAAGGATAATGTTTCTTTCAGTTTCAACAAACCGGATTATATAACAGTTTTTATGTTTCTGTTTGGCTGTATTATAGCTCCATTTATAACATTTATAAAAAGCCAGACTCCTATCAGTGTATTACTTTTCACCTCGGGAACCATGTGATCCTATAGGACAGACTTTACTCTGGTCTTTGGAACATAAACAACCGATTGTTCGTCCAACCTAACAAAGCTCGGCAGGATTTTATTAAACAAGCTGCAAATACAAACTTTACGTCTTCTTACTTCCGGATATCTATTGTGCATCGCTAAGGATCGTAAAATAAGACGGATTTCACCTGTTGGTTCTCATTTAACGACAATTACAGACCTGTTTTTCCCCCTCAGGAGAACATGGAGCTGAAGGATGAGCTGCTGTCGACGGTAATCTATTGTTTCCGTGTGTAACGTCTGAGGGGGCGGAGCCTTGGTGATACAGTGTGGCCGCCATATTGTGAGTGGCACACACATTACCAAAAAAGAAAGATTAACTTTCCTATACGGGGGCGCAAATAAACGGAAGAGGATCAACACACTGAAAAAAAAAAGTTAACTGATTTTTAAATATTATTTCAGTTCAATATGGGAAAAAAGTAAGAATTCTGGGGGGTTTTTTCTTCTAAAATTCTGACTTTTTTTCAGAATTCTGACTTCAATCTCAGAATTCTGACTTTAATCTTAGAATTCTGTCTTTAATCTCAGAATTCGGATTTTAATCTCAGAATTCGGACTTAAATCTTAAAATTCTGACTTTGATCTCAGAATTCCCACTTTAATCTAAGAATTCGGACTTTAATCTCAGAATATGGACTTTAATCTTAAAATTCTGACTTTAATCTCATAATTCTGACTTTAATCTCAGAATTCGGACTTTAATCTCAGAATTCTGGCTTTTTTTTCCGAATTCTGACTTTAATCTCAGAATTGGGACTTTAATCTAAGAATTCAGACTTTAATCTCAGAATACGGACTTTGCCCCTTAGGAAGGGGGAGACGTTGAGATCTTGGTTAGCCTGCAATACCTGATACTGGTCTATGCCTCTGAAAGGGGAGTCGTTAGGGGCATTGTTGGCCTGGCTAACCAGGTGAGATGTTTTGGTCCCCTTCATGGCGGTGGGAGTTGAGATGATAACGGGAAGGAAACAATTCTATCGCTGCATTGTTGCATTGTTTTTTGAGAGCTGAAACCTGAGTCCACCCCCTCTGCTTAAGGTTGTTTTTTTTCCTTGCTTAACTTGAATGGCTTCCTTCACACCACTTTCAAACCATCTGTCTTCTTTGTCCAAAATCTGAACAAGTTGTCTTATCTTGCTAAGTGAGAAGCAGCCAATCCAATGTCAGGGTTTCTATGGAGGCACACACCTTGTCCTGCCTCTTTGACTTTGATGGATGAGGGACAGTATAAATAAATTCATGGTATGCTTTAGCACAGGAACATGAAATAATTAATTAAATCGTGAATCAATTATATTCTATTTTTAAAATAAAATGATTTTTTTTATGAGGCCCATGTAATTGTTATTCATATAAGTCTGCCTCCATTTAAATCATTATTTCCTCAGTTATTTATTTATTGTATGACGGAGTATTAGGGCCAGGCTAGAGATTTTTTTTTCTTCTATTACGAGAAGTCCTAAAATTACAAGAAACAAGTTCTATTTCATGACAACTCTCACAAGAAGCTCTTTCTTCCCTAAAATGAGGAATGTCGAGCATCATGTGAAGTCATACTTTGGTTCTGGTTTGACAAATAATGAAATCTTTTAGCATCAGCATCAAATTGGGCAGGATGTCAAAGTGAACTCAGGTTGCTGATTGGTGGAGCTGGTTGGCCGTCATCTGCTGGTCGGTGCTCCAAGCTTTCTTTCTGAAACAGGTTGTTGTATGATGACTTTATTCTCGTAATATTATGACTTTATTCTTGTAATGTTACGACTTTATTCTCAATATTAAAAAAAAATGTTAATCTCTAGCCTGGCCCTAATACTCTGTCATATTTATTGCAATTTTGCTCTCATCACCATCTATAAAACCCTTCTTTTAGAGCAGGGGTCTTCTATGTTTTCCAGGCCAACGACCCCCAAACTGATGGCAAGATGGAGCAGGGACCCCCTAATTATATAAAACTGGTCCTATAGTCACTCTATTACAGATGGAGTAATGTAATGAAAGTAATTTCTCCCTGTGACTATTAAAGTATTTCTGATTCAGATTCCTGGTTGATGGGACAGGTGTTGTGAATAAAACCGTGTCCAGCTTGAAAGAGTTCCTGTGTGTCGCTGAATGTGTGCATTGATGACTGAAAGACATCTTCTGCCTCCATTTATCTGTTTATTACAGTGTGTTCAATTCATGTTAATGTGTATTTAAAGACATTTCAATTAGTGGAAAAAATCGCAGGGGGAATATAAAGAAAAAGTCTAATCAACCAAAACTTTCGCAACCCCAATTCAGTACCTCTGTGGAGCCCCTAGGAGCCGTGCACCCCCTGTTGAAGTCCTCCATTTTACAGGATTGTCAACTCTCATCCATTGGGTGTGAGACACATGCATCTCAGTGTCTTCACTTAAGTACTTAAGTACACTTTTTAGGTATCTATACTTTAGTAGAAGCACCATAGAGAGCGTTCTGACCAGCTGTCTCTCTCTGTGGTGTGGAGGCTGCAGAGCTTCTGACTGGAAGAATGTGAGGAGGGTGGTGAGGACAGCGGAAGGAATCATTGGGGCTCCTCTTCCCTCCATTAAGGACATTTCATCACAGCGCTGTGTGTCCCGAGCCCGTAATATCATCAAAGACCCCTCACACCCCCACCATGGACTGTTCTCCCTGCTGCCCTCTGGAAAGAGGTTCCGCAGCATCCGCTGCAGATCCACCAGGTTGTGCAACAGCTTCTTCCCCACTGCCATCAGACTGTTGAACCTTTGATCCACAATCCGAACTCTGCACCTATTGCACATTATCGGGCATCAAATGCTGCTGAACTTTTAACTTTTAGCCCTTTAAATTGTTCATCTCATTGTATTTTTCAACAACGCATTTTTTGCACAAATGCCATTTTGCACTGAACCACTGCAACTTGCACACTGTCTCTTATCCTCTGCACTGTTCACACTTTGACCACTGCTGCACTTTTTGTATTTTTCTATAACTCGTGCCATTTGAAATATCAATGCAACGTTCATAAGCTGTATGTAACGCAATTTCGTTCTGTATGCACCCTGTGCATACAAAATGACAAATAAAGAAGTCTAAGTCTAAGTCTAAGTCTTTACTCCATTACTTATTTTTCTTCCTACTTCTGACTTCTACTCATTACATTTTCACACAAGTATCTGTACTTTCTATTCCTTACATTTTTAAAACAAACGTCACTCATTACTCTTGGCTTCAGTTTAATGTTTATAAATATTTATTTCAGGTCATGTGCGCCATTCAATGCAGATCATTGGCTCCATCCACATCTAGTGAAAACTAGTTTAATTGGATGAGTCGTATAACGCAAACACTCATTGGTTAGCTAAAGGAAATCATCAGAAGCAAGCAGGTGTTCTTCAAACTGCAAACATGAATTGTCTATGCCATGCTACAATGGAGGATTCACAAAAAGATGTTGAAATGTCTGAAAGGTTGGACACAGGCGAGAGCGTATCGGGAGATGGAGACCATTAAGACCTCCCTCATCCTTGGCCCTATCTCAAAGAATTTTTAGAAATAGTCGAAAAATTTAGCTTTCAATTCATATAGTGGTATCTGGCTGTTTTTTAAGGTTACTTTATACTTTTATACTTTAAATAGTTTTTGGAGCACATACGTTTTCACTTTTTTTTTTCCCAAAATATTTTTATTAGATTTTAACACACTGAAGGATAGTACAGCACAGTATTTATAAACAAATCCAAACATACTCCAAATTAAGATTACAACAATATAACAGAAAAAACAAAAATATATATATATATAAAAAAAAACTAAGTAAATAAATAAATAAAATGCTTCTCAGCTGGTATCAGTATGGCTTACACTTGACATCCCACCTCCACCCTTTTCCAGAAAGAATAAGAATGGATACCATATCTCCTCAATTTTTTACATTTACCTTTCAATATATAACTTCTTTTATTCTATGACCATGTTAGTTGCCATTTCTTTCAGCCAGTCATTTACATTTCGTGCTTGAATGTTTTTCCAAAAAAGAGCTATAAGATGCTTAGCTTGTAGCAAACACATGTCAAGGAAAGTATATTCCTTTCTTTTCAAATGCATTTCAGGAGGGTATAAGTGCATAACAAATATTTTTACTGATAATGGCAGATTAATACTTGTCATTTTATTGATCATGTCCCTCACCCCTTTCCAACTTTTACTTGAGTAAAGAGGTCAAGTTTGATACTTCAACTTTTACCAGAGTGTTTTAAACTGCACTATCTATACTTCTACTATGTAACAAATGTGTGTACTTTTGTATTATAAAAGTATGTATAAATATGTATAAATAAAAATACCATGGTGATAAAATCCAGTCCACGTTTTTAACACAACCTTAGTGCTAACACATAAAGACATGCCAGGTTCAGATCCATTCCTATTTTTGCATCTTCACTGTTGTGTTCTGAGAGCAGCAGAGGTGAGGGACCTGAGCCAGATATTAAAAAAATACCAGGATTTCTGAGCAGTTATTACGAGGTATGTCATTTTAATTTAATCTTTTTTTTTTTAAATCTGGACTAGGTAATTCTCTTTGTAAATTAATGAAGATTATAAACAGTCTAGCACTTGAGTAAATATGAATTAAATATACAGCATTTAGCTTAAATTATTATTGTGGGGAATGAAGAGTAGGATCAAATCAAAAGGTTTGTTTTCTCTATACATAGTGCTTTTTTAAACTGAGCTTTACCACTTGTTCTTTCTAATTTAGCCACTTGATTTAGTCCCAGTTTTAGTCCATGTTTTGCTCACAAGTTAAATCTCCCATTGGATTTTAGGACTAATTAAACCAACACTAAACTAAACTCCATTCTTAGAGCTTTCAGGTATTCCTCACAAACCCATAGGAGTTCCACAAAAAGAAAAAGAACCTTTGCATTTTATTTTTCAAAAGATCAGCCACCCAAACAAAAGACCAACCACATTCAGAAAGGATGAGCAGAACAGCTCAGTTATCCAGGATTGATATAAGAGGAACCACAGGGATGTTCTCATTTTATTATTACTTATCTTATTCATTTATTCTTATTTTGGTCCATTGAATATGTTTAAAACTTAATTTCCATCACATCTATCAAAATCAAACATCCACAGAAGAACTGTCTTGTGTCATTGAGGGTTTTTATAAAATCTACAGCCTCCTAGAAGGTTTGAATTGTTTAACTGTTTTGTCAATTGGAAAAAAAAAAAAAAAAAAAAAACTAATAAGATAATAATCCTTAGTCTATTACCAAATATTCATACACAATGTAGTTTGCACAGGATTCGATTTCAGCTGTTCTGTTTTAGTGCCAGTAATCAAATAATAACTTATTAGTTCCCCATTGGTTGTTACTTGAACTGCAGAGAATAATTAATAAACACAGTTGTGAAATTATTTGTTTACAATTAAGTATTATTAATTATTATTTTATTGGGGACCCTACTTCTTTAATTCAGTTCTCTGAAAGTCACCAGTATAAAGAAAATAATGCATATTGTGTGAAATTTTTCTAGAATAACTACAGATCAGTTATTGTTACTCAGTAACATTTACTGTGCTATAAAAATTCAACATTTCACAACTTTGTTTCAGTTAAATTCTCTAAAAACCTACAACCTATAGCTGTACCTGTCCTCATCTAACCCTGACAAGGGCTACATGTCCAAATTATTTCAAAATTCACCCAAAGGTTGGGTGAAAAGTTCGCAGCCCTGGCCACTCACAAGATGGCGGCCACGCGCCGTCCTTATCGGACGTTAATGCGTCAACTAGTCTTCCTTTTAACCGCCAATCAGCGCTGGCAGGAATCCGCGGTTACTTCAAGTTGTTGTTTATGTATCTGAAGGACGAGACGTTCAAATCCCACCTGGGAGAACGTCGTATCAACGGCCCATAGGCAGCGGTGTTTTATTCGCGCCGTTAGACCTATCTCTGCAGTTCAGTTAGCATTCGCTTTTAGCCGAGGTCGGCTCCTTCTTGTAAACTGCCGACCGTTTGCGTTAAGCTCTACCTGCTAACGCATCTCATTTAGCTAAGCTGCTTCTAGGTTATTAAAGGGATGCCGATGGTACTGCGGTCCAGGCGGTCGGTCCTCGGTGGCCGGCGGGGTGGGATCGAGTTACAGGCGACGCCGACCCGCCCGCAGCAGAGACGGGATTACGAGGTGGGTACTTTTATTACTCAGTCTTTCCGCCTCCTCTTCCTCCGCTGCTGAGAACTACAGAAACAGGAGGACTGTCGGCCACGTAGCTCGCTAGCGACAGCAACGTTAGTAGCCGCTACTTTGGCATTATCTTAGCTTTTTTATTTATTTTTTAACTTGAGTAATGTTCATCTAACTGATGCCCGCTACATTAATTAAATATTTACGTTAAAATTCTTTTTTTTTTCCACTTTAGTTTACGTAAAGCGGTTAGCGTAAATTGCTAAAGTCCAAACTCATTAGCCGTACAGTACCGTAATATGGTGAGTTTTTTTTGTTGTTGTTTTTTTTAAGTTAAGCGGTAGTTTTTCCTTATAACTGTATCAGTGCTTGCACTAACTTTTATTATTGACTTAGTCTCAAGCAGCACCAGGCTGTAAGTATAACGCTGTGGACTAATATAGAGTATATTGGCTGCTTTTTTCCCCTCCCCATTAACAGATTATAATCCATCGGTTTTTTTCTGCTAGGAAACCGATGAGTCTGAGCCTGAGGCCATCCCGAGGCCATTGATGGAGAAACGTGAGGCAGAGCTGGAAGAGGACGCTGCAGAGGCTGATCCAAAGGTAGGAGCCGCTGGGGGGGCAAAGGATTGGCTCCCATGGCTGTCAGGGAGATGCTGTTTTAAAGGGATAGATGGGGAGGAAAGCAGAGCAGTGTCTGGGTGTTAGCTGGCTTTTTATTTGCAGAGACCTGCGCTGAAACAATCCAGGCTTTGTAACCTGGTCTGTAGCTCTGCAGCAGCAGCTGGTAGTCATTAACAGGAAATGTAGTAATGTTAGAGCGGAAGTGTTTTTATCTGCATTCTGTTTGGAGTTTAAACCGATTTTAATGTTGAACCAAAGAGTTGATTGTTCTGCTGTGTGGAACAGCTTTAGCTGTGAAAACAGCTACTTTCTCTATATGCAGGTACATTGAAAAAAATAAGGAAAGTACTTAAGAAACCCAGGTCAAAATTGCATGTTGTGTTATTCAGTTCATTCTGATTTAAAGCTTACGGTTCAGTTAATTTTATTTCTATAGCATCAATTCACAACATGTCATCTCAGAGCATTTTACAGAGACAGCACTTTTCACTTTCATTGTCATTGACTCTATAGCAATCCCTCACATTGAGCAAGCATGCAGCAGCATCAGAGGAAAAACTTTATTTTAACAGGAAGTAATCTCCAGTAGAACAAGGCTCAATGTAATAGGGAGAAAGAAACAGGTGTAGAAAAGGAACTTAAAGCACCGATCTATAAGTTTTCTTTTGTGTGTGTTAGAAAAAGTAACAGTTAACTAACACGATCCAAAGGGTGGCTCTGTCTAGGACAGAAACAGTTAAGCAGACAAGCTCGGGGCCAGTGGTGAAGTCCAAGAAACAGAACACATCCAGTTAAGTCACAGGAAAGGCTGAGCCCATCGCTATATCTAGGAGAGAAACAGGACTGGCAGCAGTGTTGATGGCAGCAGCACAGCTGATATATCTCTCTGTGATGATGTCACAGCCATACTGGAACAGACCAGATGAAGCTACTATGATGATAAAAAGCAGTGGGAACATAAAGTTATGGGTTCAATGAGCAAATACTGCAGAATGGGAGACTATAGATATTAGAAGAAGATATAGATATAGTAGAATGATGAAAAAGGGGTCCCTATGACCTCCAGCAGTCTAAGCTTATAGCAGCATACCTATATAGTTCAGCATAATCTGAGCCACTCTAACTATACGCTTTATCAAAAAGGAAAGTTTTAAGCTTAGTCTTAAAAATAGACAGAGTGTCTGCCTCATGGACTTCAAATGGTATTTGGTTCCACAGGAGAGGAGCCTGATAACTAAAAGATCTGCCTCCCATTCTACTTTTAGAAATTCTAGGAGCGACTAGTAAACCTGCAGACTGAGAGCGAAGTGCTCTGTTAGGAACATAAGGAACAATCAGATCTCTGATATCAGATGGAGCTTGGCCATTTAAGGCTTTATATGTGAGAAGGAGGATTTTAAATTCTATTCTGGATTTAACAGGAAGCCAATAAAGAGAAGCCAGGATAGAAGAGATATGATCTCTCTTTTTAATTTTCATCAGAACTCTGGCTGCAGCTTTTTGGATCAGCTGAAGGTTTTTAACTACAGTTTGTGGACTTCCTGATAGTAAAGAATTACAATAGTCCAGCCTTGAAGTTACAAATTCATGGACTAGTTTCTCAACATCACTTCTGGACAGGATATTTCAAATTTTTGAAATATTCCTCGGATGAAAGAAGGAAATTCTAGAAACCTCTTTGATATGGGATTTAAATGACAGGTCCAGATCAAAAGTAACACCAAGATTTTTGAAATCAGTTTAATCCCATCCAAATGAAGTGACTGACTAATCAGCTTATTCTTAAAAGACTCTGGTCCAAAGACTATTTGTATTTTCTTATTTATTAAATCTACTTCTTGAAAAATAAATGGAGTCAAGAATATCCAGATAACAGGATTTTTTAAGCAACGAGGCAAAGCTTCTTACTTCAGCCAAGTTACAGCTGTTAATCTGTGAGGGGGGAGACTCTGGATGTGAGGCAATGATGTTTACTGCCTCTCTATTACAAAAGGCTACTTCTATTTTGTCTGCATTCAGAAGGAGAAAGTTAAGAGTCATCCAGGTTCTAATGTCTTCAGACATGCCTGTAATCTATGTAATGGGTTAGTTTCATCTGGATTATAGACAGATATAGCTGGGTATCATCAGCATAACAGTGGAAATTAATCCAATGCTGTCTAATATTTCTAATAGAAAACAAACTATGTATAAGAAAGTTATGATAATTATTATATTGTGCAATAGTACTCATTTTGCATGAAGTACTGCAACAATGCAGTGCTGCATGGTGGCCAAATGAATCTGGCTTTGCTGAGGTTTTAAGGAACCCAGCTTGTTCTAATAGTGGCCTTCAGGTGATCGTTGCTGGTCAGGTGTGTTTCGCCTCCATTTAAACGGTAACATCCATGAACTGAAGCCATTTTTGCTGCGTTTTGAGCTGACAAAACATCAACAGATAAAGAGCCCAAAAATCGAGTTTGATTTTTGGAAATTTATTTTTTTATTTAAAATTCTTTTCAATTATACTGTAAATGTAAATACAATGTATTAGTAATTACATTTAGTAACTAGTAATAAAAGTTCAGCACCCCAAATAATCATTGAATGGAAATTTCTCACTGAAAGAAAGACAGACTTGTGCCTCTCCTCTAGAATTATTTCTTTCCGCTCAACTTTCTATTAAATTTGCTGGAACACCACATCTTTGTGGTGAATGTCAATAATTATATGTTAAAAAACGCTTGCGTCAGGTGTAGTCTTCTAGTGCTCAGAGGAACTGGGTTGTAGTTATGCTCTGTAAACCGAGAACACATTAATACATGAGGTATATTAATCTATTGAATCAGTTTTTCAGTTTGTTTGATTTCTCAGAGAGAAAATTGAAATCACCACTTCAAATCCCCCCCCCCCCCCCCCCCCAAAATATGTTTCTTACAACTTTAGCAGTTCAAACAAACATCTTGAACAATATACAAAACATGACCACAGCAGTGTTGCTGTTCAAGTCAAAATAAAATACAAAAAAAAAAGACAACAGATTGTCTCACACAATATTGGGTCCAATGCAACTCATCACATTTCGTACTTCACCTCTTATACTGAGAATTAAATTTAACAGTCCTCAAATAAATTGTCTTTGGGAACTGCAGTTCACATGTTCTTCAATCACTTGCACCGTCTTCTGAGATATTCAAATTCTTGACATACATAATTTATTCCAGAGGGATGGCAGATCGCTGCTGCAGCCATTGGTTTATAGTTGGTGTGTGAGTCTTTTTCCAAAGCATTAATACGGTATACATCTCTTTGCATTAAGCAAACTTAAAGGGGAACACCGTTTTTTTTTACATTGGCCCCTTGATTTTACGTTATTACATCATGTTCTATTCACCCATATTAGTTTTGTGTCATTTGGAGCTGTTCCAAAGATATGACGGATGACGTCATACACGCGCCGCTTGTTTAAAAAAAATATATAAATCTAAAAAATATAACTGTGGATGTCTGAGGGACAGTGATTCGCCTACATGTTATGAATGCTGGCGTAACATAAATGATCAATTATGAACAGTTTAGTTTGTGCCTTCAAGTCGTTGCCCATAGGAAGACGTTACTTGGATATTACCTAACGGAATATCTTCTATACTAATATGGGTGAGTAGAACATGATGTAATAACGTAAAATCAAGGGCCCAATGTAAAAAAAACCTGTGTTCCCCTTTAAGTTTATAAACACTCGTTCATTTTTTGTGTAAATATTTTTTTCAGGGTATAATCCAAACACTAACAACCTTGGCTCAAAAATTTTTTGTTTGCAAATAATTTTTTTATCCTTTACCTCTTTCCAAAACCGTATAATCCCTGTTATACCCATTGAGGTCTACTGGTGTTGTATAAATCCGCATTAGCTATTTATTTTGAATCATTTTAAGAGCTGTATTAATAGAGCTGGTGTGGGCCAATTTCTGAAATTTGTAACATCATTGAGTTATAAAACCCTGTTTCCTTTTCACATTTACCTGTTGTCTGTAAACTGCAGGCACTGTGGTTCAAAGACAGATTTTATCTTTATTATTTAAACCTGTACAAACAGAGCTGTGCTATCCGTCTCCATCGGCTCATGTTCCCTTTGAACGGCGAAGGCCGGCCCTTTGTTCAGGGAGCCCAGTGTTTGCCCAGTTATCTGCTTTGTTTTGCTTCACTTCAGATCTCAGTCAGTCGGACACTCACCTGTTGGCGGATTTATCAGCTCTGTAAAGGAAAAAACAATAACCCCAGTTTTAGGCCCAAAGACGTGCAGTTGTTCAGAATCAAGTTTTTGATTTGATTAATGGAAAGAGAAAAAGTGGGACTTCATAAATGAGCTCCAAACCAGGGATTGTTGGATGGTTTCAGTTTTGGTGCTTAGCCCTTAGAACAGATACCTTCCAATTTAAAGGATCTAGTGCTGAGGTGTATAAACTCTTAAGTGATTATTTATACCTACTAAATAAACATGTATCATTTTTCTTATTTAAAATACATGCAAGAATTATTTCTATAGTTTCAGAGAATATATTTATTATTAACTGATAAAAGGATTTTATCGTTAACATGTATTCATTGTAACTGGATGTAGTTACATTGATTAGGTCTGAAAAAAACTCAATAAATTAATATCTATTAATTGATTATTGAATTAATAATTAATTTAATTAGTAAAGGGATTATACTTACTCTTAAATATGCATTTTTAAGACAATAATTAAAAAACAAAAGGAGAAAGACACCACTGAAAAAGACAAGTCTTTGTTAAAAAGACTGGAAGAAGACAATGCTTATTTAATTCCACCCTTTCAATGAACAAAATTAAGTTATTCTACATCGAATTTATATTGCATTATCCATAACATGACTATTACTTGTAGTACTAATGATGATAAACTATAGGAACACCAGTCATCACCTATAATCTGTTAAAGGAAACACCCTTTAAGGATAGAAATTAGGCCAAAACTGCATTATATATGCATGTTAATATATAGGAGGAGCTATAATTTGCCTGATTCGGGTGGAGCCAGCGTTACCTTCATTCCATGGGGGCAGTGGTGATCTACTCTTTAGCCCAAAATAAGTTAAAAAACAATCCACTGGACTTTGTTTCCAAGTTTGAAGACGTTTCGCTTCCCATCCAGGAAGCTTTTTCAATTCAAAATGTCAGGAATAGCGTTGCCTCTGAGGCTTTATAGAGAGGACCAAATCAAGCCTTGTTTTTCTAGTGATACTTCTAGTGATACTTTCAGTTTCTCATGAACTCCAGGAAAGATATGAAGGAAACAGTTTTTTTTTTTTTTAACGCTCCAAAAGCTGGTCCAATAACCTAGCTCACTGATACTCTCATACTTATCCTTTCAGCATTACCTGAGGGAGTTTCTTCCTCTTTCATGTTTTGCATATATTCTGCCTGCCTTTGTTTTCCCAGCTGTAGGTATTCTGCTCAAACAGCCATGCCGGCTGGCGGTTGAAGGACGGGTGTGCAGAAATCCGACCTCACACGGCTGACGCTCTGTAGGAGCAGTGTGTGGCGGTTGCCATGGAGCATCCTGTGTATTTATGAAATGTTACAGTCAGAAGCAGAGCCAGCTTTCATGCCTGTGAGAACTTTGAATGAATTGGTCCCGTAGTCACGGCAGTGTCACGTGGGTAAACGAACACTGACAGGGTGGAGGACTTTTTCGCTGGGCTCATTTGAATGGGTGTGTGCATATTCCAGTGATTCCTCTGTTACAGCAGGTAACACACACAGAGCAAGCCTAGCAGCAGTAGTGGAAGACGGTGAAGCTGTTGTGTTAATGTTAATGTCTTACCCTGGTGATGTTTGGACTCAGAGCCTTACAGTCAAACTCTCGACTCCCCTTCCCAGGAACTGAAGGATTGCAGCGTCGTCCTGGATCGTCTCCACATGGATGAAAGATCTAGCAAGAAAGAGCTCGAGGAGAAAGAAGACATGAATCGGAAAGGTGGGAAACCCGTCTCTCGTATCCCGACTTTCCAGAAACGACCCGGGGGTGGGAGCCAGACCCCAGAGCCTCCTGCTCCCAGAAAAGACGCCACCGTTTATGCAGCTCTACCTTCCGAGAAAGGTGGAGATGTGGAGGTTTTAAAGTCCAAACTTCCTGAGGTCAGAGGAACGGCGCTCCCCCCGCCATCGGTACGTATTCAAGGCATCAGTTTGGTCTCACCCTCGGTGTCCAGCGATGTGGAACAAGCTGGAATAACTGCTCCAAAAAGCAAGGGTCTGTCTGAGTCTGCTGAGGGACCCATGATCGCCAGCCCCAGACCTCCTCTCAGACTAGAGCAGGACGCCAAAGAAACCGAAGCAGGCAGCACAGCAGACGGTCCTCTGAGTTCCCTCCCAAAGGAAAGCTCTCTCAGCCTATCAGAAGAAAAGCAGACTTGGGTGAACCTCAACTCCACCGGAGACGGAGGGAAGTCTGAAGAGTCGTCCAACGTGGCGGAGGTTGGCCAGGTAGAGGCCATTATTGACGAAGAACCGCCTTGGGCGACGGAGCCCGCGGAAACGGCTGAACTGAGGGGCAGCGGATGTTCTTCGGAAGCAGAATGTGAAGACGACCTGGCAAGTGAGGCATCAGAGGGCCACGACTCGGAGGAGGTGGAAGAACTTCAGTTAGAAAGCCAGACGGAGCTTCCAGATCCTAAGGTGCAAAAGGTTAACCTGGATGAATCTACTTCTCCTGTGGCTCAGGATAAGACGGCTAACAGGAAACCAGCCAAGTCCACAAAGGTGAGTTCCTCTCAGCAGTGTTTTATAGAGATACCCTGCAATGAATTACCGTAACCCCGAGGTTTCCAGAAGGCTGCCAAAGTTCCCAAATCCAGCTTCTTACATGAGAAGATTAAATTTGCTGAAAGTCAAAAACATCCTCCTCCGACTTCACCCATTGTGAAAGTGGCTAATTTTGACTTTCTCTTCCCATCTGAACTACTCCCACAATAAGAAGGGTTGCAAGCATCTGGATTCACAAACTAGAAAATAAATTACAGATTTTTTTAACCCAGCGGTTCCCTTTCAGAACAGATCAGCTATGCTTTCCTGGCAGATTGAGCTGTCTCAGATATATTTGAAGGAATCTGACCACGCCCTGCAGGGACAGCTGTGGAATGCTGATCCCTTCCATGCTGTTTTCTCTCTTTGTTTGACAGAAGTCGATATGCTCCTGTTTTACTCTCTTCTTCGTGCTGCTGCTGGGAGGTCTCAGTCTGCATGTCTGGCGCTACGGGCTCCCCACATCTGCCCATCTCATGGCTCAGCTAGAGCTGCACTGGCTGGAGGGCCTTGGCTTGTTCCCAGAGCCCTGTACCTCAGACTGCAGGCAAGTTAGATCTATAAATAAAAGACCCAACATTTCTAAGCAGTTTTTAGTAGGGTAAGATAACTGTTTACAAAAGCCTATGTGTAGGTGTCTGAATTTGTAAATTAAATGTAAATAATGATTGTTTCCTGTTGTAACTCATTGATTGATTTGACCTCAGATTTTTCATATCTGGGACTAAAAGTTAAGTTACACAAATATAAGTAATAAGTAACAAAATTATAACTTTAAAACATACAATTACAACTCACAAATGAGCAAAAATCAAAAAATCTATGAGCAGAGAGTTATGAGTAGAAAACTTTGTATTCAGTTTACTTCTAACACGCCAATTCGAAACACGTCACCTCACGGCTGTTTAGAGGCAATTCAATAAAGTCTGATTGGTTCAAAGTTTTCTATCTAACAAAAAGCAGCTGATTCCATCCAGTCATTGAATTCACAAAATCCACTCTTCCTGGATTGGCTTGTGGCGCAGAAGACATTCGCTTTCATTGTGTCTCTGACTTTCACACTGTGCATGCATGCTTGCAGCAACAGTGGAGAGGAAAAACTCTTAACAAGAAGTCATCTTTAGCAGAACCAGTGGCCCACTGGGGTTCAAGGACTCAGAAGCTGATGTAGAAAAGGAACATAGAAGCACTAATCTATAATTACTTTCTATGCTAGTAAAGGTAAGCTAGCTCCATTGGTGACACTATCTTGAAAAGAAACGGTTAAGCAAATGAGCTCTGAGCCAGTATTTTATCAAAGGGAAGAAAGAGCGCATCCAGTTAGTGACAGTAAAGGCTGAGCTCATAACTATGTCTAGGATAGAAACTGTACTAAAACACCTCTGACATCTATAATCGAAGTTGTAGATGGCAGCCGCCCAGCTGATATTTCTCTCCAGGATGATGTCACAGCAAAACAGGTGAAAAAATATTTAAAAAAAAATAGATGGAGCTACTATGATGAGAAAAGCAGAGAGAGCATAAAGTTATAAATAGGAGAATAGAGAGAGAATGATGAAAAGGGGTCCCTATGTCCTCCAGGATTCTAAGCCTATAGCAGCATAACTGTATAGATAGCTCAGGATAACCTGAGCCACTCTGACTATAAGCTTTATGAAAATGTTTTAAGCCTACTGTAGCCTTAAAAGTAGACAGGGTGTACTTATCACAAACCTATGAGTAAATATTTAGAAACGGATCAAAAATTTAAGTAAGAGTATGTTGACAACCGGGAACAAATGGATGTTAGAAATTTAAGTGCGTTTTTGACTTGGATTTACAAATTTAGACACCTATTTATATGTTTTTTTTATGGTTATCTTGCCTTTATATTCTATGAGATTCTTGGATAGATGAAAGATAACCTGAGGTGTAAGCAGACGTCCTTCTGTATTGTTCAGAGTGCAGCTGGTGGAGAGCATCCCTGTGGGTCTGTATCCGTCCTCTTCGCCATCCAGGCCGAGCATCGCAGACAGCTGGCTGCATCTGCTGCACAAGGCCAACAGCTCCGTCCACATAGCTGCTTTTTACTTCACACTACGGGACAGCGATGTCCAATCCTCTGACCCCTCAGACTCACAGGTGAGCGTAGCAGCATGAACAGGTTTCTGGCATTAATGCCTCACCTGTTAGTGGGAGTTTCCATGCTTCTGTGGTCTTTCATTTCACAGGGGAGAAACGTCTTTGAGCAGCTGAAGGAGCTTGAATCCAAAGGTGTAAAACTCCAGATTGCTGTAAACGCCCCTCAGACATCAACCCAGGACACAGCAGAACTGACTGCCACAGGTAAGGTTTTCATCACTGTAGAGGCAAGCTGTGGAGATCTGGAGAATAATCTGCCATGCTGTGTGTGGAAGGTGCTGAAGTCAGAGAGGTGGACCTCAACGCTGTGACTGGAGGCATCGTTCACACCAAGCTGTGGGTGGTGGACCAGAAGCACTTCTACCTGGGTAGTGCTAACATGGACTGGCGCTCTCTCAGTCAGGTACAGCGGCTAACAGAAATGTTCCACTTCATAGAGGTTTAGATGCATGACTGCTGCAGGGCAGATGAGCTTTATGGATGTTTTCTTTATAAGGAATTAATGCAAAATGCTATAATAAACCAAACATACCATCACACTAAGTTGCCCATCCTTTGGTCGGACCAAAACTTTGTGCTGGATCATTCAGCTGGTTAGTTTGGTAAATTATCTCAGATTTATGTCTTCCATAAATAACCAAACCACTTTAACCTCTTACCTATAGGCTGCGGCTCTTTTTGTTGTAAATAGGTCCATATGCTAGTTTATATGCCCTTTACCATTTATTGGAGCATAAAAAACACAACTCCTTATTTTGTAGGCTACAACTTTTGTTCCATAATTCTGTTTTTATAAAGGAGACAAAACCAATTGAGTCAGTAGCTAAATAAAATTAAATTACTTGAACATCTAACTTCATGTGAACGTTACTATAAATCATAACATAGTTATTTTCAACTAATATGAAAATATCAAACCAATGAATTCTGATGTAATCTTATGAATTTTCACATGAACCTTTATGTTTTTAAACCTCATTTGAACACATTTACATATGAGGGCTCATGGGAGTTTGCCCTCATGTTTTGTGGACCTAAAAGAGGCATTCGACTGTGTCTGTTATGATACCCTGTAGGGGAGGCTCAAAGAGTACAGAGGCTGTGTTTGAATTCATGGACTGCGTCCTCCAAGGACGCGATCTACCTGGACTGGATCCTTTGCAGGCCTTGAAAATAAGGAGACTGGAAGAGTTTTGGCTGTGATTTCAAACGGGTCCAGCCTTCAGCGGCTTTTACCACCTATACTCTGTCGCTTAGCAACCATGACAGTTGACACACAAAGCAGGAAAAGAATGAATACCAAACTTTTCAAAACTGTATTTTTTATTTTTTTATTGTAAAGTGAACAAAGACTACACTCATCAGAATCCAGAGTGGAATAAAGGTTCCAACCACCGGGAGCAGGAACAAATAAAATGTCAAATGTAATGATAGAAACCATAGTCAGTTAAATAACATCCTGCTGTCATTTTGCACATCTCTGATGTTGCTGCTATTTTCAAACATCCATTACTGTAAAAATGTCCGTAGCTGCATATTGGTTATTTATTCTCCAGGTGCACAGTTTGATATTGTTAAAACACTTTACAGTACAGTATTTTGTTTATATTTTAACTCTTCCCTGTTATGTTTTTATATTATTATTTATATTTCTGCTGCTGTGAATTTCCCCATTGTGGGACAATAAAGGGATTTTCTATTCTATAAAGGGGGTAGAAATATATAAGTAAATCTAAACAATGTATAAAAATATTTCTGCAAAATCTCTAATATTCAACAATAATAATAAGCAAATTGTCATTTAGCATTTAGTTTTGAAGCTGAAAAAGGCTTTAAATGCGTACTTTGGGAATATTTATATCTGGTTCTGCAGTGTTTTGGCTTTTAATATAAAATCAGTTGTTTGATATGGAAATTTAATTTTCAAATGGTACAGATCAAAATAAATGGCCTTTCAGGCACAGCCCCCCCAGAACCAGGGTCCCGGCAAGGATTTCCACTTTGTCCAAGTATCTGCAATTTTTAGAGCCACTTGTTAAAAAAAGAAACAGGAAGGATCTAGATTTGATTGGAATCTTATTTAAAGGAAAATACTAGTAATCATGTCTATATGCGGTGATCGTATTGGTGACCTTATCTGACCCCCGATACCAGTTCAGCTCACCTCGTGTCCGATTCAGACCAGTCTGTGTCGGAGTTGCACACGCTGATCTACGCTTTTTGGCCACCGTAGGTGAAGGAGGTGGGTCTGTCGGTGGAGGACTGCAGCTGCCTGGCTCAGGATGCCTTCCGGATCTTCGGGGTGTACTGGACCATCGGAGGCGCCAACAGAGGAACCCTCCCACCATTTTGGCCCGCTCGGCTCTCTGCACTGTCCAGCGCCGACAACCCTCTGCAGCTGAAGCTTAACGGAGTCCCTGCCCAGGTTTACCTGTCTGTAAGTTCGCCATCCCACCAACGAGTCAAGTTTTTAAAGATTTACAGACCCTTTTTACACACCGTGCCGACTCTGTCCTCCTGCAGAGCGCACCGCCACCGATCTCAGCGCGTGGACGCTCCGATGACCTCTCTACCATCCTGTCCGTCATCGAAGACGCCCAGAGGTTCATTCACATCTCTGTTATTGACTACCTCCCTCTGTCTCAGTACACAGAGCCAGTCAGGTATAAAGAAAAATTTTTAGCAGCAATTTTTTTTTATTTTAATAAATAATAGATTTTCCACTCCTTCAGAAATCCTAATCCTAATGAGGAGCTTTATCTCCGTTTGTTGGTTCAGGTTCTGGCCCGCCATCGACTCCAGCCTGCGTGCTGCAGCCTGCACCAGAGGGGTGCAGGTGAGACTGATGGTCAGCTGCTGGGAGCACTCGCCAGCCTCCATGTTCACCTTCCTGCAGTCCCTGCTGGTGCTCAGCAGGCCTCCTCTGAAATGCAATGTTGACGTGGTACGACGACGATCAGCTCCGCAGCCGAGACGCTCCTAACGAGAGGAGAAACAGAAGGTTTACCTCAGCTCCGTTTCTGTTTGCAGAAAATCTTTACGGTGCCTTCAACAGCGGAGCAGATGAAGATCGCCTTTGCACGTGTCAATCACGCCAAATACATGGTGACAGACAGAGCGCTCTACATCGGTAGGTTTATTAAACTGGTAGATGGAGAAAAAAACCAGAATAAACCTGTTGGAGAATCCAAACTGAAGGTGTTTCTGTTCACAGGGACATCCAACTGGTCTGAGAACTACTTCACTCACACAGCAGGCGTAGGCCTGGTGGTGAACCAGACAGGCGCCGAGCTTCACGAGGGCCAGCAGACTCTGCAGAGCCAAGCGGAGGAACTCTTCCTGAGAGACTGGAGCTCTGACTACGCCGCCACGTTACCCACTGACAGCGTGGACGTCTGTCCCCACAGCCGCAGCTGAGGGGCTGCATCCCTCAGTGAAGCACGATGCCTTTTAGATCAGCGTTCCGCTTTGCTGAACCACTTAAATATGCAAATATTGTTGCTATGACCAAATACAGCTGGGTTTACTGTTGCCTCTTGTTTTATTGCTGCTAGCTGCCAGCTTTGTCTGTATATAATTGCGTTGTGTTTTTTATCCAAACTAGTAGCTTTGATGCTCCTGATTCCTCTTGAGGAAAACAAAAGAGATCAGTTTGCACGTTTCATCTCTGGAAATTTCTGTAAATATTGCCAGTTTTTCGGCCTTGCCAAGTTGAAACGATTTCATGCAAGGAGGCGTTTCCAAAGAGGTGCATGCACCAGAGCATTGTTTACACTGCAGAGGCTATCAATAATGTACAAATGAGTGTAAGGGAAAGTATTTTATGTGTTTGTTTTTTTGTTAAGTTTTCCATTTATAAGAAATAAGTTGCTCAAAGAAGCCCAGATTTTTCGGTAGAATTTTTCCTCTTGAATATAAACGATGTCCGTTTCCTGTCACAAAGCAGACAGGAGTCAAGCTGCTGTGTGGTCGAACAAAGGAAGCAGCTGGAACAATGGATCACTGACGAACTGTTTCCTTTAAAATAAATTCTGCTCAAAGGAATCGGCTGTGATTTCTCTATGATCGTTTCTCCTCCACCTGGATACTTCAGTCAAATAGAAAAGGGATTTATTCATCGTTCCAATGCAAAAGTTTTAATGTCTGTTTCTCTTTCTGCTGAGGACCTGACCATGACACCCCTTCCCTGTTTGAGCGTTCTAATGAGCTTTTTCTGCAGCTTTAGACCCCAGTAGTGGCATGATTTGAAATGTTTTAAATAATTCTTCACGTCAGTATACATTATTCAGATTGTATGCAGGCTGCTCTCATCAAAAACTCAAGTAACTTGAGAGGTGTGGATCCGTTACAGTCATGTTACCCATAGCACTGCTTTATGGCAGTCTGAGCTTCCCTTAAACAGTGGAGCTAACTAAGCTAACAGTTGTTGGCAAACAGATCAGATCAGTGGCGGTTCTAGACCAAATGTACCGGGGGCCACGATGGGGCCAGCATGTTTTCATGGGGGCACAGAAAAGAATGAAATTGAAAAAAAAAAAGGCAAGGGATTCAAATATATTAAGCTGCATAAAGTGAAATTTCTATTGAATTAGGTTTAATTAATTTATTATTAGGTCAATATACATTCAGAATTTAGGAATTTTACATATTTTTGACTTAATTTAAGTTAGAATTACTGTTTTCTATAAAATCTGACATAAAGCTTTTATTTGCTTTGAATTTTAGCAGATGGAAACGGATCCTATATCAATTCTACTGAAGCTATCACCTTATTATTTTTAGATAATAAGTAAAACAGAATTTGTTAAGAAAAAGAAATTAAATGTAAAGGACCTATCAGTAACCATCTCTGTTTCAGCGCATATTATCATTAGAATTCCTTTGAGTATTATGTCTTCAGTAGAGTTGCACCGATGCCATCTTTTGGCCCCGATACCTGGCTGTGAAGTATTGGCCGAAACCATCTGTTTGAAATTGATGTGTGTGTCTATATATGAAGAACTGCATACTACTTGGATGTAAAATAATTACCATCATGGTTTTGTCAAGCTGCTGCCTTCCTTTGTGAAGCAGGAAAAAGACTAATATAAAGTGAACCCAGTAGAACTTTTTATTGCCTAACTGGAACGGGTGACAATAGTTGAAGAAACTTCTGGCTCTCAAAATGGTATCTGTGCCCTATTTGTTGGTACTCCTGTTGGCCCCAGTCTAGAATCGCCCATGGATCAGGCATATTTTGGTTTTTGGTAGGATTTTGTGGCCTTGAATTTACCAGAAACACCATGACTTCTTAATCTGCTGGTCTAAAGTGGTCTGGTATCAGAACCAGAACTAGAGCGACCAGACGCCCTCTTTTCCCTGGACATGTCCTACTTTTCATACCTGAACAAAAAAAATGTTTGTGGGGAATTTCAAAATCCTGTGTGATTTTGGTCGACTAAAGTGCAGCACGTAGTCGAAACAGGGAGCCAGCGGGGGACTGAGCGACCGAACCCGACCCGGTGACGGTATCCTAGACAAAGGCGGCTCTAATGCAGGTTTTGGTCGCTCTGTCCCCTGGCTGGGGCCTGGTCCGGTCCAGTCAGCAGCCGCCCCCTCCAAAAAAGTTTCCTCCTTTTCAGAAACCCAAACCTGGTCACCCTACCAGAACTGGAGACTGGTTCAGTTAGCTCCACTGCAGTGCTGCTTGTTGCCTTCAGGGGGTGCTAAACCTGTAACTGAGGTTTAGCACCCCTACTGGTTAAAGTTGGGACTCCATCTTTGTCTCAGTCGGGGAAACTTTCCTACAGATATTTTTTTACTCTGCAAACATGAGCCTTTGCTTCGTTTCATATGGAATATGGAAAACTGAAAATGTTCACAAATATGGAAGAAAAAAAACTAAATCCACAAAGGGGAAAAAACTTTCCGACAGCAATGTAGCAAAGAAAGCATTTACCTGCAATGGCCACTAGATGTCACTGTTACAAGGACTTAACTCTGTTATAGATTTGATCAGATTATTAAAACTAATTGATTTTCTATTCAGTAAAGGATATAATCACACAGAACTAACTTGAACTGGATATGGGGGACATTGTCAGAAGAAATAATCCTAACTTAGTGCATTAGTAAAATTATAAATATTTGTATTAATCATGTGTAATACTTTATTTGAACCATCATAAACAAGCTGAACTCATGACATTCATTTTGAGTGCTTTGACTGTCTCAAAATATTTGTGCATGAGGATATATATATATATATATATATATATCTATGTTTTTTTTTTTTGTATGAGTCAATACTGGACTATACAAAGGAAAATAAAACCGAGTCCTACTTATTATGTCCTAATTACCAAATTGATCATCATACTCTTCTTTTTCACAACTTAAAAACAAATTAATAGCTTCAAATATTTTTTAAAACAGGAACTGGATGCAAATGTTTAACTTTGTTTGGTTTTCCTCCACATTTGGCTGTAAATATACACACATCCTCAAACGTGTGCATCCAAGCAGGAGAATTTGCCATCAACTAACTCCTGCCTTAATTCTGGTTGATTATTTATCCACTATTGGGACAGAAATGTTGGAGCTCACTTCTGATTTGGTCCCCAATTCTAAACATTTGGAGCATCGTGTCTTTTCTTTCTTGAAAGCAGCAGGATTGAGTTTAACTTTTAAAAGAAAGGAATGCACATAACCGGCTGATGTCTGTCAAACACCATGAGATTTCCTATTTCCTTCACGACAAACTAAACAACCCTTAATCCTCCTACATAAAGCAGAACTTTAGAAAATGACACCAGAAAGCAGTAAAGCAGAGTATTATTAACATTTTATTAATGCATGAGTCTAAACCACATTCACATAATAAAGAGCAGAGTTTAAAGAGCGTGCAGATGAACTTCTATCCCTCCTCTGGGAAGCAGATACAGATTCTCTGCAGACATTCACAAATAAAAACCTGCAAAGCTCAGCAAACATGATCCAGAGAGAAAGTCCAACATCTCAGCTGCAGAGAAGGTTGATGATGCAGGAATATTACTGCCATAAACCAAATCTGACATCAGCTTCATTCTGTGGGATTCATCCATCGATGACGGCACATTTCCAAACATTTTAGAAAAATGGATTCCATACGATTTAAACATGTAAATACAAAGAACATGGTCTGTATTTCTGCATTCACATTTAGGGCTCAATTCAACTCATATTTAAGCTGTATTTCCAGATTGGAACATGCATAAAAAAAGAACTAAACATTTTGCTGGATTTTACTATATATATATTTTTTTTGGAGAGTTCAAGAGACCAAATTTCATAAATCATTTCATTTATTGTGTTTTTTTAGATACTTTGTTGCAATATATTCATTAAAAGGGTCCCAAATTTTGTAGAATTTTATCTTTATTAAGTCAATTTTGTTGTTATAGACAATCCAGAAGCCATCTCCCTATATAAGGATGTTTACCATCAATATAATAAAGATCCATGTGTCTTTTAGCTAATTATTACTCAAATTTATATACATTTTTGGGATGAATAATGAACTTTGGGGTAAATTAGATTTGGAAACTTACAATATTCTGATATATTTTTTTTTCCTTCCTGGCTAAACATTTACATTTATCAGCAAACACAATGAAATAGAAAACACCTTGTATTTGATATGCATGACCTGAATAGCAAAATGATGCCTTTATATCTATTCTATACAGTAGCAGTTACAGATGTGTGTTAATAGTTTCTGTCTGTGCTTTTCTTCATGCTTCCCATCATTCCTCTACTGGAATATCAGCATCACTGTTTTCCCTCCCAGCATCCAGCCTGTTAGAGACGTTTCAGTCCAACCATCAAGAACTAAGATATTCAAAAACTGACACTTGATTAAATAATAGCAATAAAGGTTAATTACTCAGCAAAGTTTCAATCATTCCAATACTAAATTCTAATATTTTGACAATAAACGAAATATTCAGGTCTGTTAAATTCCTTCTGATTTTCCCTCTTAACGTTTTTTTAAAGCCGTTTTTCCTAAAAGGTGGAGAAACGCTGCACAGCTGGAAGCTTCTGCAAAAGTCCCTTCATCCATCCAGCTGTGTGTGCAGGCGGGAAGTTGGGAAAACCTCTTCAAGAGGAGCGTCTGAAGTCCGCCTCCATCTGTTCCGGATCCTCGGAAGCGTGAAACCTCCTCCTCTCATTCCATGGAGAGCTGCACGCTCTCTGGCTGCTGCTGCTGGTCAAACTTCCTGGCTACAGAGAACAAATGGATCATAAAACATCTGCGCTTATTTTCTAAAACAGTGTTTCCCAACCTTTTTTGACTTTTGTTCCCCTTTCGGGATTTTGTTTCACCATAAGTTCCTCCCTCAGTTAAAAGTATTGATGATTGTCCAAATGTTGAATGTACAAAAACTGAAATAAAGATTTCGAGACTGACCTCTGTGAGAAGCAGAAGAAGAGATAGAGAAGATCGTTTGTCCCAGCCACAATTGGACAGTTTAATGTTCGTAAAGTTTTTGTTTATTATTATCATAATTTTTTTAATGTAATCTTGTGGGTTTTATCCTATTATCTATATCTTTAATTTGAGCATTTAAGTTTTGCAATTTTATTCTTTCCACTTCAAAAAAAAAACATAAATATGTTTCCTGGAAGTAAGTTAGGAATCGAAATACATACAAAATAAAATCCTATTATAAACCTGTATTTATAAAACTGGAGTGACTCCCTTATAATCACACTTAAACCTGGTGAATTGGGAATAAAATACAGAACAAAAATTATATCCAGATTATTTTATATTATTATTATTTATAGTTTTATTTTGTTTTCAAGTTGCTTTGATGAGCTCCGATAGCTCAGTGTGAAAAACAGCCGATCCCAGGCTGTTCTTTACATCCAGGATGTTCCTCTGCTTGGTTCTCACGTGTGTCACAGCTGAAGGTTGAACTCAAAGAAAAACTAAGTTTTTTGGTTGATAAAATCTTGTTTAATTTTTCAACTGGGTCCTCACAAAGCAAAACCGATCCCAGCTCTATTTTATTTGTCTAACTAAAGCCGGGCGTACCCTGTACTATATTTTCCTTTGAGCCCAGTCTGCACACTGGAAAAAATCTAAATCTCCATAAGTAATTTATTCTTTAAAAACGTGCATTTGTTCTTGAATTGAGAAGGTAAAGGAAAGGCTTGCCAATGGAACAAGACAATTAACATTTAAAATAAGAAAACACACTTTTATTTCAAGTGCATTTTATCTAAATATCTTGTTTTAAGAGCAAAAATAGTTGTTCCATTGGCAAATCATCTCATTTACCTACACAAAATAAGGGTAAATACACTTAATCTAAGAAATTTCTATTTATTTCTAGATCGTTTTTCCAGTGGTGCGAAAATCCTTGGATCAGGCCGCCTTTCAGCCTGGCGATCAGCCTCTCGCGACGAGGAGAAAATAAAAAATGTTTGAATTTCAGTCGCCCGTCGTAAGATCGCATCTGAGCGTCGGGCCACACAGCGTGAGAACATGCATCGCGAGCTGTGAACTTTTAAACCCTGCAGTTTCGTCGTTCAGTTTGAGCTGTAGCTGCGTGCAACTATTGAAAAATTGCACATTCAAAGCCCGTCTTAAGAAATAATATATTATCTTGTACCCCTTGCAATACACTCGCGGACCACTAGGGGTGCAAAAAACCGCACTTAGGAAACACTAGCCTGATAAACCAGACTAAATGTGAGATTAAATGTGTAATTTAGTCTGGCCCTGATGAATGAGACATTGGAAGATTGTTGATGAGAACAACCCGTTGTTTTTTAAACCATGTCTGTGCCTATTGGCCATTGCTCTGACCAATGAGCGCAACTGACTGTGACCTAGAAAGCGTGACAGGAAGCCTGTGATGTCGCAGTGGATAAGTTGTTGAGATCATGGAGTTGGACTATTGTTGTCGTTTGGGCAAAAAAAGACATGCGAGTAGCCGGTGTACTACACCACTGTACACATCTTTTCCAAAGTTCAAATCAACCGTTGTCAGTGGCAGACAGACAACAGAAAGTTGGAGTGAGCGTTTTGATTACACCAGGGAAATACAATCGAGTCAGTCGAGCTTGTACAACGGTGTTGAATAGACTGGAAAGAGATTCTGCCAATTTATTGGAGGTGGATTGAAAATGAGGTGGAAGCAGGAACCCCCGCAGAACCAACAGCTGCTGAAAAGAGAGCTCGGGAGCCTACTCCCTCGAAAACACTGAAAGACTTGAAGAAGCTCCGCCAGAACACAGGCAAGGATATCTGTCGCACTTTCACAGAATATAGCCGAGGTAAGTTGACATTATCAGTATATAATTAGGACCTGTGACGGCAAATCTATCTGCTTCATTTTCTAACACAGTTGTGCACGGTAGCTTTAGTTCCTTGTTGTGTTTTCTCCAGTGCCGCACAGTTTTGTCGTCACGCTTTCAAAACCCCGCCCGGTTTGCATCCAGAAATTCGAAACACACCTCTAAGTTGTGATTGGCCCTGGAGATTTAGGGCCGGGGGCATTGATGGAGGCTAGACCACTCGCAGGCAAAAATTATTTTGGCTGCTGGCGGGTGGGGCTAGTTTACTAGGCTAGGGAAACACTACTCTAAAAGACAAAACATGGTTAACATGTTATAAGCTAATGCACAGATCAATGCTAACTTTTGAGAAAAATCACAGAGATGATGAGAAATGTAAAAAACTATCAAAACACTAAGCTGGTTTTTAAATAAAGACATGATTGCTGTTCAAAAGCCATGAAATAATGTGGAAAAAAGATCAGTCACATTAAAATACATTAAAGCGGCTCTAAAATACGCTGAAAGGTTCAGTGAAGGTTTAGCAGAGACTCTGTCCTCTTCCTGTATCAGTGATCTAAGCTAACCCTCTGTTTGCGCTCGGCTCACCCAGAGAGTACATCTCCAGCTGCTGCCGCAGGCGGACCTTCTGCAGGCTGTCGTAGAAGTTAGGCTCAGGGCTGCTGCCCACGGTGGGAGGCAGCGTGAAGATCCGCATGATCTTCCTCTTGTTTCTGGTTGGATCACAGACAAACGGTTCAGAAAAGTGTAAAAAATGTTTTAGAAGAAAAGAAAAAAGTGAGTCTTAAGTTCTTTTTAGCAATTTTTTTATGGTGGCTCATTTGTAGAATATTTCTGTCCTGCTTTGACTGGTTTAGGTATTTAAAATTTCAAACAAGGGCTGATGGAAGAGTCCAGATCCTAAAAAAAGTTGACAAATTGGCTCTTTATGTTCAAACATTTCACCCCTGTTTCTGAATTGCCCACCCCTGTGTCAAGCTAATGTTTCCCCAAGATCTCTTCGCAGTTAAGACACTTCTTCAGCCAGGATAAAAGTAATTCTCATCATGTAAGTAAGAAGGTTCTGGAAATGAACTGGTAGCAAACAGACAGAGTTGATCATTCTTAACAGATAAAAGCTCTGGTAGTGTCTATTTGATTGACCTTGATCTTAGAACATGTTTATTACGTCGATTAGGCTGGAGACAGTGGTGTCTCATCGTTTAAAACATGTTTAAGATGTGACAGATTTATAAAAAGCTTCTTTTAACTAATTTGGGGCCCTTCCTGATGATGATGATGACGAACGCCTGTTAAAGTCGGCTGTATGTAACCCGAGTCATTTCTCTGGTCTAAAATTTAATTTTGGTAAACCTGCGGTCATGTTTTATAGTCTCTCTCTCATTAAAGAGTTTTTTTCCCCCACAGTGATCTCTCTGCGTCCATTTTGACTATCCGGAATGGTAATTTAAGATATGTGTATTTACATTCTAATTAGGAAGAATAATAATTCAAGATATCTTAAACTACATTTTGCCTATTCAAAATTCCTTTCAAGATATCTCAAATTACGACACCGGATTTGTCATTTAAAGTGTCACACGCTGATTTAACTTTTCCTCCTTTGGATTAAACTGACAGTAAGGAATTTTTTAGCAATGATCCTCCTGGAAGCCCATTAAAAAGATCATTACACATTTTGACTGGTCAGAATGCCAATTTAAGATATCTTTAATGGAAAAGCTGAATAACTCAAAAAATCTTTAATACATTTAGAGATATCTTAAAAGGAATTTCGAATAGTCAAAATTACAATTCAAGAGATCTTTAAATTTGTTTTGTCTAGTCATTATTTACTTTCAAGATATCCATAATTGAGTTTTCACTATTCAAAACTGCATATCTCCTGTCCTAAAATACATTTAAGATATTATGAACTATGGTGGTATTTGAGATATCTTTAATTAGAATTATGACAAGTCAAAACTAAAATCGAGATATCTTAAAATTAATTTATGACTAGTCACAATTTAATCGTAGATGTCTGAAATGTGTATTTCAGATAGTCAGTAATTCATTGTAGATATCTTAAATTGACGTCTCCATACAAGTTAATGGTAAATCCGACGTCATTTCTAATAGTCAGAATGTAATTGTAAATATCCTGAATAGGTATTTTGACTAGTCAAAATATAATTAGAGATATCTTATATCTCTAAAATATCTAGTCATAAAACAATTTGAGATATCTTGAATGTAAAGGTGGTACAACCGAATCTATGTTAAAACGGCTTGCCATAGTATCTCTGCTTCTGTCTCCTTGAACCCCAGTCACACTGAGCCTGGTTCTGCTGGAGGTTTCTTCCTGTTAAAAGAGAGTTTTTCCTCTCCACTGTTGCTACAAGCATGCTTAGTGTGAGGGATTGCATTCAAGTCAATGAGTCGATGCACTCAGCTGGTTTTCCTTAAATAGAAAACTGAATCAATCTGACTGGATGACCTGGTTGAACTGTAAAGTGCCTTGAGATGACGTGTTGTGAATTGGCGCTATAACTAAATTGAATTGTGCTTATTATTTTTATTTTTTCTAAACAAGTAGAATTTATAGCTTAAACATAATAAGTATAAAATCAGTTATTATAAAAATACATAAAAAAAACAACCTATTAATATATTTTAAACACCCCCAACTGATTACCATTGTACAGCCGTATAACAAGTGTTACATAATGTCGAATTAAAAAACCAAGGGCAATAAACTGGTGCTGGTTGTGGAGGCCTTTAACTATTTTCTCCATTAAAATGTGAGTTTGTCGTGTGAGCTTACTTCCTGGCGTAGATGAGCAGGCCGAAGCTGACCAGGATCACCAGCAGGTAAACGTTGGTAGCTTCATTCCAGGCTTCATGCACAGAGTAGTCTATGGAGTCAGGCTGGTTCCCCACAACCCCATGGCCCCCCATGGAGAAGCAGCGGTGCAAACAAATAAAACCTCCGTAGACGTAGCTCCAAAAGACTCGGCTGTAAACAAACACTGCGTCACTTCCTGATAGAGCCGTAGAGAAAGGAGTTCTGACATAGACACCAGGAGCCGCTGCTGCCCTCTAGAGTCTCCCAAAAGAACTGCAGCAATACAGTTTCTGCGTTCTTGCATCAATAAATCCAAACAAAACACCTGTGATTTACTTGCAATGGTTGGATACGTGTGATTATAAATCTTCCTACTTCTATCTGGACATTTTAACACATAGAGCCTAAAACTGGGTAACTGTGGTTTTTAAAATCAGAGAATGAATAAGAATCAGAAATTATTTTCGTGCTGTGCAACTGTTTACAGGAGAGAGAGCAAAATAAGAAATATTTAAAATAGACAGATTAAAATAAGTAAAAGTTATTATGTCTGTAAAAACAATAATAAAATTCAAAGCAAAGGGTTTCTGGAAAGTATAACCAATCTCATAATGGAGCTTAAAATCCTTTATCCCTGATGTAAGATGGTGTTTGGGGGAGACTGGACTGTGAGTCCAGATGAATGGAATGATAGATGGCCTGGACATACACTATATTGCCAAAAGTATTTGCTCACCTGCCTTGACTCACATATGAGCTTAAGTGACATCCCGTTCCTAATCCATAGGGTTCAATATGACGTCGGTCCACCCTTTGCAGCTAGAACAGCTTCAACTCTTCTGGGAAGGCTGTCCACAAGGTTTAGGAGTGTGTTTATGGGAATTTTTGACCATTCTTCCAGAAGCGCATTTGTGAGGTCGCACACTGATGTTGGACGAGAAGGCCTGGCTCTCAGTCTCCGCTCTAATTCATCCCAAAGGTGTTCTATCGGGTTGAGGTCAGGACTCTGTGCAGGCCAGTCAAGTTCATCCACACCAGACTCTGTCATCCATGTCTTTATGGACCTTGCTTTGTGCACTGGTGCACAGTCATGTTGGAAGAGGAAGGGGCCAGCTCCAAACTGTTCCCACAAAGTTGGGAGCATGGAATTGTCCAAAATGTCTTGGTATGCTGAAGCATTCAGAGTTCCTTTCACTGGAACTAAGGGGCCAAGCCCAGCTCCTGAAAAACAACCCCACACCATAATCCCCCCTCCACCAAACTTTACACTTGGCACAATGCAGTCAGACAAGTACCGTTCTCCTGGCAACCGCCAAACCCAGACCCGTCCATCAGATTGCCAGATGGAGAAGCGCGATTCGTCACTCCAGAGAACGCGTCTCCACTGCTCTAGAGTCCAGTGGCGGCGTGCTTTACACCACCGCATCCGACGCTTTGCATTGCACTTGGTGATGTATGGCTTGGATGCAGCTGCTCGACCATGGAAACCCATTCCATGAAGCTCTCTGCGCACTGTTCTTGAGCTAATCTGAAGGCCACATGAAGTTTGGAGGTCTGTAGTGATTGACTCTGCAGAAAGTTGGCGACCTCTTCGCACTATGCGCGTCAGCATCCGCTGACCCCGCTCCGTCAGTTTACGTGGCCTACCACTTCGTGGCTGAGTTGCTGTCGTTCCCAAACACTTCCATTTTCTTATAATACAGCTGACAGTTGACTGTGGAATATTTAGGAGCGAGGAAATTTCACGACTGGATTTGTTGCACAGGTGGCATCCTATCACAGTTCCACGCTGGAATTCACTGAGCTCCTGAGAGCGACCCATTCTTTCACAAATGTTTGTAAAAACAGTCTGCATGCCTAGGTGCTTGAATTTATACACCTGTGGCCATGGAAGTGATTGGAACACCTGATTCCAATAATTTGGATGGGTGAGCAAATACTTTTGGCAATATAGTGTATGTCTCCTGGACGGGGGGCCACCTGTGGAGCTGGTTTACAGTTAAACCCCAGTCGGCCTCAGCAGATGGCCGCTCACACTGAGCCTGGTTCTGCTGGAGATTTCTTCCTGTTAAAAGGGAGTTTTTCCTCTCCACTGTCGCTACAAGCATGCTTAGTGTGAGGGATTGCCTTGAAGTCAAGGAGTCAATCCAATCAACTGGTTTTCCTTAGATAGAAAACTCTGGATTAATTTGACTGTATGATCTAGGTGAACTGTAAAGTGCCTTGAGATGACATGTTGTGAATTGGCGCTATAGAAATAAACTGAATAGAATTTTTACTTATATTCTAAGCATCTGAAACTGGTTAACTCTAAAGGTGCAGTCAAATTATCATCTCTGTTGGAAAATTTGGATTTAATGCTCCTATTTTACTTGTTTTGTTGTTTTTATTTTATATTGGTCACATCCCATTTGCTAAATGTTTGTGATGGTTTTTCTCTCATAAGCTCCTGGAATCATAATTTATAGCCTTTATCTTTATTGCTGCTTAACATCGACTATTTTACTGTATTTGCTTCCATTTGAACTTATTCTGTTAGTGATGTTGAATTGATTTTATTTGCTTGAATAATTTGCCATCTTCTGTATTAAATAAAACATTAGATCAGCTTCTCTTTGTATAGCAAAGGTATTTTTCGACGGAGTAGGCTTACAGACACTTTGAGGTTTAGAAGATGGGAAAATAAATAGGTTTTTTTGTCATGGGGTTATAGAGCACAAGAAAAGCAAACAGGACAATTGTTCATCCTGTAGTATATTTGGGTGATTCTCCAGCCATCAAATAATTTACGTACGCTGCACTTACAAGAAACAAAGAGAAGCTTACAGAGTAATATAAATGACTATTTATATAAAATATGGTTTTATATTTGTTATCCTCTTAGTCCAAAACAGGACCGTTAGCTTAAGCAGGGGATGTGTCCCCATGACAGACTGTCAATCGGTCCGATGTCTGCCCAGCTTCTTATCGGTTTGAATGTCCAAAAAACAAAAACAGCCCATCATGCTGCAATAAAGCCAACATGTACTATTCTTAAAATTCAGATATATTTGATGAGTTCACCTTAATTCCATGATTTTTTTATAGTCTGAATTCCAGTCGGTTACACACTGTAAATAAATCCTCCTAGAAATAAAATTCTTACACAGAAGTCACTTTTAAATTCATTTATTTTCAGGAGTTCTTGGTACCTTATTCACACAAACTTTATTTTAATCACACTTGTTTCAAAATTATTTAAATTTCCAAAATAGAATCTTAATATTTCATTGCTACAGAAGACATAAACCTGTTTTTTTAAACATAACTGTTGTCATTAATATATTTCTTTATGAACAGTACATGTAAAAGCAGCAGGCTTTGTGGCGCTAACTGCGGCGGTTTAGCTCAGCTTAATGAGAAAAAACAAAACAAAAAATATCTAGAAATGTCAAAAGAATTAAAACAATCCTGTTAGAGTTAGGTTTTTTTTTGTGGTGTAACATCATTTTGCAGCTTTAAAACATACAGCAGATGCACTTTGTAGAATCCAAAGATCAGCTCAGATCAGAAACAAAGATCTGAGTTTGAGAATGTGATAAAAAGAATTATAAGACAGAACAAATATGGCGGCTTTCGGCTGCGACAACCAAAAACTTCCCAGGAGGAATAAACAGAGAGCGAACTGAGCTGACGCCACTAAGCAGGACATGAGACCAACTATTTACAACCGAGACGAGTCGTTTTAGTGAAGGATACATTAAAATAAACTGAGAAGCAGGTTAATAACTACTGCCCCCTGAAGGGTGTTGGTGGGGGCAGCGATTTAAACATGCAGGGGTTCAGTGCTCCATCTAAGCCTTAGAGAAATGAGGCCACAACGCTCAGCAGATAGGAAGACAGACCAGCTCACCTCTAAGAACAACTTAAATTTAGTTAGCTAATCACAAACAAAGCAAAAAGGAGTGTGAGAAATGAAGAGCTGATTTTCTTAAACAATGGAAATATTTTGTCCAAAATAAAAAGTGACTGATCTGTCCTCCTGTCTGAGGTGGTTTTAGTAGCAGCAGCTGACAGATAAAAGGATCGATCTTAGTTTAACGGACGCAGACCTGCCAGCCTCTCGTTCTAAGCAGGCTGCACTGAGATCGAAGCATCACAGCGATTAGCAGGGATACGTAGCAGCAGGAGACAGGTAAAGCACTAGCATGTTCAGTATTATGTCGAGCTAAGTTATAGCCACTACAAGCAAATGCTGCCAAGCACACTGCTGTGACTAATCGCTTTAGGAGCGCAGAGGCAGCCTGGGGTACGTCAGCAGACCCTACGGGCTCCAAAGCATCGGACTGGGCAGGAGCTTGCAGGCCTAGAGGGAGCACTGATTGGTTCACTGGTGTCACATCAGGATGTCCAGGTCATCGGCGTGATCGTCCTCCTCCGTCACCCGTAGCGACAGGACCTCCTCGTTCAGAAACAGGCCGCTCAGACGTTCTTTGCGGGCCTGCCGCTGCTCTTTCAGCTGCCGCTTGCGGAGGGCTTTCTGCTGGAGCTTACGCTGCTTTGATCGTTTCTGAAAAGTGAGGAGGGAGAGACGAGAGGTGAGTTCTGGACATGGACGACTCCATGGAAACCAGGGCTGAACAAGACGGAGACGTCACACTCCCAGATTGTTCCAGCATTTTCCATACAATGAACACCAAATCATTTATTACCTTCAGCAGATTAAGGTTTAAATTTAATTTCACATTTTTTCTCGCAGGAAATAATACAAACATTTAGCAAAGAGTTTAGAGTTGGATCTGATAGGAAGCTAAAGATTAGAGTGATGACAAGGAGGCCTTCCAAATGGAAAAAACTGTAAGGTTGAACTAAACATTTTTCAACTTTATGCTCCTAATATTACTTTTACAATTGGTTTATTCCCGTAACGCTGCAACTTTATTCCCGTAATGTTTGGACCTTATTAAAATGGTGTGACCATATTCTCGTAACGCTGTGACCATGTTCTCCTCATAATATTACGAATTTATTCTCGAAATAAAAAAAAATCTCTAGCCTGGACCTAATACTCCGTCATACCAAAAAGATAGTTTCCTAGAAGAAATTCCTGCATGTCATTTAATGTATTGTTCCTTTTTTATAACTAAGAAATATTATGAAACCTAAATAGGCGGCTAACTTTTCACACCAAAATGGTGAAGATTATTACTTCTGCCAAGGAGGTTGTTTTTTCTTATTGGAGGTTGTTGGTGATAATCCAAATCATAATCTGGTTACAGGAAGTTTTAAAAGATTCTCCTGCATTGAGAGATAGGCATATTTGGTGAAACAAGCAGTTCCCCCCTAAACCAGAGGGTGGGAGCAGTGAGTAGTTACAGCCTCAGCTGTACTATACTGAAGAAAAGGGAGAGTTGTTGGTTTTTTAGCAGGATCAATTGAAACCTCTGACTGGATCATTTTTTTTTTTTTTTTTTTTTTTTGCCAGAGTCGTGCCTCATTCCAAGTAACAATTCATTTAAATTTGGTAATGATTCAGATCATGTGCCAGTTGTAGCTATAGGTGGAAGTCATAATATGCGATACAATTTGCTGCTTGGCAGAGGTTTGCACTCTCAGGGTGTTTTTCTAGTTATTTCATGTATTACGGTAGTAAAACGTCTTCTCCTGAGAGACAGAAAAACAACAGAAAATCAACATAATCCATCTTAACAAAACAAAAGTTTCTTACTTTAGAATCTCGGATCCGTTCAGCGGCGCTCGAAAGGTTTCCATCACTGTGGGCTCTGCTGATGTTGCTTCCACTGCAGGCTGAGGCTGTACCACCTGAGACACAGCAAGATAAATCAGAACCGCCCATCCCAAAGGGGAAAAAGGAAACAGAACATCTGGGAAAAATTCAACTAGCTGGTAAAGATTGTTTTAGGTCAAAATAAGAGGCTTTTAAACATTATTGTCCAGTTAAATATGTCAAGAGTAAACAAATCAGAGTGTGGAATGATGTAGCATTGAGCATTGTAGGAAGAACTCCGATCAGAGTAGAAACGTCCTGGCTGGGCCTCACCTGCCACAGAGTTGGAGGCAGTAGAGCCTGTGGAGGAGCTGGCGGAGCTGACCATGCTGGCGTTGCTGCTGCTCACTGCGCTGACCCCACCTGTGCTGGCACTGCTGTGGCTGCTCCTCTTCCAGCCCTCTCTGGTGCTGCTGGCTCTCAGCCTGGGGCTGTGCTCCCTGATGTAGTTACGCACCTGAAAGCATCACACAGGGGAAGAAAACTATATCCGTCTCACTTCGTTTTGTTTCAAACCAGAGCTACATGGTTGTTTCCGCAATTCATTATAGGAGATCTTTGTGATACATCTAGTTTTTTCCTGATTTTCATACCTACTTTGTAGTATTTAAAGAAAACAGAAAAACTTAAAGTGTATTTGAATGTCTGAGAAGGTTAAGTATAGAAGAAAACAATAAACATACGATTATTTGTGGATTTATTGTTTATTGGAATAAAATCTATTCCATCCCAATAATTAATAACATCTGTTTAAGGCATTTATTTGTGTTGTAATGTTGCAGACATCCAGTAGAGGGCCCCACTGTCCATTCTTAAACAAAGGCTCGCTAGAATAGGCAAGACTAGTGATACCAGGGTGGAAGGAGGCATGCTGGAGCAGAATCGTCATGAATGGATCTAGAATCTGGTCCGGGATTGTTTGCATTGTTTAATGGACATAATGATGGAAAATGAACTATCTGGGGTTCTGCTTGTAAATATAAAAACTGGATTAACTTCAACGGTTCTCTTAAGTAGCTTCTATTTAGCCACGCTGCGTGGCAGCATAACGTCTCTACTGTGTTTGAAAGGTGAGAATGCGATGATAGAAAAGAGAGACTTTAGGTAAAACATTTCTAACAGGATAGGAAAAGACATAATAGCAATTAGCACAGTAGAAGGTTTTTGTGAGTTAATGACTTCATGGAGCCTAGATTTAACATTCCTCAAAGAGCAACCAAAACCAGAACCAGCTGTTTAAAACCTGAAAGTCTGTCCCAGCACTGATTGATGGATTAGACTAAAAACAGAGCTAAATCCCACTTACCAGCTACTTTACTGAAACAAAGTGGAAAATAGTCTGACGGTATGTTAGCACAACTTCCAATGATAGATTCACATCTCTGTTCACTGGAAGTCGCAAGTATTTCATATTCAGTGACCTAATAGGAACCAGTTGTTATATCTAATAAATGAGTTTATTAATATGTAAGAAATCAATTTCTGTTATTTCAGTCAGTATTTAATACAAAAAACTACCTTGTTAAATACATCGTTGTTGTTTTATGAAATAAAATAATTCATAAAAAATAAAAAGTTGAATCAGCTTTATTGCCATCAGGCACTTTTTTAAAGTTATACAACAGAGAAAACAAGCCACTGGTATGTAAAACCAACTGATGCTGTGAGAGGATGTTTGACCACACTGACGCCATAGCTGGGGATCCCTAGCGGCGCCCAGCACACTGTAAAATTCTGGCAATTTTTAATACTTGGAGCATTTTTAGCGTGAAAGGATAAACGACCATAACACACCATAAAACTGCTCTAGAGGCATTCCTTTCTATTTGACCTTTAAGTCATTAATTGATAGCTAAGTGAGAAGAAGAAGCTTTTGATCACTGTAATCTGTATATATTTCAGGGTGTTGCTCACCTGTTTGAGTTTCTCATCGGTGAGACAGTTGAGCTCGATGATGAACTCGCTGTCGGTGGGAGAGATCTGGGCGCAGGGATCGATTATCTTGATAATATCCAACTGCTCTCTCAGGCCCATCTCTGTGCTGACCTTCCGACTCAAGTACTCTATGTACTCCACCTAGACGTGACAACAGACAAACATTTTTATTTTGTTCCAAATGGCTGACAATATGGAGACTTTGAGGCGTTGCCTACTTGTTCGTCATTAGTCATGGCACTCCAAGGCAGTTCATCCAGGTTGCGATGAGGGTGAGACTTTGGTTTCCTCTTGGAAAACAGACACGGTGAACTTGGCACACTTGGAATTATGTCAGAAAGGACATCACTCCCGCTGGCGATGTCACTTCCTGGCAACTGGAACAAAAAAAAAAAAAATTTCACATAGACCTTAAGGACAAACTAAGGAACAAGTGGTAAATGTTAAAGAAATCTCCAAAAAACCCACCTGCCACTCAAACTCACTGTCAGACCAGTCCCAGTATGTGCTGATGGAAGAGGAGACGTCACTGCAAACGCTGCCCTCCGGAAACAAATCCAAGGACGTTAGTTCTTGGTCATCCAGCAGGGAATAGCAGTCATCCTGATCGCCGACAGACACAGAGGAGAAAAGCTCCTCGCTGCACTCCGAGCTGGCAACGCTCGTCCCACAGGATGTGAGGTTCCACCTGCACAGAGAGCCGGTGGATTTTAAAAGGAATATCCACAAAACCTAATGGCACATCATTTTCAGACAGGTTTTCAAACAAGGATCAAACCGCCAACAATCGACATTTGGCAATAGAAGCTGGTTCTAACCCCCCGCCGGTGAGCTGCATGGCCTCTGTCCCCCCTGTTGATGTGTGTTGATGTGTGTTTTCCTGACAGTTATCAGGAAAGTAAACAATGGAGAGCAACATAGAAGGAGCCTGGTGCTTAGTCAGTGTTCTGTATCATTTCGCTCGCTTATCTGTCCCAAACGCTCTTACTTTTGCTGTACCACATTTATCGAATGAAAACAGTTTTTTTTTTAAATCATAAGTGACTGGCACGGTGTGTTGACGTTTGTACGTAGCACTCAATAGTATGGCGTGTTTCCACAGCATGCCAATCAGAGCAGAGGGGATTTTAACGCAGGTCACGCATCAGTGAGCTATTCCCACTGCCACTAAAAGCCAATTGTTCCTGGGATTAACCAGGCTTTACAGCCAGTGGGAAAATAATAGCACGAAAAGTTGCTCCTCTTATTTCAAGATAAATGCACTGTAAACAAGGAACTACGCTGCTCAGTAGCCGAGTTGTAAAATGAAGGCTGTTCTTTTCGCAGCTCAATTATTCTTGAAATGAAGATAAAGTACATGACCTTCAGTTATAGAATGGAATCTATGTTAGCTTCAAGTGGGAACCATCAAGCATCAGAAACCTGTTTCGTCATGAACTGAGGGAAGCACATCTGCCCTTAAGAGCTCATTATGCTCGATGCACGGATTATCCGTGCGGTAAATGAGCCGCCCGTCACAGCGTCTACAGCATTTATACACTGTGCACCTTTCCGCGTTCTGGCCGGGGATAAGCTAAAGGGATAACCTAAAAGGATAAAGGGGGTTTGCTGATCTGACACTTAGTGTGTATTGACTATTTCTACACAATCTTCTGTTAATTGTGGTATTTATGATCTAAATCACGGAATGGCTCCAGATGTTTACAATTGCGAAACCTGGCCATGTTTTCTGCGTGGTTTGATCTGCGTAGTTACAAATTTTCCTAGGTCCGTGCAGAGGGGCGTGGAAGACCTAAATGACGTAATCTGGCCATGGGGACCTTGTGGACGCGTCAAGCATAAATCAAGCTTTGGGCTCATCTCTGGATAATCCAGAAGCAAACCCCTCACCACCCTGTATTTTCAGACCCATTATTCCTAAATACACTATAACTCAATATATTGTTTACCAACATCTGAACAGAAAAAAAGGCAACACATACTTATAAACAATATCAATACAAGTGCGAAAGAGCAAAAAAGGTTTTAACACAGTGGAACTTAAGACCTGGTCCATTTATTCCATCATGTTGTAGAAAAGACAGTTAAACTATAAACAAAGACATATATATCATTAAGTTTTATATTGATTCACACATACTGGAAGTTTCCTCCTCATACAGCTGCTTTAACAAGGAAGTAAGATAACAGGTAGGAGACCAAGATACCAAACATGCATAAAGACACTTCCTGCTTACCTGTTGCTGTGGAAACGGTGTAGAGGGTCTGTTCTGTGACATGACGAGAGCTGACAGCTGAACTCGCTGACATCCAGCGTTCCTACGTCACTGAGGTTGGCTCTTTGGGAGAGGAGAGGGAAAGGCTCCTCTGGAGCCAGAAACTTCTCATACAGAGATTCAGACATGGCTGCTGTGCTCGCTACAACTGATACAGGAAGGAGAGAAAAACAAAACAACAAATCAGCATTTTGGCACAAGGTAACTTTTTTTTTTTTTTTTTACAAGACATTTTTCTTTTTTGATTCTGGCATTGAATTAGGTCATAATTAGGGCTGGGTGATATAGAAAAAAAGCTTATCGATAAAAAAAATGCATATTGATCGATATCGATAATTATTGAAAAGATTTGAAACCATATTTTATGTGCAGCTCTGCCTGGACTTTTATAATATTGCTAAATGATTTAATTTTAATAAAGAACACAAACACAGACTTCCAATTAAATCTTTATTTAATCAACTTTTTTAACCATAACAGAATTGTTTTAAAGAAAAATAACTTAAGAGACCTGAGTTAAGTTATTAAATACTGACAAAGAATAAACTAAAGTTACCAGAAAAGTGACCCCCCCCCCCCCCCCCCCCCACACACACACACTTTGTTTTAGATATTAAAGAAAAACAACTTAAAGTCTAGCTTATAATCCTAAACAGGGATAGCCTCATTATCTATTTATTGTTGGCTTCAAAGCTAAAGCCTAGTAAATAAATACTACCCTTGTTTCTTTAAATGGTGAATTTCTGTTAAATTTAGTGACTGACATGGAGCAACAAACATTTCTGTATATTGCTGGTGAAGGTTCTCAATCATGCAGGTCATAGTCATTCCAAAAAAGAAAATTAAACACAATCAACTTGAAATAGTTTCCAAGTTTGAAGACATTTTGCTTTTTCAATTCAAGATGTCAGGAGAATACCAAAATCTAAAAAAACAAAACAAAGAAAAACCTAAAAATCAACGCTATTCCTGGCATTTTTAATTGAAAAAGCTTCCTGGCTAGGAAGCTAAATTACTTCAAATGTGAAAACAAAGTCCAGCGAATTGTCTTTAATTTTCTTTTTTGGAATAACTGCGTGATCATTATAGCTGCTAGAAACGAAATAAGCAGGGAACATGGAAAAGATCCCTCAAAATCTGCAAATAGTCTAAATAACTATAACAACCAATGGGAAGGAACCATTAGAACAGCGAATGACTGAAACCACAGGAATTTTACAGCTCAATCAGCTCAAAAGTCATTTTTGGGAAGCATCAATGTGTTAGCACATGTAGCGTATTAACCTGGGATCAAAAATGATAGGTAATCATTGGGCAAAATGCTGAAGAAGATTTTAAACATTTTTATTTGAGCCTTCCAATGTAAAAAAAACCTAAACTTATCGTTTTAGTTTAGATCTTTAAGGAAGGTCTGAGAGAACTCAGGTAAGGATTATAATCTTGTTTTAAAGGGATATTGTGTGAGAATTACTGCCATCTAGCAGTAAAATTATCATCTGGTAAAATGCTGAAAAAGATTTTAAATTTTCATTTGATTCAAAATGCATCACAACGTAGGACTCACATCTCACAATAAAAATACAGCTAAAGGATGCATGTTTTCCTGCTTAATATTTGCCATACTTTGACTATTATTAAGGCATTGACACAAAAATAGGATATTCATGTAATGCATTTATTTTTTTAATTCTAATGTTAAAAGGACCTGCAGCACATCTTTAAACTAGTATCAAAGTATCGGTCCTAATGGACACTGACAGGAAAGGTCTGTTGAGAACATTTCTAACTTTAACATTTCAATGCACCAATTTTGTTTAATTAAATACTTGCTTTTAATTAATTATTATTTGGGGTGTAAATATCTATCTTTTTTTTATCGATGCATCGATCCTAGAGCCGATGATCCGATGCATCGACACGTCTGCAAAAGTATCGATTCGTGTGTCTGAGTAACAACAAGCAAATACGTCTACAAAATTAAACTTAACCTGCAATTTAAAAATCTTATCACTTAAAAAAAAGTAGAGAAATACATTGGTTAAAAACAAACTGAACCAATGGAAAATAATCGGGTTCTTAATATTAAAGAGAATACGACGAATTAAACTTTAGAAATAAAGCTATGAACAAAATTTACAATATCGATAAAAATTAACACCTACATGTCAAATTATCATCAACAACTTATCTATATATAATGAATTACTGAAAACAAGTAAACTGGAAATGAGATGCCAGGAAATCGCTCAATACAGCTGAACTAGCAATCACCAAATAACTCATCCGTTAAATATACTGTGAATACAAGGCGTGTTAGTACAGTTATATAGGCAAATTAATCACAGTGTAGAACCATTAAGGATAAACAGCGTTAGCCTGTGACAACAATAACATTAGCTAATACCGCTAGCTGGATGCTAGTGAAACAACTGTTCACCTAACGGTAACCAAACGACACAGCGGTAGCTAAAAAACTTTTATGATGAAAAATATTTAAAAAAGTAACAAAAGAAAACGTTTCAAGTAAAAACTAAAGCGAACATCAGCGCACAAACCTTTAGTTTTCACACAGCGACCATGGCTACAGCCTCCATTTGCTAATCCTTTCTTTTCTGACGAACTAAGCTGTTCTTCTTCTTCTTCTTATGAGATTTTATGGCGGTTGGCAAACTTGTGAAATGTGCATTACCGCCACCAACTGATATGGAGTAAAGCAAGGAAACAGGAAACGATTCACCCCCCCCAAAAAAAAAAAAAAAAAAAAAAAAAAAAAAAAAATACAATAAAATAACCTGTGTAACTTAAACCCACATAATACTAAATTATACTAAATTACATTTGCCCGTATAATTTTAATTTACTCTAGGTCATCGTACCTCTGCCAGTTTCTGATGGTCCCATTGGTCTTTCCATCATGCTTCCAACCATCTCCCAGTTCATATCTTTAACATCCAGATATTTTTCTGCAGCCTTCACTATTATTTTGATTTTTTCTGTTTTTTTTGTCGTCTGAGCAGTACAATTAATCACTTCCACCATGAAAAGAACAAAATTTGTCTTTTTAACAATTAGTGAGTCTTCATCAATTTTTGGAGATTTCTCTAGAGGTTTGAAATTTGCCGTGTGTTGAACTGTAGGTTTGGGTTTTTCTGACTGAGATGGGATCCTTTTTGCAGCTTCAGCATAAGTTATTCCAAGCTCAAATTTCATTTTTTTTATTTCTTCAGACCTTTTGCTTGCTTCACAGCCGCGATAAGCAGCAGTATGTTCTCCACCACAATTACAGCATTTTATTTTAGCTTCTTTTCCACATTTACCATATTCATGTTCTCCTGCACACCTTCCACACCTCTGTTTCCCTTTACAAACTGCTGCAATGTGTCCGAATTTTTGACATTTGAAACATCTCAATGGTGGTGGATTGTAGATTTTGACATTGTAACTGATGTAACCGATGAATACTTTGCTTGGTAATTGCTCTTCCTCGAATTTAATTAGTACAGATAAACTGTCAGATCTTTCTCCGTTTCTTGTTGTTTTTAACCGTTTTACTTCTTTTACTTTTGCACCGCTTATGTTTTCCAGAATCTCTTTTTCAGAAATTTTCAGAGGAACTCCTCCAATGACTCCCCTGCTGATCTTTTTGTTCTCCATTAGGCTGCACTGAACTCTTATCCCGTCAATTTTGTTAATACGTATTGCTTTGCCTTGCTGGGCGCTGTCTCTGCAGTTAATTAGCAGGTCTCCACTGTACAGAATTCTGGCACCTCTGACTTCTCCAACAAGTTTATTGATGGTTTTTGTTAAGTGAACCGGATTCCAGTTTGTAAAAGAGTCTGCCTGATTAACGACTTTGAATATGACTTTGAATTCATTTTGTTGTGCTGTGGAATGTATGGATTGATCATCACTGGATTGTTCTGAACTAGATTCCCCTTTAACTGATCTCTGTTTTTTCCGCTTTTTCTCATTTTTTGATGCTGCTATCTTCCAACCTTCATTGTCACTATTTCCCTCTTCCATCCCACAAGAATCGCTTCCTGTTTCCTCACTACTCACGGCCCAGGACATTTCTCCACAAGCAGAGCAGCTTCAAAACACGCGCCATGCACCAAACGACCAACGTTCCTCCCACGTCCTTCCTCGTCTCCTGCTGCTACCTTCTTCTTCTTCTGTCCTCCTGTCTCCAACTAAGCTGTTCTCGCGAGACTCTAGACAACGCGAAAAGAACTGCCATCCGTCACATGTCATGTGACCTAAAGTCGGAAGTTCTAACGTCAATGAAAACAAGCACTCTCTTCTCCTTCAATCTTGCCTCTTTTGTGCATTTTTTCTCCGATAGCGACTCATTTAGCCATGTCTTTAAGCAACGTAAAAGACACTAGCTTCTTGGGGGGCAGAATACCACCAGAAATAGAGTCGATGTCGAAAAATCTGAAGGATGTGGATCAAGAGTTGTTTAGAAAACTTCTCAAAGGTAAATACAATACAATTTAAAAAAAAAACTAACAATTTGTTTTATAAAAACGATCTTTGGGCAGCTTTTACGCAGCTATGTTAATATTTCTTGCAAGATAAACAAGTTCAAGTTTTGAGTTTGTAATTTCTATTTACAAAAGAAAAGATCAGCTTCGTGTTGTTCTCTGTGCAGCTGTGGTCAGTGCACTGGAGGGAAAAGACTGCAGGGAGATCATGAAGTCGATCGCTGAAAGCAGTGTCATCCCACAGGAGAGGCTCAGTCACATCATCGCTGGGATGCACAGGGTGCTTTCAGAGGCCATCCGCCTCCCAGCGTCCTCACTCAAACAGGAGGTGAGTGTTCCTCTGAGGCAGGCAGATGGAGCTGCTGTGCTTTCAATTTAGTCACAGAAAACAAGTTTATATCTGTTTTTTGGTGAGGATTCTTAGTCATCCAGGTCATAGTCACTCCAAAAACAGGTAAAAACATCCATTGGAAATTGTTTCCAAGTTTGAAGATGTTTTGCTTCCCATCCAGGAAGCTTTTTCAATTCAAAAATGGAAATTTTCTTTATTTGAAAAAGCTTCCTGGGTGAAAAAAAAAAAAAAAAAAAAAAATAAGTTGAAAGAGCTTCTTGGATGGAAAAAAAAAAAATCATTTTTTTAATGAAAAAGCTTCCTGGGGGGATTTTTTTTTTTTTTTTTTTTGAATTGGAAAAAGCTTAATGGATGGGAAAAAATTCAATTTTGGAATTGAAAAAGCTTCCTGGGTGGGACACATTGTTGCTTCTGGGAAGCATCAATGTGTCAATTGAGCGTATTAACCAGGAATCAAAATAAAAGCTAATTATCAGGTAAAATCCTGAAAAATATTTTAAACATTTTTGTTTGATTCAAAATGCATCACAACTAAGGACTCACATCTCATAATAAAAACACACATAAAGTATGTGCGTCTTTCAGCTTAATATTTGCCATACTTTGGCAATTATTAAAGCTTTGACACAAAAATGAGGATAGTCATGTAATGCATTTATTTTTTTATTTTAGAGCTTTAGAGCTTTCCAATGTTAAAAAACTGAACCTTATTGGTTTATTTTTTATTTTTTGTTTAGACCTTTAAGGAAGATCTGAGAGAGCTCAGGTAAGGATTATAATCTTGTTTTCAAGGGACATTGTGTTAGAATTACTGCCATCTAGTGGAGAAATCGGGTTACTTCACTTAAAGGAACAAATCACTGCCTCAAACATGTATTCCGGCAATAGTAGCTTCCATGTAGGCCTGGGTGATGAATTTGCATTGTCTAATTTCAAGTACATATAATCTAATTATCTGTAAAAAAAAATACTCATTCCATTGGCAAACTATTTCATTTACCTACTCAAATTAAGGGTAAAGACACTCAATTTAAGAAATGTTTACTTTTTTCTAGATAGATGATTTCTAGATATCCAGTGCAGTCAGAAGCATAAACAAAGACAGTGGCGGATGAGCCCAGAGAAGAAGCGTCTTGCGCAGCCGTAAACAAAATTATATCAGTTAATACTGTGGAGCCAAGCGAGAGTAGAGATGACGCGCATAGTTTGTGTTTATGCATTTAGCACACGCTTTTATCCAAAGTAGAGACAATGTTACAGTAATCATCAATATGACCTTTGTTAGAGTTTAGTGAGCTGCAGACCGCTGTTGAGGGATTGTGTGCGAGGTTAAACGATGCACGTTGTTCTCACTGCACTCTAATGTTATGCTTTCTATGGTTACAAGCAAAACTGTCTAATAGAAAAAGTTAGCTTTATGCTAATTTAGGCAGCACAGTTCACTTGCTTGAGGAGGAGAAACATGGCATTGTCAACGACCCTTTTGAAGTGTTTTTCCTTAATTAGCTTCTTAAGCCTGGAGAAGGGTTGTTTATACTTGTTATCTTTTTTTATGTTTCTGGTTTAGTTGTCTTTGTAAGTTCTCTTTTTCATTTTTTTGGGCAATGGTGAAACCATTTCTTCTTCTGGCTCTGCTGTGTATGCATGGTCCTGCATTGAGCGGCAGACTTTCAGTTTAAGGGGTAACATCTCCAAATGCTCTTTGTTAGGTTTAAACACCCAAACACTTATCAAAAAACCTGGGGGAAAAGGACAAGAGACATTAGATTATTTTTACTTGCGAGCAGAGCCGACAGAGATGTCCTCAGTTAAAATCTCCCACCACTCTGAAGCCCCTCTGCTGTCTTCCTCGCTCTTTATTGGAAATACAGAGTCCCTAGTTACAATGGATCACGCTGGAACGCTAAAGGAATGCGTGGGGAGTTAAGATGCAGCATGATATATTGATACACATACATTTCTGCATGCGGGCAGCAACCTTGAGTTATACACATGAAGAACATTCAGGTCCTGGTACCTGCAAAGGGTTACTTTCACAAGAGTCTACTAAAGGAAATACAAAGAAATACAAAGACAAACAAGGTTAATATACACTATATTGCCAAAAGTATTTGCTCACCCATCCAAATTATTGGAATCAGGTGTTCCAATCACTTCCATGGCCACAGGTGTATAAATTCAAGCACCTAGGCATGCAGACTGTTTTTACAAACATTTGTGAAAGAATGGGTCGCTCTCAGGAGCTCAGTGAATTCCAGCGTGGAACTGTGATAGGATGCCACCTGTGCAACAAATCCAGTCGTGAAATTTCCTCGCTCCTAAATATTCCACAGTCAACTGTCAGCTGTATTATAAGAAAATGGAAGTGTTTGGGAACGACAGCAACTCAGCCACGAAGTGGTAGGCCACGTAAACTGACGGAGCGGGGTCAGCGGATGCTGACGCGCATAGTGCGAAGAGGTCGCCAACTTTCTGCAGAGTCAATCACTACAGACCTCCAAACTTCATGTGGCCTTCAGATTAGCTCAAGAACAGTGCGCAGAGAGCTTCATGGAATGGGTTTCCATGGTCGAGCAGCTGCATCCAAGCCATACATCACCAAGTGCAATGCAAAGCGTCGGATGCGGTGGTGTAAAGCACGCCGCCACTGGACTCTAGAGCAGTGGAGACGCGTTCTCTGGAGTGACGAATCGCGCTTCTCCATCTGGCAATCTGATGGACGGGTCTGGGTTTGGCGGTTGCCAGGAGAACGGTACTTGTCTGACTGCATTGTGCCAAGTGTAAAGTTTG